AATCTAATATATCTATCATTATCTATCTATTCAATCAAATCAATCTATTCACTCAAATCAATCTAATCGATCTATATAATCGATCCAGCCGATCGATGGATTGAAGGAGCGATGAATCGTTGGGTCGATGGATCGATCCGTCCGTCCGTCCGTCCATCCTCTTCTCGATCCATCCATCGTTATCCATCCATGAATCGATTCTATCTAATGCGACGTATAAACATCTGGAATCTATCTAAATTTAGTCCAACTCACCAAATATCTAAAATCTAACCTCATGAATTTATTTCACAAGATGTTGAAATAATATGTAATATAACACCATCTAGACCAACCAATAAGCTATCCCCAGGGCCAACCACATCTTCATCCCCAGCACTTTCACGGTTTCACAGCGCACCAAGCTTCTCCATGGTGCTGTCTCCATCATAGCGTTCCCCGGAAGGATCCAAGTAGGGTACATCGCTGGCCACTGCCGGATGCATCTGCTTGGAATGGGTGAAGTCCTGCAGAAGTGGAAGCGAAAACAGCGGGGAATATCATGGAACAGGGTTAAACATGGAACGCATGATCTGATGAATGTGAATAATGTGATGTAGATTGATTGACTTAGCACAATCTACCTACTGAAATGGGGGGATTTTTAAGTTAGCCACGTAATTTTGGATAGCGAACGCCATAGCCTACAGGGGCATTCTAGGCCCCGCTGGAGCCCCTTCAATGGCTTGTGGATGTCAGCTACACTGTTGGGTGAGAATGGATGTGGACATGTTTGCACCCATACTCATGACTACTGTCGGCAAGACTACCATGCTTGGCAAATGTTTGGCGTTTGTGATCTAGCCTCAAACTCTGGAACTCGGATGATGGATACAGGCTTGTCCCAGCTAGCTTCAAAGATTGGTGATTGATGCAATACCCTCCCATTCGCCTCTTTCTCCAATGGTAAACACATCATCTCCTAGAAATATACAGAAATACCCTGGTTTGCTGAGCATTTAGTTGGTGTATCCTTTATATGTCATATATTTCGAGGTTTCATGGGATGTGACTATCCCGGTAGGGAAAAGCGTCTTTTCCGAGGCCCCAGACGTAGCAATCCACTGTGCCAGCCACAATGCGGATACGATCCGCACTGCTCAACCTCAGAGACTGGGCCGGTCATGGATCATGGATGCATAGGGAGCTCCCTGAATCATCAATCTACGATGCATTTCCCTACATTCACTCCATAACCCATGACGGATCCATGTATGGTATATATGCTAACATTGGGGGTATATTGATGGTAAATGTTACCATATATAGCATACATGGATCCTATGGGTAATGAGGTAATGACATGTTCATGCCCGTAAATATGCGTACGATTTTACTTGCATAGTATGCAAAAGGGGAGTCGCACGGAATAGCATCGTTCTCCATGGAGAAAAATATTCCATTCGATGAAGATTCGGGGCCACAAGCGCTTTTGTGGCTGGGCCAGTAAGGTGATTTTGTCACGGTTTACCTGAAAGGGGTTCCACACTTTTCAAACAACTTTTCAGCTTTGCATATTCTGTAGCACGCAGTCTTCTAAAACAAGTTTTCCAAATATGGGTCGAAGAATGTCGAACATATTGGGGACCTTCATGAAACAACCAAACAAACCTATACCCTAATTGTGTACCCAATTGTGCCCCCATATGATCCCATATGTCACACTGAAATCCATATGTTGGTGAAATCATGGTGAAAATCCAAGCTTCTACACATGTGGGGCCCCCCAGTGATGTTTGTTGGTTTATAAACCCCAGAAAAAAGTGTAGTTATACTCTAGTTATAGGTATCATAAACCATAGTGAAATGGGAGTTGCACCAACTTCGCAACCGGGGGCTTCGCTGCCCCGCCAGAGGTCTCGTCCCCAGAGGCCCTTGAGCTTCCCAGCCCTGTGCCCTGCAAAATCAAGCGATCTGACGTGCCAGCGCGCCAGTCCAAGGTGCCCTCGTTCCTGCGAGAAGCCAAGCATTTACGCTAGATATCTCTATAGATTCATCATCTGTGTATTGAGATTAGATCTATGAAGTTTTTGTTTTCTTGATCCATCTTAGAATCCTGGGTGGATTTTGAGTCTGAATGTAGGCAAATCATAAATGTTATTGGTGCTGTTTTAATGCAGATACTTTCAGGATCAGGTCCTCGATCCCTTAGGTTCTCACATGTTGACACCGCGAGACTGCCACGCCTTAATATGGTTGGAACAATAAAAAAGGACACCACAAGCCCATGTCAAAAACCGCAATGTATTATCATGCTCAAAACCCTTGTTTACTGTAAATGTTCAACCAATGATGCGGGGCCACCGCTGAAGCGTTGCGAAAGACAGCTCCTGGGACCGTTCACGGTCATGACACCAGTCCCCTAGGCGCGGCAGTGGTGAAGTCCCATTGTGTTTATGGAAGGTGGTGCCTCACAGTACCAGTGATGTCACCCTTAATGTCAAACCCCTGGGCTGTTGATAGTTGGTGTCGTACCATTTTACTACGCGCCGTGTCTGTGAGGGAGCGTGTTTTTTAAAATAAATCTTTCAAGATTGAACCATGAATGTGTAATGTTTGCCTGCAGCCGTTTAGTAGGTTTGTTTAAGTGTATCAATGTATCATGTGATAATTCATGTCAATGTAAATGGAGCGTCAGAAGCATCAATGTGTTCAGGGTGTTTTACCATCATTTGCAAATTCAAATTTAAGTGGCCTTCTGTTTCAGTAAGGTAATACCTGTATGAACATGTTCCAATGTAGTGACAACGAATTTGATGTTCGCCGTGGATGAATGCGAAGTTGTGGTGTACTATAAGAAGCTCAAAAAGATTCAAAAAGTAGAGAAACAAAAATGGAAGTGACGTCCTTGATGATTTCTTCTTCCCAAATCAAGGCCGAGGAACGTTATTAGCCCCCGGCCCCACCCCGTGTGTCTCGGAAAGAAAGTGAGAACACACTGCATACATTTTGATACACGGTCCGTGAGGTACACGGTACCTTTTAGTAGGACATAACCTTTGGCATAAACTTTGGGGGTGTATGATGGTGTATGTACCCCCTAATTGATCAACCAGGGTTCAAAAATATTGGGCTGACAACCAGAACCTCTCTTTTGTTGTATGGTTTTTGATAACCCTGTCCAAATGGCAAAAATTGAATGTAACTTCGGCATTGTTTACGATTTCCCAGGTTTACCACATTGGAATATACGGATATCTAAATGAACACTAGTTAGAAAAATCGGAACATAAATAAACTTAAATCCACGCCCGTGTATGCAGAACTATGGACTGTCGGGGTTTGCGTGTATCCACTTTCAACTCATAGTTTCTCGATGTTTCTCGTGGTTTATCACTTCAAGTTCCCCATTCAAACACCCATTTTTTGGGTACCAGCACCCACCCATTCTTGGACCAAGATATCCCCTTAATGCGGCCAATTTTCGAGGCCACCTAGCCAGAAGCGCTCGGGCACGTTGCATGGCAGCGGAGTGGGGGCCCTTGGGTGACGGCAGCCAGGTTTTTCGTCTGGAGATGTGTGGAGATGTCTTCATGGTTGGTACCCTCTGGTAAACTAACATAACTATGGAAAATCACCATTTTTACTGGGAAAATCCACTATTTCTATGGCCATTTTCAATAGCTATGTTAGTTTACCAGAGGGTATTTCACAGCAAACAAATGATTTTTGTATCAGAGATTCAAGATTCATTTTCAGGGGAAAATCAACCCCGGAGACAGGCCGTCTAGATCTCTTAAAGGGCACTTATCCACTAATATCATCTAATATCCACTATTAAATCATATTAAATCCACAAGAAGACTGATGACCATTTCTAAAAACATAAAAAAATCACTGTGAAAGCCTTTCTGAACTTAGCTGTGGCACACGGAAGTGGTTGTTGTCGTTTCATTGGTCCCAGCACCTTCATTGGCGATGATCGGAGACATCTTCACAACGAATCCCAGAGATAGAGCCCATCGGCCCCTAACCATTTCTGACCATGTCTGGGCTCCAAGAATTTAGCTATTGGGCCTCTGCCTCTGCCAAAAGTGGATACTGACCTGAAGATATATAGGTTTGTCTGAAAACAGGCTACCTTTATATAAATCCGTTGGTTTATGAGAATGTTCCCTATCATTGTAAAATGACTAGTCTGCGGGTATACCCTATTTTCAAATCCACTCGTATGGCAGGGTTTCAAAAAAACGAAGAACCAACATCTGTGGGTCAGAAAACCTGGTCAGAAAGTCATGGTCCAGTGACTTGGTCGATTTGGTGTACTGCCTTGACTTGGGAAACCTCCATATCTTCATTTCTCTGCCAGGTGGATACGAATCTCAATCTGGCTTCTAGGTTCCGCAACACAAATTGGAAGAGGATGTCATCCCCGACTCCAAGGGGAGGGTGAAAACTGACATCACCGGAAATGCTATGCTCATTATGCATCTAGCCCAGGCACATCACTGAAAATCACAAAGCATCAAGAAAGGTCTGTAATATATCCCATTACTAGGCCCATTACTATATACATGCCCAATTTCAAAAACCCCAATCAGAGGTGAGGATTCTTGCGGCGATCGGAGAATACTGTAATCCTCCTATGTTTCCGTTCATCATTGGGTTTGTTCCTTTTATTCACCGATTGTTCTTGGTGAACTCCGTATAATTGAAAGTTACTATAGCAGTTCAATGGCCATTCGAGGATTGATTGGAGGTACCTACCATATATAAGGCCTATTTGTTAGGCCTATGTAAGGGAATATCCCCCCAAAATATGGACTTATATGGTACAGTACCTCCATTTTAAGATCCTGGAATTCACATTGAGCAGTATTTCTGTCACTTTCATTATTGACATTGTTGTGATTTAAATCCGATAGCATTGCCAAAATAATGCCATAAGTATCCCGAAATTCGCCATATTATCATTGTCGTTGCCGTCGTCCTCAACATAAAAACTATATAATAATAATAGTAATAATAATAAAATAAAAATAGTAATAATAATATATAAAAATAATGATAATAATAATGATAATAATAAAATAATAATAATACAAAAAAAATAATAAAATAATAATAATAATCATCATCATCAATCATCATCATCATCACCATCATCATCATCATCATCAATCATCATCATCATCATCATCATAAAAATCATCATAAAAATCATATTTATCATCATTATCATCATTATCATCATTATCATCATCCCCATCCTCCTCATCATCATCATCATCATCATCATCACCATCACCATCATCATCATCATCATCAACATCATCATCATCAATCATCATCATCATCATCGACATCATCATCATCAATCATCATCATCATCAATCATCATCATCATCATCATCATCATCAATCATCATCATCATCATCATCAACACTGCAATTCTTACTGTTTTGATAGCTATGCTAATGATGATACCAGGTAATATGGGACGCTTGCTGCTTGTGGGAGTTTTTTTTTTTTTGCGTGGTCGTTATGGTTTTCTATCACCCCCTTGGGCGCGAGAACTGACCAACAATGGCTATAAACCCTCCCCCAATGGTAGGTTGACTACCCTCCGGTAAACATAGCTATTGAAAATGCCGAAAATACCTCGTTGATATTTGATTTACCTACAGTAATTGTCAACATTATGATTGTCCATTCTGTTAAAAAAAAACAGAGGGCATTGAATTTGCCATGGTTCTTGAGAGTTGAGCGGTTTCTTCCATCCCAACCCCCATCGTTCGCGCGTATGAAACGTTTCTCCCGCACCTGCGCTTGGAGGTGCTATGGCATCGGCGTCACAAACGCAGATGGTCCAGGTGCCGACCTGCGGATCCGCCGAGTCCATAAGGAGCTATCGCTGGAAAGATCATTTGAAAAATATGGGAGAAACCCACCTTTAATGATGGTTTAATGATGTTTAAATGAAGACTAATGGAGGTTTAATGATGGTTTATTGGAGGTTAAATGATGACTAATGGAGGCTAAATGATGTTTAATGATGTTTACTGGAGGACTAGTGTTGCATTACCATGGGTTTGTGACCCCCACAAAAAACCATTGTTGGATTCCAAATGTGATACCCTCCAGTGAACACACAAAGAAACCATGGAAATCCAGTAAATGATCTACACCATATCTGGGTATGTACTTCTTGGCACGATTCTGAGGATTCTCTTAATGAGTAAGTAGGTTTGGTCCACTTCGAAATAAGCTTAGATCTCACTAATGCAGCGTACACCCAATAGTAACGACACAAATTTTGACGGTTAACGCCCCGCCTGTGTCTAGCCTGGTAGTATTGGAATCTCCCAGGAGCCCACAGCACCAATCTAAACCGCCGGGCAACCTTTGATTGATATCAACCAACTGTGGATAATGGGAATATGAATCGGCTTGTAACGACTTTAGAAACTTTAGATAATAGTTGCTAGCTTTAGTTGATGAGTTCCCATTTTAGTTGATCAACTCCTTTAATCCACGTAAAGCTGGCATTTCATCAACACCTTTTGGGAATCACTCATGGCTGTTCCAATGCCACGACCTCAGATGACTCGCAAGGTAATCCCCAGTTCGATTTAGGAAACCTCACCTGTGAATGGGTTTTTGGAGCCGGTCCCCTCCAACCGATTGATGTTCACAATGGGAGACCGAAGGATTACCCAAAGAAACTCTAATGGATAGAACATGTCACTTCATCATAGTGCCGAACCATCGGCCCATGACACTATTTATGATTGTTATGAAAGTTCCTGGAGCCACCCCACCTGTTTCAAGGTTATATTCACAAGTAAAAACAAACGGCAAGCGCACAAATGGTTTTTAATGTTGGACTTACCCTGACTCTGGTATAAGATATGATAAGATATGACGATATGGAAAATTGCCCATGTATTAATATAGAGTATTGTTCTATTATATAAACATGTTGATTTCCATGGCTATGTCAAATTTCCAGGGACTTCACAACTGATGGGGCCCGGGTCCTCGCCTGTAGGATGGACATGCCGCTGCAAACCAACTTGGTGGGACCCTAACAGGGGCTCAAGCTGGGGCGGATCAGGGTGATTTATCGCTAAACTAGTGATAAACCAATGTTCTATGCTTTCTTGGGGTTGCTATATTTTTTGCAAACCTGTATGTGCATACAATATCATTATATATATATTATTGTTGTTGCCGTGTATGAAACATTATATTATATGTGCATGCACATATGTATGTTCAATCAAAACTACCCCGCCAGCAGCTCAAGTGTATCCCACAACATGCGCACAATTCAAAAACATGTTGGATCAATTGGGTTTCAACTATTGACCACCTGCCATCCGGGGGATGTTGACCCCAACACCCCCTACTCTACGGCAAACCATGCGCAACAAGGGGATGCACGCCCTTTGAAACACCGCTTCGTCTGCTGCTGAGGCTGCTAGTAGACATGGTTATCACATGTTATCACATTTGTCAATAATTCTCAGCTAAATCCTACGAATCCGAGTGCCTTCTCATAAAATATTTGGGTATGTTTTAGGTGGTGAAGTATGTTTACAAGAAGTAGACTAGGGAAACAACGTTAAAGTTAAAGTTATATATATATATTGTATATATATATATATAGTTATAGCTATGAATTTTACCAGCGGAATGATGTCTCCCCATCTTTTCCTGCATACTGATGATCTCATGACCCACATCTGCGCCCCTGCCTTCGGTCTCCGAATCACTATGCGGAAGGTGGTGCCCCTATGAGTGGGTTCGTTAAAGCCTATGAGTCTATTCATCCAATTCATCCTAACCGCAGTTGTGCTATGTTAGACTTATAATACCATAAACATCCATGAGCCAGCCCTAGTTCATTGATGCAAATCAACCTAAGCTTCGTTGACGATCCTTTTTTTAATCGGGCCTAAGTGGGGCCCCAGGCATATCATCCTCAGGGCGCGGCCTTGCCGATGCCGTCGCACATCAAGGTCTGATAGTCTGCTGCGGTCGACAACGGCTGGAGTGCACCGTTTCCATCTTTGAACCTTCCTGGCTCGTCTGGGTGGGGTGTCAAATGGTGTCAACAAAGGTCAGCGTTTGATCGCGTTCAGCTGATCACTTCAAAAATTGTCAAAATGAATCAAAGGTCATCCAAGCTTGATACGTGGTTAATAGTTAAGTCCTTATTAGCTGTTGTTGTTATTGTTGTTGCTGGTTTGCAAGCCTCCTATTCATCCTTTTTGTTGACGGAAATGAGAGGGGTTGGTTAAATTCCCATTATAAATATGGGCCCATATATGCAACTTCTGAGTAGTGGCACAACAATCTTCCGATTAACAGAGATGGAAATCCTTCTCGTCATCATTGCTGGCAGGATTCAACCACTATGCAAGTTGCAAGTGTTGTCCTTCACATCATTCATACGTTTTATCCTCTTGGTTGTTAGATGTTGTTAGCCTATTAAACCCCCACTGTCTCATTCACTTCTGATAGAAGCCAACGAAGCCACGTATCTATAGAAAACATGTCTACCTGTGTTCAGGCAATTCATGGCATAGAATCCCAACAAATGCTACAGATGTTCAAATGCGTGCAATTCATCTCTCTGCCTCCAACTCCTCCAGAGTCATCCCGGCAGAATGGTCAACAAGAATCCCAAGGTTGTGTGTGTAAAATCAGTTATGTTATGGCATGTTTTGTTATGGCATGTTTAATAACAATAATCCCAATTAAACCCAACTTCTGCTGGTGATGTTATTTTCGTTGCTTCTCCTGAGCTCACCCTAGGTGATCAAATGTGGCGTGCAGAAACATCCGAACAATGTTTAGATATTTATAGAGGATTTCCAAGCCAGCCACTTTTGGTTCCCGGAGGGTATATCATGACCTATATCATCATTTATGGTTCTTATTTTTCCAGTCTACTTTCCATTCTCATCATATATTATCATCATTATCCTAGAAAAATCCCAGGTTCTGCTTCTTATTATTATCATTTATTATCATCACTATCATCTTATGGTTCTATTATCCTATTCTTATCCCATTAAATGCCATTGTTATCCCATCGAAGAATCTCCCAGTGAACCCAAGCATCCTTTCCGGTCAGCCAGCTGGGCGAGCCTCGAGGTGCTGATGTGGAGTCTCCACAGCTGGAGCCTTGTCCCACCAAATAGATCTTGTCCTCAGGCTTCGGGATTTCTTTCAAATATTCTGGGATCCCCCCCTCTTTAAGGGGGGGGGTGGGGGGGGGTAAAAACTGAAATATTTCACTTTAGGGGGGGGTCTCCCCCCCCCACACACCTAGAAATATTTCACCTCCCTAAAGTGAAATATTTCAGCTAAAAAATTCTGGTCTATAATGGCTTTGGGCGTGGTTGAATTCAAGGCTGAACGTCATGTTCTGAAGGCTGTTTGGCAAGTTCACTCTCTTATTTACTTTCTTGGAAACCGGCAATTACCATTTACCTAGTTGTCAGTGTTTGCGCATGGGCCCTACCCGCGTGAGGACTAAAAAGGTCCAAAAAGGAACAGCGTCCGGAGGAACCCCCCCCCCACGTCTTTTAGAAGCCCAAAAAAATACGTGGGGGGGGGTATATTTCACGTGGTCAGGTGAAATATTTCTCAGAAATTTCTTGCCTTACCCCCCCCAAATATTCCAGGGTTAAAGGGGGGGGGATATTCTGGGTAAATTTGATCATATTTCACTAACCTGAATTGTTGGGCCATTTGGGGATCATTTCCCTTACTAACCATGATTTCCAGTGAGGGAGAACAGTGAGGTCGTTATAATTTACCCAGAAATATACTATTAAATACTACTATAGTAGCCCTTTAAAAACGTTCTTGAAAGACGGTTCATTTGTCACTAAATGTTTGAATCAGAATTTACTTTTCCAGAAACACTTAGATAATGTAAGAATTGCACAGTGATGGCGATGTTTAAACATCATTTGATATCGGCCCATTTTCAGACACGTCGAGAATGATTCGGGGCATGGGATTCATATGGATCCATGGTTAACCTCGTTCCCAATGGCCCAATGGCAGAAAAGTGGCATCAAGGCCATGGATCAAGGGGAATTGTGGATCAAGGCTATGGAGCATATCCCTTAGAGATGCATGGATCATGGGATGCTCATGGCTACTGTATGAATCGGGGCTGTGGATTGCCTGCGCTTCCAGGGCCCCAGGGTATGCAACAGGGCCTGAAAATGTTGAGCCGCTGTGGTTCAAACCAAGCAGCGTTGATGACATCGAAATTCGTTCCTTGCACTTCGACACTGAATTCCCAACCTGAAACGCAAACGCGTTTCGTCACAAAAGTGATCATCATGATCATCATGCAGGCAAAGCATGCGGATGTTTTCATGTTTTCTTTGGAAAAAATGTGGAGGAGACGAGGAGGCCCAATTTATGGCCCAATAATAGGACAACGATGATCAACCATATTAGGAGCTGCCCTGGTGATTTTTGGGACGCTGGCAGGAATGCGACCGAATAGGAAATAGCCCATAATTACAGGCACAATTGCACATAGCGATAATTAGCCTCTGGTAAACGTTTACATAACTATGGTTAAAATCACCATCTTTTTTTTCATGGGTAAATCAACTATAAATATCATTAAATCACCATCTTTAATGGGTAAATCAACTATAAATATCTATAAATGGGCAATTTTCAATAGCAAACTGTAAACGTTTACCATTTCAGAAGGCCCAAGGGATCCAAGGGATCCAAGGGATCCACGGGATACCAGGATCAACTCATCTTACTAATTTATACTATAGTTGATCATAGTCAAGCTGGTGTTGAATCAATTCATATGTATATATGTATATATGTATATATTGTGCATGTCATTGATACATGCCTGGAATATATATATATATAGTGTATAGTATATAGTATATATATATAAATATCAGACTCTATATCATATGTATATAATAGTCGATCATAGTCAAGTGATATTGAGAACTGTCTTTTTGGACGGACTCATTTCTTCCAACCTGGTCGGATCTGATAGACCGAGGTTGCGGTGCTGGAAGACACCTGAGCTCGACCGAGCTCTCGACAGAGCTCCCGGTGGTCAAAATTCACACATCTTAATATATTGGTTCACCATCTTTTTAACCAACTAAATCACTAAAGATGGGGATCTGAAAAAATTAACCAAACATATAGAACCCCATCTTTTTTGGTTACTTTTTTCTATTTAAAGGGAGACTTTCCTGTTTTTATCTTTTTAGTGGGAATTTACTGCACTTCAGGGTTGCAATAATAGTAAACAATAGGAACGACTACACCATAAACTCACGGGCTTTAAAGGGTAAATTGACAGGACAATGTTGATGAACCATCAAGTTTGGAATAAATAGCAACCCCTCGCTTAATAGCTGTATCACGCTAGATCTACCCCAAAAGTGTATAATAAACAGCAACGCCTCAATTAACATAGACCCATATACTATAAATCTATACTATAAACAATAAATATAATATAATATTATATTATATACAATAATAACCTATCCAAAAAGAAAAGTATTGTATTGTATATATGATATAGTCTTCCAACCTCCATAAAGCGCAAAATCTGTGCCAGTTGGACCCGAACAAATCAGTCCTGGACAGTGGAAGTCAAGCGCGCTTCTCCAGGGATCCCAAATAATGTTCATAGAAATGGCAACCCGGCAACCCCAAAATGGATAGAAAAGCTGGAAACCTGGGAATTATGAGGTAAACATAGGTAAACATGTAAACATATATAGTATTTTGAATATCTCTATTATAATATATTCTGTATTTGTATACTTTTCTGGAAGAACGGTTCACTCATTTTGGGGACATACAATGACTGATTTGCTTGCGGCACTACCACTGATAAAGCGAATCCTGCTGTTGCCTAAGCTCAGAAATTGCTTGCCTCTTGGAGGATTTGATCTAGTTGCAAAGGCTGATGGCTTTTCACTAACTGCTAGCGCACTCTTCCACATAGATTGAAATTCCATTTAATTAATGTGTGATTCACAATATAATAAACCATTCCAATTATCAAACGGCAAGGCAACATATCATTATAATAGATGTTCATCAACTGTGACTTATGTAGGGAGGTGTATACCGTATACCCAAACTTGAACAGCGAACTGGGGTTTGTTTGTTGGATCTTGTCTTGTCACTGTCAGTTTCCCCTTCAAATTCACCATGCCTCAAGTCTTCCTCTGGTCCACCCTGACGCCAGGAAACTGTAGCTTCACCAGCCAAAGCGAATCGAATTCCCTGCGCGGCCCGAGATTCGAAACGCCAGCCATCTTAGAATAACAGAAAACCGCTACTGTTGAAGGGTCAAGTGAGAAAGTTGCATCCATGTTCCTCCTCCACAAATTGCAGTCGCGCGGCAAAAATTGAAGGCTCATGAACCCACCTCCAAGAGCAAAAAGAGCAGCATTCTGGGGACGCCTGAGCGCTGAAGCTGGGCACGGTCTCCGGTTCCGGTTAAAGCTGGTGTCTCTAAACATGGCTGGGAAAGCCTCTTTATACGGGCATGAACACGGGAAAATCATCTGCAAATGGGGAATTTAGATGAATTTGGCTTGTTTGATTGCCAGTGGGGTATACTTCGGCATAGCAGAGTCTGGCAAAGGGAATCTAGTGAAGTGTTGCATCTGGAAAGGATGAAACCACCTCACCCTTCTGGCAGGATCCTCGACATTCTTCAAAACAATCACCCAGCTTTTTGTAATATTATATAGTAATACATCATGGCCCACACCGTTGCTACCGTTTTTGTCCGGTGTATTGGTTTGGAAGTAAGGGCCACTCTTGGTTCATGGTAGATCCCTGAACCAAGCGCCTCTCGGCAACATCCCGGCAGTCGACTACACCTGCAACAGCTGAGCATGCCAATGCAACGTCGCAACGTAACGGAGTAGAACACCACGAACCAATTCCAACCAGAAGTTTTTAGAATACTAAGTTATACAACGCATCCAAAAACAATGAGGAGAACAATTTAGGAAAGGCCCGTGCAAGAAATATAGTAATACCCATGACTGTAGGTCTGATTTGGTTGTAGACATGGTTCAAGGAGCATGTCGTATCAAACATGGAGTGCGGTATGTCGTGTAGAATTCGGGAAAACACACCAAAACCCGCCAGCACCATGACCAGCTACAATGACGGCGATCTGGAGTGCTACTGGGGCTTCCAGCCAGAAATTCCAGCAAACGTGCTTGAACTACTGGTCAAGTGAATTAACCTCGGGATTCGGGTAATCCTTTGAGTAGAGCCTTGGAGGTTTAAGGCCTAATTTCTTGAGCTCTCGGTGAAAAAGAAATAACATATCCCATCATATCCCATCTTGTTCCCAGATGTAGGATTGATCATAGAGGTAGTCACTGCTACATGGAGCACAGCTATCACACCTTTGGGCTGTCTAAACTGGGCTTCAGGCGTCCCCTCTTCGCCCGCTGGTTTGCAGAACCTCGGCATCAGCGACATTCAAATCTTTACCACTACGGCCCATTAATGCGGTCGAGTGGCTTGGCGGCTGATGGGCTGATGCCCAAAAAACACGGGGAACTGTTGTTTGATGTCTGAGCCAATGGCGGGGTGGCGGGGCCAGCAATGAGTTCCATGGTGAACCAGGCCCAGGTGATCAGAACATATCCATCTTCCAAATGGTAAAATGGTTTCCGCATAATAAGCTTCTTATCTTAAGCTTCCACATTTTAGAGTAGAGATCCCTACCCTGGTGTAGTATGCTCGGTGCACATTGGCACCGGAAAAACCACGACGTTTCTGAAACCAGTAGCTTTTACTCCCAGTTCAAAGCAAACCGTCAAATGAAATTCGTTGAATTGGTAGCCGCATTCTTCTCCAGAAGGCCTGACATGGTCTGACATGCAAGAGTTAAGCTGAGAAAATCACAGGCAACACTGGCTATGGCTACTGATGATCGTCAACTCATGACAATCACACACAGGCTTGCTCAGAACACGCATTCCGGCCTTCACAAACAATCTTTATATATATATATATGCGTGTGTGTGTAACTATGTATATATATGTATAGCTATATGTATGTATGTATATATATATATATATTGTTACCCAGAACAATGTCCAAACAACCTTTGGGGTACCTTGTAGGCAATCGAAGTGGGGAAACAACCTAGCTACGTATGCTAGTTACAAAGTGCCGCCAGGACTTGACATGAAAAAGTCCAACACGGGGTATATTGATATACCATGATATATTCCAAAATCATTTAAAATTGCAATTTGAACCAAAAATCAAAATATCACGTTGTGATCTATGGTAACTGATGGTATTTGCACACCTCATCTTTAAACAAATCCACATCCATCTGAAGCTTTGGGGGGATGCGCACCAATTGCAGCTTCACCTGCAAGGCAACGCGCCCGGCATTCTCTGTTTCGGTAACACAAATCACGAATGCAAGGGGCAAATTGTCTATTGTCAGACTAAATATCCCAAGGGTAGCACAGGTAGCATTTGGGATTAGAAAGGAAGAGTTGGATGGATCTCTCCTTTGTAGAAGGTCTTGTTGATACCCTGAATGTGAAATCAGCGAATCCATTTGTGGGACTCAATGCAAACGCATGCGCGCTGTGTACCTATTTTATCTTTCCATTTTTCAGTTGGTGGTTTCAACCCATGCATGGCTGGCCCATGGGTAATTGGACTCAGAAAACCATCAATATTTTGGAATGCGACAATAGAGAATTCGATTTGGCCACGGGTGAAAACAAAACGCAATGAAGATACACTTACCAGCTATTTCGATGTCTGACTAACCCATTCCCATTTTCCGTGGGACTCCTACGGGCTCATGACCGCGCAACGAATCTAACACAATCAGATTATTGTGATCTGGCCAGTTGGTCATGAGCTTGAATCTCCTCCTTTTTGTGCTGCGCACGGCAGGATATTTTTCTCAGCAGCCTTTTCACAAGTCAAAAGTCCTCGGGATGCCTCAGCCAGGACTAGATGCCTGGTGATCAACAAACACAGTTGGAAATGCGGCACACTATGGGTCAAAAGTGATCACCCATAATGTGGGACAATAAATGACAATCATTGGGCTGAAACATCGCATGTCGCCACTGCCATTGATTAGGATATGATGAGTAAATAAATAAAACCCCGTCCCTGGTCCCTAATAAATGTTGCTCCTCCTTTCTGCAACGATACTCAAGCTTGAAGAACATGTTTGCACATGTTTGAATATAGGAATCATTCATTGCACATATCACCAAGCAGCTTGTCCTCTACCTTTCAAATGGTAGAAATATATAGTGCTAGATGATCGCCCTACCTGAAATTACATGAAACTACCATTTGAATCCATTCGAAGCGGATTCTGACCCATTGGATTTCCCATTGAACCTGGGGAGTTTTCACATCTATGATTCTATAATCCTTCACCCATGAGGTCTGAGAATAGGCTATAATCTTCAATCCAATGGTTTGCCATCACTTTTCCAATGGTTAATCCCCGGTGATGGATCCATGGGTAGTAAATCCAGGGTAAGTCGCTGTAATCTCCAAGGTACTTCGACAGGTATTCGTCCAACATCTGCTGCTCTCTGAGGCCCTCAGCAGATGTTGGGCACTGTGGGAGGGAGAACTCTTGGGTCCAAGAAAACATGGGAACCAACAATCCTTCTCCCACTAAGAGCTGCAAAATATGTATGCATATATATATATATATGCATTTAAATTTATAAATAAATAAATGTGATATGTATGGTTATGTGTGTGTGAGTGCAAAGGACTTCAGCTCGCAAAGCCAAACAAACACAATACATGGAACATGCTGCCAATCCTTGCCCAAACTTGACAAAGGTTAAGTTAGAAACTAATTTAATAGTTCAACCTTGTAATATGCGAAAGCCATGCGCAGCCTTGCAGTCGCAGTAGGAGAAACACCTTCACTTGTTGAGAGCCAGGGTTTTAGCCACGCTTCCTTACATGGACTTTTGATGACCCTTTTGTGCCCCAAACTTGCCAGCCAAAACCTTTCTGGCATGTTCCAATCTGGTTTTATTAATATAAAGTGACCCCAAAAAGGGATACAAAGTGGCCAATCCAATTCAGCTAAAAGCCCGAAAAACTCATGTCTATCCACTCTCATTCAAAAATGGGACAGTTGTGTGGCCAGAAATTCACCCACGAATTGATCCAGGAAGCTCACTTGAGGGGTGAGTAGCTATCCTGTCATATCCCAGTTGTCTGTGGATTTCCATTCACGAACTTCATGGCTAATCCAATCATCAACGTATATATATATATATATATAGCATGCATCAAGCACACTTCTTCAAATTGCTATATCATATGCATTTGAACACACACATATACGTAATATATATATACACATATTGTTTCTTGCTGGGAAACAAACATGTTCTTTCAACAAACGTGCTGCATACCTGAACTCTTGGTCTGATTTTTGCAAATGATTGAAGTCATGTCCTGCAACTGCTGGTGGTTTCCACATGTTTCAAGCTAGGCACTGACAACCAAAGGGGATGGGTGAAGGCAACGCTCTGATCTTCATACCTCGGTACCGCGACCGGTGGAAATTTGCTATAACATGCACCAGGTACCTTCTGGTAAACTAACATAACTATGGAAAATCACCACTTTAATAGGTAAATCAACTATAAATGGGGCATGTTCAATAGCTATGTTAGTTTACCGAAGGGTATATAAAACATTTGGAGTTTGCGAGAAAACGGCTATCGTTGAAACGGGTGAATGGATGTTGATGGCCTCAACCCACCCGATACTGGTGGTCCTAAATCACTCTCCCAAGTCCGAGAAGAAACAACATCTTTGAAACCACCAACTACCCCCCAATCGTCGTTGGAAGATGATTTTCCTCAATGCCTTCATCTCAAGATTCCATGTGTGTTTTCTCTCCAGTCATTCATCTCTGCCCCTTAGTTGACCAGTGAATGTCCAAGCATTGGCTGTACCTTTTTTTTTAAAGCACTAGTAAGCCACCCCCAAAATCACCATACATGGGTGGTATAAACACTTATAAACCATCAAAATATGGGTGATTTGTTATATCATTGCTATAAACATCTTTAAACTACCATTTTATTATTACATTTCAGGATGAGTTCATCAAAATATGGGCAATCTTAGATACCATGCTCTTAGATACATACATGCGAAACAAATAAATTCTTAGCTGATTGGTAGATACTTAATTGCATTGATACCAAAAGACTAAAGAACTAAACTACCCATCCAAGATTGACCTAGGAGGGGCCAGTTCTTCATCGTTTTCCACCCATCTTCAAACCACGCTGCATGCGTTGCGCCTTCGGTGGCCCACTCGTCCAGAGTGTCTCGTTGTCACCGATCAGCCACGTGGGACGAGAGCCAGGGATCGAATCCCACCTTGGATGATAGCAACATGAACGGTGTTTTTCTTTCCGGGGCATGACTTCAATTCATGTATGTATATATTATATATTATATTTTATTAAAATACATTATATTAAACTATATTATATTGTATTATTTGATATCATATTTTATATTATTTTTTTAATATTATATTAAACTATATTACATTATATTATATTATAATATATTTTATTAAACTATATTATATTATATTATTTTATATTAGTTTATATTATATTTTTCATATTATATATGATGTAATATGATATATTATATTATTTTATTTTATATTATATTAAACTTATTATATTGCATTATATAGAAGTTGATATTTATATATTGTTGATATCGCCCGAATTGGGACAATATCATCAAATATCCTGCGTTCTGAGTGAGGATCATTATCAAATGGCTGCGAAGTGAAGCAGTATCCGATCCGGTGAAGCAATGGGAACAAGAAATTCTATGGCTGGATTTGGATCAAAGTTGGGAACGCTGGGTTTATGGCAACTTGATAAACAAAGGATTCTATATTCAAAGTATGTCAAAACGAATGTTCACAATTTCAGCCCAAACACATTTTGGAATCTCTCTCAATTTTTGGGCGTTCCTCTTTGAGTCATTCTCCAATGAAATTCCCTGAAAGATGATAAACAACGTCGTCACTGCCTGACCCTAACCAACAAACCTTGCCATTTCAAAACTTCAGGTCCCTAACCAATAAGCTCGCGGTGTACACAAAGCACTGTGTTGGCTCTGGCTTCCAGACCTATTTGCACCTGAATCTAGCAGTATCCAATCAGAAATTCCAAATGTGACAATGGGTCCAACTCCTGTTACCAGGTGAACATTAGAGAATAGTTGGCAAATGTTGGCAAAATTTGGCAAATACATTCTTTGCACCAACTATATATGTTTTGACGTATCCCGCATATATACACTTTCGACCGCGCCACAAATCAAAGATCAGCGATTGGGCCAGTTCACCTGAAGGAAAGCAAACGCAGGGGGCTGTGGTGATTCCCACGGCCCAAGCAGGAATCATCAGCAGATTTAGCCCAAAGCTAGGCCATTCTGAAAAGAGTCATGCAAACATCATGCCCAAAAAAGGCAACCCCTTTCATCATGTGCACATATGAGAGTCAGCGGCAATCACCACTATATACCAAGACTTCTTCAGCCTGCTATGCGCAAAGATGTTTTGGATTCAGAGTCAACCCAAAAAAACACAGAACACTTGGCACAGCCATCCAACACTACCAAATATTAACTTTCCCTGCGCCATTGCCACCTTCAATTTTTTTTTCGGATTATGATCCTACATATCCCATGATATCCCCATTATTTCTCCATTAAACCTCCAATATATCCCATTAAACCTCCGATACATGCCATTAAATCTCCTATATCCCATTACTATCCCATTCAATCCCTATCCTTGACAGCTAAATCCCACCATGAAAAAACGCTGAACCTCTAAGGTCGCCCATCGATTCGGCCAGTGTGACCTCACCGCACCGCTGCGGTAAAGGAAGCATGGACAACATTGTATTAGGTATCCATATGGCATGGAATCATATTAAATCATATTAATATATATATATATATCAGAATCATACATTTTTTGCAGTTATATATATATATATCAGAATCATACATTTTTTGCAGTTATGTACATATATATATATATATATGAGATGATGGGATGATCATGAATAATCGGAAATCGGAAATAGTCCCAATTGTATCCAATGACATGGATGCATTGATGGTGGATCAATATGAAACTTATAAACGCTAATACGCTACATCATCGCATAGTCTCATGTCATATTAAGTTACAGTAATCTCCGAGCGCCATTGTCCCACAACAATGGAACGACCACATGTTTAAACCAACACTGGGAACGGGGCAAATTTGGTCCATTGCACTGCTCACTTTTTTAGCTCTTGAGCTGTTTTGGCAAGTTCTGGCCGAAGCAGCCGCACATAGATTCTTCACCGGTTACCCTCTGCAAGTCCAAAAACGGCTGGAAAATCCCCAAATCGAATCCAATTCACCCAAAAGAGAACATGGCGTGATTTCCGTACAAATCGTACCAGAAATTGATGAGTTCCGTGGCATCTCCAGCCATGATATGCCATGATGTCCTAGGAAACTCTTTTTTGCGCTGGCAAGGTTTTGAGGCCCCTGCAAAGTATCTGCTCATGATGGCAGGCACATTGGCCACCCCTGAAACCGAGGCATGAGGCATCTTGGGGCCACCAGCTGCGGCCTCATAGAGCCTCGGGGTGTCCATGACTTCAGGGATTAAATCCGCGATTCATGGCTAGTCATGGCTAGTCTAGTTTAGATCAACAGATGTTAAACTTATGGAAAACTTGATCATTCCTCCTGATTTTGGGGTTCCAAATGGTTCCAATATCCATATGTCACTTTTTTTCTTTTACTCACTAACACTCCTGCTGCATGACCCACTCTGCGTCTCACGCGCCAATGGACTTTGCCATTGGGGAAGGCTATGTACAGCCACACCGGTCACCGCGGGAGGCGACTATCCGGTGGGCGTTCATGCCACCGGACGTCAGCCAGGGTCGCGGCGAACGGCGGGGGCTCCCCATCGACGCCGGGCGCGGCCGCGGCCGGGAGTTTGAGGAGAGTCTCGGCCAGGGCGCGCTGCGCCGCGACGGATAGGAGGCCGGCCCAACGGTGCACGTAGGCCTGAACTGCCGCCGAGCGGAGGAGTGCTGGCGCAGTGCGGGCGCGGGCGTGCGCCAAGGCTCGGAGGAAGTCGGCGGCTTCCTCGCCCCAACGACCTCCTACTTCGAGACCTAAGATGAGTAGGTGGCAGCGGCGCGAGCCGGAAAACTCGGGGTAGGTGTGTTCCCGCTTGCGCTGGGAGGCTGCCAGGATCGCCGCGCCCGGGTTCGCGTCGGAAGCGTGGCGCACCTGTCCGGTGCGGCCAAGGGGGCTGACGAGGGTCACGTCGACTGCCAGCTGAGCCCCGTGCCAGAGCGGCAAGTCGTTTGCGAGGACTTCAATCTGGCGTGCGTCGGTGACCGGGACCGCGAGGTTCATGCGCGAGAGCGGCACGTTGACCGCGACGCGGGCACCGGCCTCGCGGCAGATGCGGGCGACCGCGCGTTCGATGGGCGCAGCTCGTGCCCGGAGGACGCCAGTGGTGGCGCATGCGGCACGGTGGTCGCCGTGAGGGTCGAGTGTCAAGCCACACCGACATCGGGAAGGACCGCAGCTCAAGGGGGCTCGAAGCCGCCGTTGCAGCAAGGTGCGGAAATGCGGGTTGCCGAGCTGGAATTCCGGGCTGGTAGGAAGGGTGGTGACTGCGCGGCCGCTGTGTGGGCCAGCCTGGGAGAGGAGAAGCGCGCGCTCCGGAGGGGAAAGGTCAGATAGGAGCGCGGCGAGCTCGTCCAAGTCCTGGGCTGCACTGATGTCGCGTTGCCACCCCCGCAGGAAATCGCCCGGGGTCCGGTCTTCGTGCGAGAAATGGCGGCCGCCGATGATAGATTCCCAGGGTGGGACAGTCGCCCCGCTGTTCCGGAGGAGCTGGGCTGCCTGGGAGGCGGCGAGGATGCTGGGTGGTTGTGGGCGGGCCTCGCCGTTGAGGAGCTGGAGAAGGCGGTCCGCCACAAGAGGAAGGCGCGAGTGGAGGATGGGCAAGGTGTCGGCCCATGAGGCCCAATACGCGGCGAGGCGCGAACGGTGGGCCGAGCGCAGGCCGCACCCCCCCAAGCGCAATGGGAGTTGGGCCCGGCGTAGCTGTAGGTCCGTAAGGGCCGCGCCTGCCGCCACCAGGGTGCTGACGCAATGTGCCACCGCGGCGTCGTGGGCGGCTGCAAAGTCTGTAGTGTCCGCCGGTGGGAGGACGCGGAGGAGATAGTTGCTCCGGGGGGCTGCGCAGAAAAGGAGCAACAGCCAGGCGGCCTGCAGGTTCTCTACCCATGGGATGCGGTGGAGAAGGAGGTCTTGTTTGGTGCGGACCTCGGTAAGAGCATGTTGCACGTATTGCGCGCTCCCAATGGGGGTGCCCAGGACCTGGAGGCCTTGCGCCAAAGGGGGCAGAGTCCAGTCGCCGACCCAAACCCGGTCGTTGCTGTCAGCCGGCTGCAGCTCTGGGAGGTGGCGCGGCTCTTCCCCAGCCGCATTCCAGATGCGGGTCTTACCTTGGTTGAGTTCGATGCACGCGTGGCCTCGGAGGGAAACGCGCAAGGTGGAATAGAGCGCGTGGGTGCGGTCAGGCGACGAAATGACATAGATGTCACCAAGGAAAGCAAAGAGCGCTTCCCCGGACCGCATCGTGGCCGCGGTCTCTTGCAGCGCTGGGTGTTGGGCAAGCGCAAACAAGGCAGGCATGAGTGGGTCGCCTTGCTCCCCCCCTTCGGCTTGCTGAACGGAGTGGCAGGCGCCAATAGAGTCCCACCAGAGGTAGGTGCTGTCTTGGCCGTAGAAGAGGTCACCTTGATTTTGTGGCATGTGCTCAAATAGTGTATTCTGAAACGTGCTTCAAGGTCAATCTTGGACTCTTAAAATCTCTCAAAACCTGTGGGAAGCCTTTCCATAGCCCACTGAGCTTGTCACTTCTTTAAGCCTGGCGCAGCCAGGCTCTGCCACCACTTTCTTATCAATGCCTGCAGGGCTGGGGAAAACCTGTGGGGGCTGCGCATGGCCCTTGAAACGCACTGGAAGCAGCAAAGTCGTGAAAGGTAGATTCGCACTGCACTGCTTCACATCCCTGGTCCCTGGCTACCAAAATACCCTAGGGTGAACTAACATGAATATAGAAGTAGAAAACCCATGGTTCGCCTGGGAAAATGATGTACAAATGTCACAAATGGTGAGTTTTCTACATCTGTGTTACTTTACTCTGGGGTATCTGACCGCGAGCCTTGTCTTTGCTTTTCACTTGGCCTTTCCATGTTTCATCCACGAAATTGTCCCCAAAGCTCCTGCTAGCGTTGGAAAGGTGGGAGGCTGGGGCATGGTTGGGCTCAGAATATCATGAGAGCAGGCACTCTTGCACGCGAGTTGATCAAAATTGACACATGAGGAATATATATATATATATATCACAAACAATTTTCACAAATATATACTGTGTCTGTTCGCACCTTGTGGTCTAGCGATTCCACTGGTATCGATGCTACTCCTGACATGTTCTGACCGGAAATCCGGTGGCGAAGCAGTCCAGCTGCCCATGTGTCCTCGGGGTATACCCGCCCACGCCCAACATCCATGGCCGCTCCAACGGATAGCCTGGCACTTGTCGAACAGGGGAAGTCTCTGGAGAATGCCAATACATTCAGAAAATAGGGGTGCTAAAAGAACGTCAAACCATTTTCCATAGTTGTTTCAAGGATCTTTGCCCAAGAATTTCCAGGCTTTCCACTTGTCCCAACATCCCAACGTCCCAACTCTGCTAGAGTCTTCTGGGTGATGACCTGCTGTGGGCGCCTGAGAGCTTGGAGGGTCGCATGAAGACATCAGCCTGCAGGAAGAGGTAGTTTGAGAAGCCTGGCCAAACCGTGAACTGCGGATGACCATTGATGACTGTGATCTAGACCACCATTGGACCATGACCATGACCATGACCTGTAAGTAATCTATGGTTTGCATATGGATGGCAAAAGGATAAAAGGGCAACCAACGAGTGGGTGAACACCCACCAAAGAGTGTTTATTGTAAGGACTTACCATGCGATAAGTAAGTCAGTGAGATGGTGATTCAAGTACACATGTAACATATGTATATATATAATATATATAAACCGACATATTGGTGGCAGGGACCAAATTCCCCAAAACAAGCCTTTATAGCACTTGCATAGAAGTGGGCTTGCCATGGTTGGATCCCTCATGAGTGGGGAAGCCAATGGTGATTAGGTTACATTGATTCACATTCATCATCAAACGACCCTTTACAATAATCAAACATCATGGCTGGCTGTAAACTTCCCGCACTAAATGGAGGTTTTTGATGGGGAAACCATCTAATATATAAGTGATTATAAATTTTTAAATGAGGAATTTTCCAGCACACCATGTTTGATTACTGGAGGATACATCATTTTCAGGGGACTGCAGTTTTCGATACCCAACATCTGTAACCCACGGTGGCTTCTCAATTTTTGTTTGACTTCCCTCTTGATTCCTCAAAAGTAGGGTTTGTCCCAGACATCTCCTATTTTGTTGATTTACAACCTGCCCTAGTCACAGCCACCAGCTTTGGGATTTGACGAAAAACGTCCTGCCTTTGTGACGGCGTAGCACCTCAACATGGCGGGACGAGTCTCAACCGTTCACCCTACCAGGGCCCTCAAACTGATTTGAACAGAGGATAGGCCCTTGCTTATTTCATGAAAACAACTCATAGACTCATGTTAAGAAAAGAAAAAACCTGCACAAGGAAACCAAAATCCCTTCCAATATCAAATCCCAGTTTATAAACCCCGATTTTGTACTGGATCTGTTCATATTGCGGTCCCACATGATCCCACTATGTGGAGGTATTAAATCCTGAGCACCAAGCCTTGGCAAAACCTCAGTGGCACAGGCATCAGATCAAGCAGCATCATCTGGACACATGGCATAGGTCAACATTCAACATATGGAAATTCCCAGGACATAGGATTCATATAGGAATCATGGTCATTTCAAAGCTGAAAACATTGAAATCCATTGCAATCCTCGAGTTCCCCACCAAAAGAAAAAGGCACGTTCCTGAAATCCCCTGTTTTTTTTTCACCACACCTCATAAGTCCCACTTCGATGGGTACCAAGCCACAGAGGTGCCATCGTCCGTGTTTTCCGTGGCAACTCACGTGGGGCACGGGGCTCCATTCGGGCGGAGGACTCACGGCGGCGGTGATGATGTGCGGAAAGTAGGAACCATACCTTGGTTTTGGGCCATCGGATCTCTTAAAATCTTGGTCTCAATGTTGAAAATCACCAGTTTTAATGGGAAAAGCCACTATAAATGGTCATTTTCAATAGCTATGTTAGTTTACCAGAGGGTAACCATCATTGGTTATTGGGTGTTATTGGGTGTTATTTGGTGCACTTCTATGGGGGTTCCGGTAAATGTCGGGATCTGACATGATCATGACGAGGTTTTTACCATCTATATAACACTTCTGGGAGCCAATGGGTTGCTATTTTTCTTACACGACAGCCATGGAAACCAAACGATTTTACATGATTTTACCTGCCCAGCTTTGGCCGTTCGACTTTGGAACATGTTGGAACCTATGTGCCATGGGCAAAACAGGTGCGTACATGTGATATGGTCGTCCGTCCCATCTTGGCACACGGGGAATCCTTATGATGAGCTTGATAAATTTCTACTATCCCCTACTGTGACACCATGTGATACATTGTAATACCGTATAATTCATCACCATATATCCTGGACCTTTCAAATCCTAACATCACGGAATTGACAAAAAGTCGGAAAAGGATGCTCCAGGATATAGTATACCATAGTATACCATAGTATACCCAGTATCCCCTAAGGATGCTACAGTCATGGACAAATGGCTAGTTTTTTTCTGCATCCCTATGGATGCGTCTCCGTGTGAGGCTCCCACCATCGGAGGAGCAACGGAGTGGCGCAAGGTTTTGGGATCCAATCGAAGAGCAGCGCCAGCAGCGTGCCTGCGACGCTGAAAAAAGTGCCCAATGGCTCCGATGATATTGGGCTTATCAACCCAATGGATTATCAATGGATTATCTCATGGATTATCTAATGGATTACGTAATGGGATTATCCAATGGCTTGAAGGACTTATCGGCTTATCCATGGATTTTGGTCCGCAATGAGACTGAGCCATCAGGGATTTCATGGGATTCATCATCGATGACCTTTTGGGGTTGGTGAAATCTGACATAGGAGACCTCAACATGAAGAAATCCAGCACAACCAGGTCTGGAGCGGTGGTTGCTACTAGTAGGAGCAAGTGTTCTGAAGTCGGGACATGTTGCAAGGTATTTTTGCATCATCAATCAGTTATCAATGGATTATCTAAAGGAATATCAATGGATTAACCTTAATGGATGCAAGGTATTTTTACAGCTGGCCTCTGACTGAAGCCATACACAGTCACACACACACACACATCTCAAATCAGCTGAAACAAACGCTTTTGCATCAAATGCACCAATCCAATTCATGCACTGAGTACACGATGAAGTGCCGGAATAATTCAATTTATTTATTTGATGTAGCCCCAGGACATCCAAAAGCATCAAAAGCGACGTCGCCAATGAAAAGTGATACTGAACGCTTAATACTCTGGAACTATGCTTCACTTTCAAAACTATTGACTGGCTGGCCTAATGCACAAGTAATCGCAATCCCCTGAACAGTAAAAAAACTATATACAACCCCCATGCAGTCTGCGAAATACGGCTCAGACTGACTGATTCACTCAACCTCAAATATATATATATATATATCCGCCGACCACGGCCTTCGCCAAGGCCGGGGCGGCGCCTGGGACCACCGCAGGTGTGGACCTTGTCCTCTTCCAAACCCTCCAAACCTTTACCCTTAAGCAGCTTCCCCAACAGGCACCCCAGGGCCAGGGCCACAGCAATGACTTTCTATGAGCTTTCAAAGCTGCCATTTGCCAGCCCGCAAAGGCTCCAAACGCCTCCAAAATTCCAAACCCCAGGGCCAGGGCCACAGCAATGAGACTTTTTATGAATTTCAAAGCTGCCGTTTGCTAGCCCGCAAAGGCTCCAAACTTTCCAAAACAAAATTCCAAACACCTTCCCCAACAGGCCCCCCAGGGCCAAGGCCACTTCCCCAACAGGCACCCCACGGCCAGGGCCAAGGCCACTTCCCCAACAGGCACCCCAGGGCCAGGCCACAGCAATGGCTTTCTTAGGCTTTCAAAGCTGCCGTTTGCCAGCCCGCAAACCCTCCAAAACTCTCCAAACGCTCCAAACGCTCCAACCCCTCCAAAACCCGCCAAACCCTCCAAACACCGTCCCCAGCAGGCACCTCAGATCCACAGCAATGACTTTCTTGATGCTTTCAAAGCTGCCGTTTGCCAGCCCGCAAAGGCTGCAACCCCTCAAAGCTGCAGTTTGCCAGCCTGCAAAGGATCCAAACTTCCAAAATTCCAAACACCTTCCCCAACATGCACCCTAGGGCCAAGGCAACTTCCCCAACAGGCACCCCAGGGCCAGGGCCCAGGGCCAGGGCCAAGGCCACTTCCCCAACAGGCACCCCAGGGCCAGGCCACAGCAATGGCTTTCTATAGGCTTTCAAAGCTGCCGTTTGCCAGCCCGCAAACCCTCCAAAACTCTCCAAACGCTCCAAACCCTCCAAAACCCGCCAAACCCTCCAAACACCGTCCCCAGACCACCGCAGGTTGGACCTTGTCCTCTTCCAAACCCTCCAAACCTTTACCCTTAAACAGCTTCCCCAACAGGCACCCCAGGGCCAGGGCCACAGCAATGACTTTCTATGGGCTTTCAAAGCTGCCGTTTGCCAGCCCGCACAGGCTCCAATCCCCTCCAAAATTCCAAACCCCCAGGGCCAGGGCCACAGCAATGAGACGTTTTATGGGCTTTCAAAGCTGCCATTTGCCAGCCCGCAACGGCTCCAAACTTTCCAAAACAAAATTCCAAACCCCCAGGGCCAGGGCCACAGCAATGAGACTTTTTATGGGCTTTCAAAGCTGCCGTTTGCCAGCCCGCAAACCCTCCAAAACTCTCCAAACGCTCCAAACGCTCCAAACCCTCCAAAACCCGCCAAACCCTCCAAACACCGTCCCCAGCAGGCACCTCAGATCCACAGCAATGACCTTCTTGAGGCTTTCAAAGCTGCCGTTTGCCAGCCCGCAAAGGCTGCAACCCCCCCAAAATTCCAAACACCTTCCTTAAAACAGGGCAAGGCCACTTCCCCAACAGGCACCCCAGGGCCAGGGCCAAGGCCACTTCCCCAACAGGCACCCCAGGGCCAGGCCACAGCAATGGCTTTCTATGGGCTTTCAAAGCTGCCGTTTGCCAGCCCGCAAACCCTCCAAAACTCTCCAAACGCTCCAAACGCTCCAAACCCTCCAAAACCTCCAAAACCCGCCAAACCCTCCAAACACCGTCCCCAGCAGGCACCCCAGATCCACAGCAATGACTTTCTTGACGCTTTCAAAGCTGCAAAGGATCCAAACTTTCAAAATTCCAAACACCTTCCCCAACATGCACCCTAGGGCCAAGGCAACTTCCCCAACAGGCACCCCAGGGCCAGGGCAATGACTTTCTATGGGCTTTCAAAGCTGCCGTTTGCCAGCCCGCAAACCCCCCAAAACGCTCCAAACGCTCCAAACCCTCCAAAACCCGCCAAACCCTCCAAACACCGTCCCCAGCAGGCACCTCAGATCCACAGCAATGACTTTCTTGAGGCTTTCAAAGCTGCCGTTTGCCAGCCCGCAAAGGCTGCAACCCCCCCAAAATCCAAACACCTTCCTTAACAGGGCAAGGCCACTTCCCCAACAGGCACTCCAGGGCCAGGGCCAAGGCCACTTCCCCAACAGGCACCCCAGGGCCAGGCCACAGCAATGGCTTTCTATGGGCTTTCAAAGCTGCCGTTTGCCAGCCCGCAAACCCTCCAAAACTCTCCAAACGCTCCAAACCCTCCAAAACCCGCCAAATCCTCCAAACACCGTCCCCAGCAGGCACCCCAGATCCACAGCAATGACTTTCTTGACGCTATCAAAGCTGCAAAGGATCCAAACTTCCAAAATTCCAAACACCTTCCCCAACATGCACCCTAGGGCCAAGGCAACTTCCCCAACAGGCACCCCAGGACCAGGGCCACAGCAATGACTTTCTATGGGCTTTCAAAGCTGCCGTTTGCCAGCCCGCAAAGGCTCCAAACCCTTCCAAAATTCCAAACCCCCAGGGCCAGGGCCACAGCAATGAGACTTTTTATGAATTTCAAAGCTGCCGTTTGCTAGCCCGCAAAGGCTCCAAACTTTCCAAAACAAAATTCCAAACACATTCCCCAACAGGCACCCCAGGGCCAAGGCCACTTCCCCAACAGGCACCCCAGGGCCAGGGCCAAGGCCACTTCCCCAACAGGCACCCCAGGGCCAGGCCACAGCAATGGCTTTCTATGGGCTTTCAAAGCTGCCGTTTGGCAGCCCGCAAACCCTCCAAAACTCTCCAAACGCTCCAAAACCCGCCAAACCCTCCAAACACCGTCCCCAGCAGGCACCTCAGATCCACAGCAATGACTTTCTTGAGGCTTTCAAAGCTGCCGCTTGCCAGCCCGCAAAGGCTGCAAGCCCCCCAAAATTCCAAACACCTTCCTTAACAGGGCAAGGCCACTTCCTCAACAGGCACCCCAGGGCCAGGGCCAAGGCCACTTCCCCAACAGGCACCCCAGGGCCAGGCCACAGCAATGGCTTTCTTAGGCTTTCAAAGCTGCCGTTTGCCAGCCCGCAAACCCTCCAAAACTCTCCAAAACTCTCCAAACCCTCCAAACCCTCCAAACGCTCCAAACCCTCCTAAACCCGCCAAACCCTCCAAACACCGTCCCCAGCAGGCACCCCAGATCCACAGCAATGACTTTCTTGACGCTTTCAAAGCTGCAAAGGATCCAAACTTCCAAAGTTCCAAACACCTTCCCCAACATGCACCCTAGGGCCAAGGCAACTTCCCCAACAGGCACCCCAGGGCCAGGGCCCAGGGCCAGGGCCAAGGCCACTTCCCCAACAGGCACCCCAGGGCCAGGGCCACAGCAATGACTTTCTATGGGCTTTCAAAGCTGCCGTTTGCCAGCCCGCAAAGGCTCCAAACCCTTCCAAAATTCCAAACCCCCAGGGCCAGGGCCACAGCAATGAGACTTTTTATGAATTTCAAAGCTGCCGTTTGCTAGCCCGCAAAGGCTCCAAACTTTCCAAAACAAAATTCCAAACACCTTCCCCAACAGGCACCCCAGGGCCAAGGCCACTTCCCCAACAGGCACCCCAGGGCCAGGGCCAAGGCCACTTCCCCAACAGGCACCCCAGGGCCAGGCCACAGCAATGGCTTTCTATGGGCTTTCAAAGCTGCCGTTTGCCAGCCCGCAAAGCCCTCCAAAACTCTCCAAACGCTCCAAACGCTCCAAACCCTCCAAAACCCGCCAAACCCTCCAAACACCGTCCCCAGCAGGCACCTCAGATCCACAGCAATGACTTTCTTGAGACTTTCAAAGCTGCCGTTTGCCAGCCCGCAAAGGCTGCAACCCCCCCAAAATTCCAAACACCTTCCTTAAAACAGGGCAAGGCCACTTCCCCAACAGGCACCCCAGGGCCAGGGCCAAGGCCACTTCCCCAACAGGCACCCCAGGGCCAGGCCACAGCAATGGCTTTCTATGGGCTTTCAAAGCTGCCGTTTGCCAGCCCGCAAACCCTCCAAAACTCTCCAAACGCTCCAAACGCTCCAAACCCTCCAAAACCAACGCTCCAAACCCTCCAAAACCCGCCAAACCCTCCAAACACCGTCCCCAGCAGGCACCCCAGATCCACAGCAATGACTTTCTTGACGCTTTCAAAGCTGCAAAGGATCCAAACTTCCAAAATTCCAAACACCTTCCCCAACATGCACCCTAGGGCCAAGGCAACTTCCCCAACAGGCACCCCAGGGCCAGGGCCCAGGGCCAGGGCCAAGGCCACTTCCCCAACAGGCACCCCAGGGCCAGGGCCACAGCAATGACTTTCTATGGGCTTTCAAAGCTGCCGTTTGCCAGCCCGCAAAGGCTCCAAACCCTTCCAAAATTCCAAACCCCCAGGGCCAGGGCCACAGCAATGAACTTTTTATGAATTTCAAAGCTGCCGTTTGCCAGCCCACAAAGGCTCCAAACTTTCCAAAACAAAATTCCAAACACCTTCCCCAACAGGCACCCCAGGGCCAAGGCCACTTCCCCAACAGGCACCCCAGGGCCAGGGCCAAGGCCACTTCCCCAACAGGCACCCCAGGGCCAGGCCACAGCAATGGCTTTCTATGCGCTTTCAACGCTGCCGTTTGCCAGCCCGCAAACCCTCTAAAACTCTCCAAACGCTCCAAAATGTATGATTATGTACCGCCTAAGTGCAAAACCCTTTTTTTCATTACGTTACCCCACAAACTCACAAAAGGACTAAAAACATGAGGTTACAATGACAGTCCTAAGAACGGAGGGTCCTTGACACTCAAAGTATATATAAATCCATCTGTCTTTCTTCCTATGCCACTATCTATCTATCCAACAATCGATCTATCCATCTGTTTATCCAACTGTCTATCTACCTATCTGTCATCTATCTCTCTCTCTCTCTCTTTCTCTCTCTCTCCCTCTCTCTCTCTCTCTCTCTGTCCCTCTATCTATACATCTGTCCAACAATATCTATCCACCTGTTTATCAAGCTGTCTATCTACCTATCTATCAATCTATCTCTCTCTCTCTCTCTATCCCTCTATCTATCCATCAATCTATCATCTATTCACATGTCTACCTGTCTGTCTGTCTGTCTATCTATCCATCCATCCATCCATCCATCCGTCCATCCGTCCATCCATCCATCCATCCATCCCCATCCATCCATCCATCCATCCATCCATCCATCTCTCCCTCTCCTCTCTCTCTCTCTCTCTCTCTCCATCCCCCTCTCCTCTCTCTCTCTCTCTCTCTCTCTCTCTCCATCCCCCTCTCCTCTCTCTCTCTCTCTCTCTCTCTCTCCCCCCAGTCCCCCCCAAATAGAGGGGGGTCGGCGGCACCTGGGCGCTAGCCCATTCTATATATATATATATATATCATAAGAAAGATTTGCAACATAATGGTACACAATGTCGGGAATTTTCGACGCAATGTTTTTGGGACTCGGACTTCTGGCGTAAATCTTGGAAAATTACAATTTGAACATGTTGCGACTTGCCCTTGACTTGCTCACAAGATCTAAAGCAAGTTTGCAAACTCACAACCACAACCCAACACATCGTTCCAAATCAAGTGCACACTTTTGCCTTCGAACTTACATGCGTCCCAAACATATCACTGGAAACGACGTGCCCAAGATAGTTTATGACCTCACTCCTGGAATTACGACGTACTGTATCCTGCAGAAAAACGTCCTGGGTTTTCTTTTACAGAGACTGCGTGAGGAGTGGAACAGAAGCAAATCAAACTTTTCATGGAATGACATCTCAAGAAGTACATCTATCCTCGATAATCATGACAATGAACATAGCAAGTTCCAGCATATATCATGTTGTCCTATGTCCCAGGGAAATCATCCAGAAATGGAGCTTCCAGTGCCTGAAAAATGTGCTGCATTGACATGTCGTGGTGCTGGCTGGTATCCACAGGCCAAGCCTGTGCTTCTCAGATTTCGTTCGAGGTGTTATCTAATGGTAAGATTTGCCAAGGGGATGGGATTGATTCAATGGCCAATCATGTCAGGAACCGAAAAAAATGAAGGTACCTACCATATACAAGGCCTATGTAAGGGAATATCCCATTGATTCCCAATGATTGCTGGTGGATTGTCCATATTTTGTCATATTTTGGGGTGCCCCAATGTTCCGCTCAAATGTGACGTTCCAATCCTTGAACGATTGGCCCAATGGACCCATCGGGACCCATCGCACCCTCCCGGCCTTCATACCCGACATCCGCGAAGCTGTCCGGCACAGTGGGGAGCCTTAGGGCGATGGGAACTTAGTAGGATCATGCATCCAACATAACTATGGCTAGACATGTGCTAAACAAGTATTATAACCCTAGAAAAGGGACAACTATTATAACCAACATTCATATGGGATACTACTGGCTTGGGATAACATCTGTTTGAAGCCGAAACATCTCTAAAAATCGTCCAATCGGCTTCCAGAATTTCAGAAACCCAGCAGTTCTGCCCCTGAGCAGCAACCATCGTGCTTAAACGAAGCGATCCACAAGTTTGTCCATCCATCCATCCATCCATCCATCCATCCATCCATCCATCCATCCATATATATCCATCCCTTCTTGCAACCGCAAAATCGGTCGATCTGGGTGATCATTGACTGGAGAATTGGAGGATGAACGTAAAAAATATCCCCAAAATTACCAATCAGTTCATTGCTTGCATCTATGTCAGATTTGGCTACATGCCCATTGTGTATATATATATATATATGTGTGTGTGTCTGTGTGTAAATGATATATATATATATATATACACGTGTTATATATATATATATGATAATAAATGTATATTGCTTGGAGGTGGATCCCAGCCGCAATGGTTTCTCATTCAGAACTTGCAACCCCAATGATATGGCCCACATGAATCCATATGCGACACGTTTCTCGGTCATTTCATATGGTTGAAGCATGTTCTGGGACCATAAGGGGTTGAGGGGATCCTAGTCTTTGGTGCTCCTCCCAGTGATGTTTGCTTAATCCCCATGAATTAATATGAATTATAGGTATATCGACCATGAACCATATAGTTCACCTTATAAACAGTAACTTAGCTACACTCTGGTAATTTAACATAGCTATTGAAAATGGCCATTTATAGTGGGTTTAACCCATTAAAACTGGTGATTTTCCATAGTTATGTAAACGTTTACCAGAGGGTAGCTTAGCTAGGGGGCACCACCCTGTCTTCTGGGGGTATCTCCCCATGTTTCTCGACTTCGCCATCTGTCTATGGCCCCCTGCGCTTCGCGGCTTGGCTCCTTGCGCATTACCTCGGACCCGCTCCCATGGGAAGGGGAGTGATGTCTACACTATATCATTGAATCATCCAGTAGATCTACATAACATGTATATTTTTAATATCTGTATATATATATATATTCATTTATATACATAAATTATTTTATAATTAATATATGTATATTATATATACAATATTATAATATTATTATCATTATATATATATACATGATACAAACATAATATATATACATATGTATATATACATAATAAATGTATATATATATATGATAATCTTTGATTCTGCGAAACCCAGGGTCTTCATTTGTTTTCTGCTCATGGCGTTTTGCCGCGCTGAATTCTCTTCCTGGCCTTAGCCATGATCTTTCCAAACGAGCTCATCAATGGTTGGAAGATTGAAAGCAGCACTGTACAACTAAGAAGGCCTGCAGTACCTCCCGTCGCCGCAATCAACCAGCCAGGCATCCATGAGATATTCAACCTTAGGTCGATGTGGATCAAAACTTGCGGGTGCACTCAAAGAAAGCCGAAGGTTGTCAAACTCTTTGTATTAGTATTTCCTAGGAAAGACCAAGATTTTGACAGCCTTTGGCTTTCTTTGTGTGTATGCCCACGTTTTCATTTTGACATAATGAAATGATTCAATATTTCACCATGTCGCATCAGAGTGTTTGTCTCTCTGGATGCCAGGAATCTCAACAAAGAAGCATCGACCACCCACATTAGTTGGTCACGTGGCCATCCAATGTAGGGAAACATGATCCAAAAGTGCGTCCAGAACCTATCCAGTATAGGTCTTTTGCGAAAGACCTGAATATGAATCTTAAGACCTGTTTAGGGGAAGTGCTACAGCTGGGGTGTAGGATGTGCATGCAAAACTCATTGGGCCATTGCAAGCTGATTCTAATTGCACAACGAAGAAACCAGAAAAAAATGGTGCCACACCTTCCGGTAGACAGCCTGTGGAAAACCCTATTAAAATCGTGGAAAGACCCATTAAGATCAGGATGATCAGGGAAAAAAATATGCAGGTCGTGAACGGTGGATTGCGAAAACTTGAAATATGGGCACGTCAAAGGAAATGAAGTGCGTTAGAAACTTTAGAATGAATGAAGCCTTCAATCTGAATCGTCTCGATGACTAAACAAACCAAGATTAACATGCAATTTTGAGGCTACTATATCCAACGTCCTTCAATACGTCTTTAGTTTCGGAAATGGGTCTTAAGGTAAAGACCTATCCTGACTTGGACATTTTGGACTTTAAGGGTGATGCAAATATCCATATCACCGATATAAATATAAACAATATCGCATATCGCAACAACTAAATAACATTGACTCATCTTGACCAAACAACAAATGGAACAAAAAAACACAAACAAACAATTGGCTGGGCAATGTTATTTCCCATGACAAATACATGGCCCACAACTTTCCAAACCAAGGTGAAGCAGCTAACCTTGGCTGCTATGCTATGCGCCAAGAAGCAGTGGTGGGCGCGAACGGAAAGATCTCACCACAGCCAGAGTGCCGGGAAAGGCGTGCACTGCCCATGATATGACCTGAAGTTTGCCATAGACTCTGCTAATCTAACCTGGCAATGAGGAAAAAAAACAGGGCATATGCTACTTCGAAAACATCTACGCATGTGGTGACTTTGCAAGAGGGTGTCTTCTCAAACACTCAAAGCAAAAATAGCGACGGCAATCTCAAGTTATGAGGCTAGTAGGTGGGGGGGCAACCCAATGCCATTCAGCCCCAAGGAACCCACCAAACAACCAACTAGGCATGGTACTTGATTCATTACCGCATGCTTGTCATCTTGGTTTTGCATAAGCACCATTCATCCAATAATCAAATAGGCTGGCCCCAAACCCAACTGTATATAAACACAACATTGATATACTGCCCCGTGGGCATTTTTATTTTGAGAGAATTGGTATGATATTCTTATGATTTGTGCTAATGGTATTGTAGTTATGCTCGTAAAATTAAAGTACACTATATATATATACATGTACACATGTTATACAGCATGTGCAAAATCAACATATCAACATGTATGCATATATATATAGAATATTATATTGAATACGCATGATGTATGCATAGATTCATCCACTTGCATGTGGACCCCGGTGGTCCCCCAAAGGCCCTTTGGATGAAATCATGACCCATTTGATGTTCGGATCAGCGAGCTGGGAGCATGTTCCAGCTGCTTGGTCCCAGGGGGCTCCTTTGGGGGACCCCATGTTTGGACAAAGCCTGGAAAAACTTGGAACCACTCATGGCAGCTTCAATCATAAGTTGGTTTGTAAATCCATTATAGTAGATATTTCATGATATTTCATGATATAGATTCTACCATCAAACACAGAATGTGCCTGATGGATTCAACCAATTTTCCAATCGAGAATCCTGGGGCCCCGTAAGGGGCCCCAGACATCAAAACCTGCTGCGCCAAGTCACGAAGTGAAGCAACACCACAGCCTCCAAGCATCGAGCGACATCTACTCGCTGTGCGGATTGCCGAAGAGCTGTGAAGGATCGGAGCCTGCGGCCTCAGTGACCCAGCACTTGATCTGCGTGTCTCACACATGGATGCAACATGAAGTAATACAAGAGGCTTGGATGTCAAATTTGGAAAAAACTGTGGAAAACCATGAGGCACCATGGAGGGGCGAGTGAAGAAAACACGGCAAAATCATGGCACAACATGATCCCCATCTGTACCCCGGAGGGTCCTGTCCTGGAAAATAATTGGGTTCCATGTGTGGGTGCTGACCTTTCTGACCATCAAAATCCTGGTGCCCTGACTTTTCTAAGGCGAATGAAGCTTGCAGGCACGTCCTGATGCCTGTTTCCAGAAGGGCATTTGTTCTCCTCTAGCCGTAGGAATTCCTGGGTGCCCTCATACAAGACTCAAATAACTATCCCCTCAACATAATTATACTGTTATTAGACGAATTTTCTGGGTGCCAGGATACTTTAGCACATAACCCGCGCCTGGGGCCTGGAACATCTAAAATCGCGGATCTGAACGTTTCCAGCTGACGACAGATTCGAATGGGGTTTGTCTGAAACACTTTGTTGTGCAAAAGAAGATGCATGAGGATGTAAGTTCTGGCTTAGTTTAAAAAAAAGACGCATGGATATAAAATATGCAAATCCGTGATTTCAAGATTTTTAATTTTGGCAGTGGGCTCCCAGGAAAGAAATCTACCTGTACAAACGAAGGTCAACATGAGAAAAACGAAAAACCGGGTCAAAAAATAGAAGACCTCATGCTTACAGAGAAAAAACATGGCTTCCTGTCCATTTTGGCCTTCAACAAATCCAATGAGCATGGACAAATTGAACTTGGGGCCTTTGAAACTTCCGAAAGAAGTTGAACACATTGCTTCATCCCAAATCCGGACTCTTATCTTGGCCGCTTCCCAAGCCAAAGGTCATCCAAACTCGATATGAAAACAGGACCTCCATGTCAATAATCAAATGAAAGGATCCTCCAACCATCCTAAGGTTGCTCCTACCAGTTCTTGTTTACCATTTTCAACCCAGTCGCCAGGTCTCTTCAACCTCACTGTATCCTTCAAGGTGATCATCATCCCCATGATCACCAGCGCCCATAGGCTCCCCATGGCGGCCAGCCCCGGTGGTGCTGACACCATCCCCCAATGGCACAGGAGATTCGTGGCCAGCCCCGACGTGATGTAGAGCAGCGCCAGCGTGGAAGGGCCCAGGTCGAGCTCAATGGGACGAGCAAAGAGGAGAAGAAGAAGACTGCTGCAGCTGAAGCTCTTCCAATCGGGCCTCCGTGCTTCATTTTCCACGGCCATTGTGGGGTTGTGAAAGCCAGTTGCAACATTCGGATAGGTCTTGCTTTGACCTTCTGAGCCTTCAGTTTTTAAAACATGAAATGTGAATGTGGCCATATAATGCACATCCAGTAGGAAACTTACTAAAACTAATTTTCCCAGCATAGTGATAATCCACTGGTAACGAAGGGGTAAAATGTGTCATTGGGGGCTATGTGTCATTGGTAATGTGACGGACATGTGCTGCGCCATGTTCAACAATCTTCATGAGGCAGGGTTCAACATCTTGGAACAGCTTGACTACAGTATGTCTTGCCGCAAGTACAAAACGAGGTACCCCTGGCATTTTAGGATGAGATCACCATATAATATATAATTAGATATGTACTATCTACGTTTTACATGGCCTGATTTTTTTCTACCCATCATAAGCACGTATATAGGTAGAGGTCGGGCTAGACATTTCACGTGCAGGTATATACATAAATATATGATATGTATAATACATGTATATATAGTATGTATATATATATGTGTATATATATATATATAAAACTATGTAATATCAAAACTATACTGATATTGTTTGACAAATCAGAAGCTGTTCGGTTCCAACCACCAAAAGGATCAAATGAGGATAGAAAACAGTACATGTCTATCTGATGGTTGATGGTCAACAAAGTTTCAAAATATTTGCCAACACTCAGATCCAGTGGCAAAAGAAACGTGGAAAGTATTGCTTGTGGCCACGCGATGTTGGGCGCATTGCTGACAAATTGGAAGAACTTCATACCTCCATGCTGCTCAATCATTTGCGAGACGAAGAGGAACAGAACCAACCTGAGGAATTCCCGCAAGGATCCGAAAGGCCAATCCAAAAGGTGACTTACCAATACTTACCAAACTTCAAAGTGGTCATCATAGTGATGACCACTTACACCCTTTATAGTGACTCCTCGATGATCGACCATTGTTGGGTCACCTGTGGGGTGCTGCGCTGCAGGTTGAATCCCCAACGAAATTACCATCTGGTTATGACTGGCAGTTTGCCATGGAAAATCACCATGCTATTAATAGGTAAACTATCTATAAATAGGCCATTTCCCATGGCTATGTTAAATAACCAGAGGGTAAAACCAGAATGAACCAACGAATCATCCTGAATCAATAAACCCACTTGTGATATCATCTCATAATTCTACCTCCAAATGATCAACAGCCCCAAGGGATTCTTCCAAATCCATGTTTTTCTCCATTACCATCACGATAATCCAATTATAAACATGTAAGGATTTGCACTTGATCATGGGTCAAAAGCATTTGATTCGGGGTAGGGTTTGGGATGTGAAAAGTACAAAGTCAAATCTATATCTCCATTTTCAGTGTATATATATATATTATGCACCTATCGTTCTGTTTCTTCATGAAAACCCATTGACATCGCATTTAGATATTGTAGATATATCCAGATATACCGATATATGTGTATACATATATATATATCCATATAGATCCATATAACCGTGATATATGTGTATACCTGTATGCACCCATGTATAAATAGATAAACACATAAATTATATCATATATATCATATATATATATATATATGTATATATATATGGCCATGCACGCCCATGTCCATGTATCTATACAAATATACACCCATAATTTATACTAAACATATATGTACCCCCAAATCTGGCCACAGCGCCGCTTCTGGGCCACCACTTTCGCGGGCCACTGCTGCAGTGGCTGCACAATGATGGCCAAGCTCCAGCGCTGCTTGGCAGAATGGCAAACTGTGGGCAAGGTATTCCGTTTCTACCCAGACCCATATTGTTTTGGGCAGAATTGACCGGCCTTTTTCATTTCACACCCCAACAAAAACATAGTCTTGTCAATAAGATCGCCCAACACCTTTTGACGAACTGAAAGGGCAAAGATACCGACACAACAGTGAGTAGTGCACTCACCAATTAAATGAGAGCCATGACAAGGATACCAACAACAACCGCCACTAACACTGTTTCATGGGATTTGATCACAAAATATCATGGAATCAAAGATATACATCATAGAACTTCCGGTCACTCAAACAAAACCCAATATTTACAGTGTAGACTCGACAACTTGTTTGTGAAGTATATGCGAGGATTCCAGTCAAGGTCGGACAACTCACCGTGATCCATGGCAATCACAACACGATAGGATTTGATGTAAAAGCATCTGAAACATGCCTCCCTGCAGAAGTCAACGCTTGATTTTGCTGTGAAGACTTCTGCCTGTTTCAGCTGAACATGTTCTAAATTCCTAGGTTTCTTAGATGTCCAGCAGAAGTCTGGATATTGAATCTCCAATGGTACTTCTGCTGGCCATGCATCATCCCTGGGAATTTCAAAAGATTTCAATAGAAACCTTCAGATCTTTCTTGTTGGATTTCACACTTTGACTTCTGCACCAAAAAATGAAAAAATGTGTTTTTTTTTTCGGGGCATTGATTTCGGTTCCAAAACATCACAGATTTCCGAAGGTTTCGGCTGAAACCTTCAGAAATTTTCCATTTTCTGACCCCAAATCAATGTCCGGAAAAAAACAACATATATTTTTGCTTTAATTACAAGTTTCTGAGCGCAAATATTTCAGTGATATATTCTTGTGTTCTTTGGTTGTTGCTGTTCTCCTTGTTCTAGTGGCGGTTGTTGTTGGTATCCTTGTCATGGCTCTCATTTAATTCGTGAGTGCGCTACTCACTGTTGTGTCGGTATCTTTGCTCTTTCAGTTCGTCAAAAGGTGTTGGGCGATCTTATTGACATGACTATGTTTTTGTTGGGGTGTGAAATGAAAAAGGCAGGTCAATGCTGCCCAAAACAAAATGGGTCTGGGTAGAAACGGAACACCTTGCCCACAGTGAGCTTGGCCATCATTGTGCAGCCACTGCAGCAGTGGCCCGCGAAAGTGGTGGCCCAGAAGCGGCGCTGTGGCCAGATTTGGGGGTGCATTATTATATGTTTAGTATAAAGTATGGGTGTATATTTGTATAGATACATGGACATGGGCGTGCATGGCCATATATATATATATACATATATATATATGATATATATGATATAATTTATGTGTTTATCTATTTATACATGGGTGCATACAGGTATATACATATATCACGGTTATATGGATCTATATGGATATATATATATATGTATACACATATATCGGTATATCTGGATATATCTACAATATCTAAATTCAATGTCAATGGGTGTTCATGAAGAAATAGAACGATAGGTGCATAATATACATATATATATGTACTGTATATAGAGATATAGATTTGACTTTGTACTCTTCACATCCCAAACCCTATCCCAAATCAAATGCTTTTGACCCATGATCAAGTGCAAATCCTTATGTTTACACTTAAACTTAAAACCCATTGAACCACCATATAACATCATATAACCACCATATAACCCAGCGCTTCCAAAGAATAGGTGTACTGAGTCCGTTATCACAAAGGACCGGTTTGACTAAAAGGCAACAATTTACCCATGTTACAGGAAATTATGGAAAACATCCAGAACCATGCTTTCACAGGCTTTTCACGGCCTTTTCACCCACTTTTCACGGGCTTTTCGTTTATCATAGTAAGTTGTATTTTCATCAAAGTTGACCAGCTTCAAGGTTAAACCTAGTCGTTGTGACTGGGTGAGTTTTTGGTGCCCGTTGAAGTTCTGGGTAACATCATATAACCAATCGCTATAACCTAATCATCCAAGTATAAACATTTAGAAACCCATTGAACCACCATATATAACCACCATATCACCACCAAATATAACAATCATTTTCCGCCCAGACACGTCACCGTGCAAGCGACTGGCGGGTTTTCATCCGTGTCACTCGCCAGGTGCTTGAGCGAATCATCGAGCCGGCGGCGCGCTTCTTGGCGAGCACTGCGGAAACCTTGCAGCCCTGAAGATAGAAATGACCTGCGAAAAATGGGCAGTTTCACCATCAAACATGGTGGCTTAAGCCTCAAACATGGTGGTTTGGCCTTCAAGAATGGTGGTTGAAGCATGGTTTAAGCATCAAGTATGGTGGTTTCACCATGAACAATTGTTGTTTGACCATCAGCATGGCTGTTTAACCAAAGGTAGGGATATTTAATTAATCATTTTGATCATGAGTTTCCCTATTGATCCCTATTGGGCATCTTCGGCAACCAACAGGCCTGTTTGGTAGTTGCGCCAGCAGCAGAAAACCAATGGGGGAATATTGAGTGATTCTGCCCCATGTTTGTTGCATGAAAAAAACACAAATGAGCAGTGTTACTCTCGCTCATTCGATCATACTGGTTTGTTATAGAAACCAGGACTTCCATTTAGTGGAGTGGTTGATGACAATCCCCCATAATTACATTGGATAGTATACCCCCTATAATCACCAACAAGGTCTTGAACGCTGCTGTACTGAAGCGCCAGCCAGACGCAACATGCCCTTGGAATCTTCCGCTTCGCTGCCCACCTCGAAATTCAAAAGAACTTGCCACCGCTCGCCCCCTCTGAGCCCCATGGATTGCAAGACTCCCCATTGAAAACCAATGTGCAGTAAACCATAAACCACAGGATTACAAGATATATGTTTTAATTTTTAATAGTACACCAAAGACCAAAACCTAACCAGTGTACCTGAACACGTTTTTTTAGATGTCAACATATGTCAACCATAAACCATCAACCCCAACAAAGCCCATCAACTCTATTGCGAGCTGGGAAATCCAGCATGCCACGTTTGAGGACACCAGAGGGTACACACAGTACAAACAAGGCTGGTGAATTTTGACGAAGTTCATCGGTGAGATGCCTAGAATTGGCCTCCATTCAACTTGGCATTGGAAAATCCGTGTGCTTCTATATGATTGTCCCATGTTTTCCCAAACTTAGGAACGGCCATTTGTAGGTTGTAGATTGGTTATAAGATGATTCTAGAAAATCAAAAAAAGAGATGCCGAACAGTCTTTCCAGGATGGTCGTTCGATGATATAAAAACCCTCATATTTGCAGACTTCCAAGTGACCAGCTCTGTAGCCGTATCTGCCACCTGGATCGCAGCGTTCTGAAGAGAGATCACTCGACGGAGAGTTTTGTAGGAGTGTTGAATATGGAAAAGGATTATACTGATTGGAGTTTTGGGTATCTCCAAAAACTATCAACAAACTCATACTGGTTGGTGGTTTCAACCATCTTGAAAAATATTTAGTCAATGGGAAGGATTCTCCCATATATTATGGAAAATAAAAAATGTTCCAAACCACCAACCAGCATATATATATATATAGCAGATCTGGTGTGGGTTTCCCTTTCTTTTGGCCACACTCATGGAACGCAGAACCTGGCCATTGTGATCTGTCTGCTTTGGATCAACTTCAGTGGGTCAGATATGCTGGGAGTGCAGTGTTTCCGCTATCAGTTCACCGTGTGAGCAGTGCCTAAACTCCTTGTTGTTTGATGGGAGGAATCCCATAATCTTATCAAAAGTAGTATCATGGTATCATGTATTGCATGTGAAATTTTAAAACCGAAATTATCCCTAATTCATGATATAATCAGCCATAATCAGCCTATATATCATTATATACATATCATTAATATAAAACTGCCGTTGAAGTCCCGCGGTTCTTAACCAGCCATGGGTTTTTTCACCATGGCGCCTTCAACGCAGTGTCCAGTTGAGACTCTTGCGACTGGAGCCAGCCATCCACCACGTCGACCACCTGGTCTCCCTGCTTCTTGAAATCCAATTTGGAGCTGCCATCTGACATGAAGCATTTCCAAACCTCACCGCGTCGCATCACCGCGTCAATGAATAAGATTGAATAAGTGCATCTGCAAATGTCATCAAATGTCTATAAATTCATGGGAAGGAGGAAAACCATGTCCTTCCAAGTCGATTCAGGACATTCTGCCAAACCATTCTCACAAGTCCAGAACGTTTGCGATCGGTCTGGCTCTGCAGCCGAGGAGCAATCCAATGAACGGCTGCAATAACCACAGCCAGCACCAAGCTTCCACGGAGCTGCCAGAAAGGCACTGATGCACAAAGTACAATCCTCCGCATCGCTGTCGGTCTGTCGGGCGTTTCAGGCAACTTCAATTTAAAGAAATATCTTACGTGTTATTCCGTGAAAAAGAACATCCTGGAAGTAAGCACAAACTGTCAATGAATATCAACAAATAGAAATCGCTGTAGGAGTGCATAAACTAATTAGCTCATATTAGCGCCTGGTGACCAGCGCGTGCCCTTTTCCAACCCCAAGAAGCATACATAGGACGTTTAAAGTTATACGATGAGCAAAAAATGACAGGCGTGCCCCACCAAGGGCATCGGGTGAACCATGAAGGGACCACCAGCATGCCGAAAAAACATGAACAAAAACATCAAAGATTATGTCAAAGGCGACCCCCTCATCATAAGGTTTTCTTGGGGACTTATTAACTTTAACAACAACAGCAACAACAACAACTACTACTTTACTACTACTAGTGCTGCTACTACTACTACTACTAGTGCTGCTACTACTACTACTGCTACTACTACTACTACTACTACTATTACTGTTACTACTACTACTACTGCTGCTGCTGCTACTACTACCCTACTACTACCACTACTACTACCCTACTACTAACACTACTACTACTACCACTATACTACTACCACTCCTACTACCACTATTACTACCACTACGACTACCACTGCGACTACCACGACTACTACGACTACTCCTGCTCCTACTGCTCCTACTGCTCCTACTGCTCCTACTGCTCCTACTGCTCCTACTGCTCCTACTGCTCCTACTGCTCCTACTGCTCCTACTGCCACTGCCACCACCACCACCACGACGACTACTACAACTACAATCTACAACCAGTAACGGCAAATCTTACCCATCCATATCCATCTATCATGGCTACCAACGTTTGGGTATATGAATAAAGCTAGATTACAGTAGCTGAATCGCCGTGGCAATGCCCAGACCAAGTCGCCACAGGAACTGCCCCAGCAGCAGCGATTTGAAGAGCCTCCAGCGGTTCAGCCACAGGCTGATGCTGGTGCAGCCCGGCAGCGGCTCAGAATTTTGCACCGACCTCTATGGTGCCGTGGAATGCCTGAACCCCTTGGAGAAAAACACACATATCCATCTGAATCTTATCCACAAAAATAAATATTAGTTGTTGACCTGTGCTATGTATATACATAAACACAATTATATACCGGTGTATATACGTATAACTATGTGTGACATGCGTGTCTGCATGTTTGTGTTCCCCTTTGGGAAGTCAATGAAAAAAGGAACATGCACAGGTGTTTGCATGATTATACAATGATATGCAGCTGCTATCAGCTGCTGGCATGTAGGACATAACATATCAACACATATTATCATATATATGCCACGAAGATCTCGAAGGTTCTCAAACATGTAGATTTTGGCCTGATGGAATGTATCTCATGCCACTCCACCCCTAAGCCTTAGCACTGCACCCACTTGTTGTATCTCCAAAAGTTTCTAAGCAAATGTACAGGTCACGAGACATTCACCACGCGGCCAGTAGCAAGAAACAAGAGAAAGAAAGCGACGAGACTTGCCTTGGTGGTGCTGTGAACTCATCCAAACAGGTTGTCACCTTTCGACTGATGACTGAATTTCCTAACATTCATAATTTCAGGGGATCATCATTCCAGGGATGCTTCTTTTGAAACCAAAAACCGGTTTCGATCGACTGGGATCGTCCAAACAGTAAAAAATAAAACAACATGGGTCTTAAAATTAGGTACCCCAAAATCCCATGGTTGATCTTATTTGCAATGCCAAAAAAGATTAAAAAAGGGGTGTCAAAGCCCCCCGAAACTTGAAACCATTGAAACCACTTGGAGATTCCAGGCACAGCATGTGATGTTCCAGCAGGAAGAGCGCTCTTCCAAGTGAGGCAAGCTGCAATTGGTGCGAGGAAAAAGGCCGAAACCTGAGGCCCGGGACGTGGCCCTTTGAGAAGCAAAGAGGTGAACAACCTTTCCCAGGTGACTGAATGACAGCATTGCTCCCACAAATCTACTTCAAGCATCCTGAAACATTGTAATTAATGAATATATGCAGGTATGCATTGGTATGCCCTTGTATAATCAGTTAAAATCGCACATTTTTGGCCAAATCTGGAACAGCATCTGTTCATGAATCCTTCCCTCGCCATCTCGGCTGCAACGGCTCAGGCAAGCAGCAAAAGTGCTGAACAAGATAGGACCACCCATCGTCACCTCCACTGCTCGACCCAGCAGCATGGTCGCCAACAGGGTCGATGTAAATTGCAAACCACTGGAAAATGTCGCGCCTGCTTGCACTGCCAGCAAGATCGAAGCAGAAACTCCAAGCTTTTGTGCCATCAGTCTCAGCCAAGACAGCCCCGAAGCCACCAGAACATTCCGTGTGGATAGCAGCGCTATGAGAGTCATCAGTAGCAGTGCAGTTGTCCAGGGTGTTTTTGGGTATCGAGTCTCCGCTGGATACAACGCCATAACAGCTTTCCTGCTTTGCAGTTTGAATGCATGCAAAACATCAAAGTATGAGTTAGTCGATTGGTCTCATTCCATTTGTTGGGATATGTTGGGATATGTTGGGATATGTTGGGATATAACATGTAAGTTGAGACAGCATTGAAGGCAAATTAGGCTTAAACACACGAAAAATATTGAAACAAATGGCACATCTCAAACATCCCTTATAAAAACGAATCCTTTAAGTTCATCTTGTGAGTAACAAAAACATCTCCAGAACCACCCGCCAGTCGCCTTCCGCCATCAAGACGCCTAGGGCGAAACGTGTTCCACTGTGCGAACCTGGAACCGCGCATCGGACAGGGTCGTGCTATGGCGAGGACGAGGTCGTGACGTTGTCCCCATGGCCGCGGCAATGCACACAGTGCGGCGAGGATGAACCACTGCCTGGTGCAGAGGTTCATTTTGAAAGCATGATGGCTGGAAGAAACATAAGTTAATACGTTAAACTTAACCATTAAACAAAAAGATCAACTTGAAATGCGCAAGTGTGAAGAGTGTGGGATGGATGACACCAGTCAGGTGCGTCAATTTGACCTTGATATGAGTGATATTTGCATACAATGCATCAGTTTGACTCAAATGGCTTCATTCTGGTGCATCACAGGTCAAAATCAAATCTGCGCTGGCATACTTTAAGTCTCCACCATGGGGCCCTCTAGGCTGCTTTGAGCCAGCTGAACATGTTTTCACTGGGGCTTCTGAGGTTTGCCCTACGGCTAGAAATTGACAGCATGGGGAAGTTGATCGAGAGCCTTGGGTCACCATCCTCAAAAATTAACAAGCCACACCAACGACATGGCCTTGTGAAGGGGTTATCGCCCTCACCCTGGAGAAGGGTCGTCATCAACCCCCGTGATGAGCAAAGAAGTTACCACTTATAAGTAAGGAACAATGACTCATGTTCATCATGCACTATGGCCATCCCAATAGCAAGACTTGCATTCTGAAAACAACACACTCCGGAAATGGACTCAAAGCATGAGAGTGAGATGAGTCTTTGACACTTCTCAGGCACTCAATTCACCAGTCAACGTCCACAACCCTTCCGGTATACAAACATCCACAACAAGTCACAATCGTTATCAGCCCTTTCGCATGCAACCTTCTAGGACCTATGCGCAAACAACGCAGAAACTTCCTCACACGAGCTACACCCAAAAGACTACCCAGGATCCAGTGTTTACGGCCTTGCAGAATATGCAAAGCCCAAGACCCACAAACCAACTCACAACCAACCCAGAAAGATCAAAAAACAACTAGCCAACCCATCACCGGGTGCCAGTTTTCTCCACTGGCATTGCACGCCGCGCGGCGCAAGGCTCGGCGCACCCGGGCAGAGGTTGCCGAGGTCGCCCGGCGCAGCTCCAAGAGCGGAGCGTTGATGGCCTGGGATCAGTTCCAAGCTCTGTGGAGGTATCACGATCTTGGACGGACAAGACATGACAAAACTACACCAAGCTGCTGTCACGTTGTAACTGGGGGGAGGGCACATTGTACAAGTGGTAGCTGTAACATGACGACTTGGAATATTTGGTGGCAACTGGAAGGGCCCAATGCCTGCAATGCTGGGATGCCACTCCCATGACGGAAACCATTATCACAACATAACCAATAATCGTAGAGTGAGAAAAAACATCCTGGCAACTGGCAGCTCCACACAACTTTGTTGTTGTTTTTTTTCAGGGTACGATCACTTATCCTTGTCAGGAACAACCAAAAGATATTTCATGTACCGACATAGTTAAACATACTGTAGCAATTTCTGATCCTAATCTAAGATGTAAATCATGTAATGATTAAATCGTACTCAACATGGCGAAACAGTCTGGCCATTTTTGTCACTCGCCAACTCTGCGGATCCTGCCCAAGTCAATTTTTTTGTGCTGGTGGCAAAACACTGATGACATGGGACATCCCAAATCGATATTTTCTGCATCATATAACAACAAACAACGGAATCCACATATTAACTGACCTATGTGTTGACTACCTACTATAATCTACTAAATATATCTAAATATAAGTATTAACTTCAGAAGAGACAAAATCGTTTTGGGCCTCAGCTCCCTACCCCCCGACCCATTCGCAAAAGGTGCAGTGAGATCCAAGTCCAATCGAATGGATCTGGTTTCAAATGCAGCAGAAAACGCTGCTTGCAGCAATGGATGGTATTCATTTTCGGGACCAAAGGCACCTGCAAATTGTGGCGGAACTCAGAAGGGCTTCGGATCTTGGTCCAGTTCATGATAAGTTCAATTGCTGATGCACAGGTGACCCAAGAAACCACTGTCATTGAAGGGGTTTTTCATGGCGCCTAAAATTCGGGTGGTTGGCTTGGAAATAGCGATCATCAAGCTTGTGAGGTCGTCCGGAGAGTAGAACGAGCTGCTCATCAGCAGAAAATCATATTCCAAGTCCCTTCCCTCGCACGCACGAAGTAGCTCTAAAGTTCTGCTAATAGACTGCGAGGTCCAATTCAGCTGACAGATTCCTGATCAAGCCAACTGCCGAAACACTCTGATTCAAGCACATCCTCCGTAGAACACTTGGTTTGGCTAGACCCCCCGGATGGATGGTGTGCCTGTCCCTCCCCCGAAAAAATGGACCCATATGAAGCCACCCAGTGTCTCGCAAACTTCAGGAGCTGCTTCGGCAAATTGGCACGCAAATTTCCTGGTTTGTTGGCTGAACGGAATATAACGGAATCGCGGAAACCACCAGAAATATCCTTACTGGATACCCAGCCAAAGCATTTTGGTTTGGTGCATCATGTACCGATGAAACCTAGCCTGGAACCAAAATTTGGAACGTCCAATTGTTCAATCAAAAACGATCATGTGGCTGGAAAACTCTTACTAGCTCCCTGCTTGGCTTTATTGTTTTTCTATGTTTTTATTGGTCATATGGAGACTGGATACCCATGGTTTCTTACTCCCAACCACTCAAGAATAGAAAAAAACGGAAAACCCAGTGGATCCTCAACTATATCGCTTACAATAAATCCCCAGTTCTCCAATAATCATGGCAAATTATATTGATATACATATAAATATATATATATGTATGTATAAGGTTTTATTAGTACTAAATTATTAAATCTCCACTTCCATCCCCATCATTTATATATTATATATCTATCCCCAAATATTATACATCCAAATATCGTGAAAGTCTATTTTATATGGCTAACCAGAGAAAATAATGTGCAACAAACAACATGTCCAAGTGTCCAATCAACCCCGCAAAAAAGAAAAAACATAGTTTTTTTTCTTGAAGAAAAGCAACCGCATATCCCCCAATGTCTTGTCCCTATCTCTATTGCATCCCTTAATATTACTGTTTTACTATTATATCCCCAGTTCAGATATTAAAATGCAATCCCATGAGGTCCCAATTAAATCCCTATTTGTTGATATTTGAAACCTGTTAAGACCAATCTATTGCTTCAGCAATTCTTGTTCCCAGTTCATTTATACAATCCCATTAATTCCCTTTGAACCCCCATTAAATCCACATTTAACCCCAATTTGTCCTGGAATTCCCTGGAGGTCATCATTAATCTGATTACAGTAATTTTAATTCACCAATTTAATCACAATTCCTATTTTTTATTCCCATTAAATCTCTATGAAATCCCTATAAAATCAAAATAAACATCCATAACATCCCAACAACCCCCTATGAATCCGAATGAATCCCCATTCTTGTAGGTATTCCCGTGGAATCGTAATTAATTCCCACTAAAATCCCATAAAATCCAATAAACTCTCATTCAATCCCTATCAATAAAAAAAACTATAAACTCTCATAAATTAAAATCCCTATAAAATACCATAAAACCCCTGTAAAATCCAAAAACAAACCTATAAACTCCCATTAAATCCCCATAAAATCCCATAAAATCCTTTAAAGCCCCATTAAATCCTTAAAACATCCCATCAAATCTAAACTCTTTGTCCCAGTTTCGCGTGATGAGTCCCCGCTGTGCATCCGCATCCACCAGCGTCACCTGTGCCCCCTGCAGCAGCGCCATGAGACCCACCGCGCCCACGCCGGCGCCCAGGTCCAGGAAGCGACGACCCAACCAGGAACCAGGACGTAGATCAGCAGAACCTGAAAACCGGGGTATGGTTCCATGAATTTCGATGGATTTTGGATTGATTTTCGGATTTCGAGTTGGATTTTAGAAGACTTTACCGTAGATTACTTTGGATTTTAGATGATTTTTGGCTGACTTTAGATGGATCTGAGCTGACTTTAGGTGACTTTAGAGATGCGTTTTCAACATGTGGATACATTTGGAGGGTTTTGATGGTAACTTGTCGATGTTGAAAAGGTTGGGATCTTCATAATCATGCCAGCTCCTATTGTCCATGAATGGACACTTGAACTGAATGGATACTTCATCTGTCACACTGAACTGACCGCATCTTGGATGATGGATTCGCCGATTCACCGTCCACCATTTTTGTCAAGTCCACTGACTTGGGTAATTCTCCGGAGCCCATCAGCCATGATCCAAGGATTCCAACGGATGTGAGCTAGTTTTGGGGAAGGTTGAGAGGCCTGAGCCCAAATTTTGTCACCCAACTCGTCGATTTTCCTCTGGATTCCCATGACAAAGGTAACTTGAAGCAAAATCCCAGGATTTTGGGACAGTATGGGCCACAAATAGCAATCCTTGGTGATATTTCTGTCAGCATGGCTACATTGTCAAATTAGCTTGGGTCAGGATAGATGGCTGATGATTATCTTATATAGTTGTATCATGTTATATTGTATCTTAGTGTTTTTTAGGCCCGACCCTTTTCATGTCAATAAGTCCCCAAATCTATCCAAATGTCATGTCCCAGAAGCATTCCAGCCATCGTAGCATCTGGTAGCCACCGCTCCACAAATATCCGGAGCCAAAGCTTCGCACCATCCCTTGCTTGCTGCTGAGAAAGTCAGCAGGTTCCTGATAAATCGACAGCTTCAAACCTGAACGTAGAATCAATGGCAGTACCTCTTCCTGATAATAAGGAAGGAACCTGCAGGGTCTCAACTTTGCCAAACAGGGTAAAAACAAACAACACAAAAACATACAAAAACCAGCAGAAGGACGTTTGAAGGGAACAAAAATTTGGCCGAGTCATTTCCAGCAATGTCACCCCGGATTAATGAACCTCTCGGGAGCTTAGCCAATAAATCATTGGATTTACAAGTTTGGTGCCAGTGCAATAAATCTAATGTGGAGGTATGTTTATTCAAAACTATCCATGCACAGCACATCACGGTATTGGATGGTATTGACATGTAGTTTTACACAATTTTACCATATTTTACCAATGTGGACCCAAACTGGCCATAGCCACCCAGCTGTACTAAACTAAAAATATAATTTTTGTTTACGAGTTTATATCTATAGTCCATGGACAAGACGAAATACAAGTAGCTCTTTCTCTCTCTCACCATTTTGAATGCCACCACCTCTCATTATCGTTCCAGGGTGCCAGACTGCAGCAAAGCTCGGGCGAAAGCCCGGTGAGTCCCCAGCAGGTCTCGTTTCGAACTGGGGACTGTTGACCCAGCAGCGAGCAGCAGAACGAAAATGCCGCGCGGCGTTTCCAGCACGAAAGGCGACCCGGTTTTTGGAGAAGAAAAGGGGCTGGAGCCAGCCAAGAAGGATAGAGTTCCACCATCCTGCTTGGGATCTCCCTCCATGGTCCGAACTTTGAGCCAAATTGGAGAGAGAAACGCATATGATCCAATATGTGCAGAAAACGGGTTGTGATCATCGAACGCACGGAATTTGTGATACTAATGGTGGGATATTGATGCCAAAACTGGAAAAAATCCCAGCCTTGAAGCAATGCAGTCACAAATATCATGTCACGAACAAATGACTGATTGCGAAAAAACAGGTTCAAACATGTATATGTCAAAAATTGAAGCATGTCATATCAAAGTTTTTCCCAAATGCCATTGAATAGTGGGGGGTTGCCGGGGTTTCCCAAGTGATCATGGTGGCCCGAATCGGTGGACCCTTTTGCAAGGTACATGGCCAAGAGCCAGTCGCCAGGAGAGCCTTGGCGCTGGGAACATGGGGTCCAGTGAAAATTGCGGGGTTGCTGGATCAAATATCACTGGTTGGTAGTTGACCTACCCCTCTGAAAGAAAATTACAGTAGTCAGTTGGGATGATTATTTCTACGGAAAAATAAAATATGTTCCAAACCACCAACCCAGATCATCTTGGGAAATGAACACTGACAAGAAGATGAGTTCAACAACCATTTCTTACCATCACTATCTTTAGACCTGAAATGAAATGACACTTATATAAACCCATTAAAAGTCATGAGTCCCCCTTCTTCACCAGCAGTTTTCGCGGCATCACTGCTGTCGAGCATCAAATAGATTGCCCGCCAGGCGCCAAGCATGACGACATGAGATGACTACGATGAAGTGACTGGCCTTGGGCAACAATGGTTTGAGTGGATTTAGGCTGGCTTAGCTATCAACCAACAAAGAGTTTTGGATTAATACCTATCAATGGATTGGTTCTAATTAATAGAAGTTAGGCATCAATAGGAAAATCATTTCATGGGGATTTGATCACCAAACATGATGGTCTTCCTGCATGGATTGAAGGGAATAATTAGTTGTAGCAAACCATCGAATTAATCCGCAAGAAAAAACAATTTCCTGTACATTTCCTCCAAAACGATTCTGGTATTCTTGGAAACGAGGGTCATTTGATGAGTGGTCAGGTAGCAAACCAGTTTTGGCCCTGCTCTTCGTATATCCAGAACCTTCTTTAAATCCAGGGTTTCAGTTATTCCAATTGCTGTTTCTGTTGTTGCTAATTTTGTATAATTAAGCAACTCAACGATCTAAATAATTATAGTAAATTCGTATCCATATCACATCATGTCCCTATCAGATCCTTCAAATTTATGTGATATGACATGATTTTGTGAGCCTCCTGATCCTGCCGTGCCATGCCACACAAGGTGACGGAAATTCCGAAAGGGCCTGAACCTCAGTCACAAAGAATCTGATGGCTTGGTCTTGGTATCTGTTTCGCAGAATGCTTTGCTTGCTTAATGCTTGAGCTTTATACTTTAGAATATAGAATTAGAATGAACTCGGTAGTATATATAGTAGTAGAAATGCATACTTGGAACCTGCATCTTAGTTTTACCAACCAAAAATGGGGATACACCAAAATCGAACCGGGTTGATTTCCTCAAGTTTTTCATGGCTTATCATTGTTGGATGGCAATGATGGCAACATCACGAACATGGCTTGCCGGAAAAACCTCATTTAGTTCGATGATTTCCCACTCAAAGCACCATGTAGTTCAAGGCTATTTCCCAGCCGGCCATTTTCTTGGCATATTCCCATGAAATCAGCATGACATCCCAAGTGTTCATTAATAAACCCCTATTTTTTCCAGTAATTCACCGAGGAACTTAGTTGGCTACCCGCGCATGGTACGCAGCATGGCGCAGCCCGCGCAGCCCGCGCACTTGACAGAAAATCCGGCCAGCACTCGTTGGTTACAACATGTTACAACTACTTAGATGAGCTGGCTGGTTGCTAAGTACTTAAGACCTTTAGCATGTTTAGCTACATGCCTGGTAACCCCTTATAGAGGCTTAGCTAATTATTAGCTAACTTTGCTAAACCTGCTAAGCTCCTTTTTTTGAAGGCATCCAATAAAGAAAAAAAAATAAACTGAAAGGAAAAAATGGAAAAAAAAACAATTCAGCATTTGGACCCAATGCTGGTGTTTTTATTTTTTATTTTCTGTCGTCTGTCCAATGCAAATGTGATCAGTGTGTTTTTCAATTTTCTTTTAAGGTGGTGTGGTGAAAACTGTCAATGACAAAGAACAAAAAGTTAAACCACTGGCTTGGCCAACTATGAACACATGTGTTCATTATTTTGTGGAAAAAACATCAAGGGCACACTCATTTTGTGGTATAGGATCATGAAATTGTGCAAGTCCCTGAATCACAGGAATTATGCAGGTATAGCACTGGGTGCTTTACAATGGCATGTAGCACTGGGTGCTTTGCAATGGCATGTAGCACTGGGTGCTCTGTGCTGATGAAATCCATGTGTGAAAACAGCTGGGTGCATCTGTTGGATTCTGCAGGCTGCCTTTTTTCCATTGGGCATGGTGCTGGAAATCTGCATATGTGTCATCTGGCCGAGAAGGGGGTCAAAGTTGTGATGCCTTTAGTGCTTTGGGTCCAATACACTGGTGCCAGAACTTGGTTCAAAGGGTATGCCATCTGCTGTTCAGTGTCATGCCACACACAGTGCTTGGGGCCAGTGGAGAGTAAAGAAAACATGTGGATGATGCATACATCTTCTCCTTGGAAAGACAAGAAGCAAACAACAATGCCAGCTTCAAATGGTGGCCTGGCTGTGCATTGCAGCAAGACTGCATCACCACGACTGCAAGTGGCATTGTGCTGGATTCTGGCAGAAAAAGATGTCCACATGTCTTGGGCATGTGAGGCTGCATGGGGCCAAATTGCCAGGCCATATGGCCAAAGCTTCTTGGGAGCCCTGGTGGGTTCAAGCAGGCCAATGGACATGTCAAACGGCTTGGAGATGGACAGCTCTTTGGCTAGCAACTCCTCCATGATGGACCTTTCCATGGCTGTGGTGTTCTGGCAGCAGCTAGCTGCCCCACCACTTTGTTCTTCCTTTCCATGGAAAAACAATTTGGCAAAATGCCATGGTTTGCAAAGTTGGAAGCCACATGCAACAGCCAATGGTGCTTCCTGATCATTGGCCAGCCAAGATCTTTCCAAGTGGCCAGGCATTTTTCCACCTGCTTGGCCAAAGCATCTGGTGTGGCTAAGTGGTGCCAAGTGGCTTGGAACAATTCAACCAAATGTACCAAGTCTTGGAAGCAATGGGCTGCAGCTTTGTGGGCTGTGTCTTCAGCTTTAATGGCATCCAAAAAATGGTCCAGCAGTGGCAGCAAAGTCAACAATTCTGAAGCTGTGCAAGAGAACTTGGAGGACTTCTTGTGTTTGTCAACTCTTTTTTGTTGAAAGAGTGCTGCAGGCTTGAAATTGTGGAAGGCATGTGGCACATGCCAGCAAGAAAGCCAACCCTCTAATGTGGCCCAGCAATCCAAGGCTTCAAGCAAATTGTAAATGCAAAGGGACATGACCCCTTGGCACAACAAAGCATGCATCCAGTCATGGAAAATGATTTTGGTTGGGCGCACAACTTCCTGCAAGGATCTGTCTGCCAGGATTGCATGTGGTGAAAAAGTGATCCCACAAGCTTGCTCCCATTTCTTGAATTGGGCAGCTGACACAGTGGTGGACCTGGTGGCCATTCTGGCCCAGCTGTCCCAAATTTCAACATCTTGGTTGATTTGTAAACCTGTATGCTTTGTGTATGAAGATATGGTTGCCACTTGGCCATCCTCATCTTGGCTTCCTTTGGCTAAAAAGACATTCTTACACAAAGAGCAGAACCTGGAACCACTGTCTCCTTTCATGGACAATGCAAACTTATGGGCAGCTCCATCCATGATGAAAAAGCCAAGGTGCAAGAACACTCTGGTGTATGCTTTGGCAGCACTGATGTCTTGTGGCTCTTCTAACTGGAGTCCTTGAAGATGAAGAAAGCAAGTATTGAACCAGTGGCACAAAATTGCTTTCAGCAATTGGCTCAAGTGGCCATCTACATTGGCAATGGTGGAAGGTCTGACTATGCAAAGTGTCACCCAAGCATCTGCATTTTGCAGATGGGTGTGAAATTCTTTAATGCTGGCATAAATTGCCCAAACTTTTCTGGCTGTGATTGGTGCCAACACATTACCTGGTGTCACTTCATCTGCATAGACCACCAAATGAAGCTTCTGCTGGCACTGTGCCATGGTTTTCGACAACAGCTGGTACCATGGACCTCCTTGCTTGTACACCAATTGGAGAAAAGTGCACAGATTCGTGCACTGCACTGGCATGGTTTGCCCATCCAATGTGACCAAATCAAAATCTATCAGCAATGGTCCAGAACTGGTCTTCTGCTTGGTGAGTGCTTGGTTTGCCTCTTGCATGTTCTTTCTGGAGTGCAACTCTGGAACACCTTCTTCTTTCACAAATTTCAAGACTTGTTCCAAGGAACTCTTGGACATGTATGGCACAGACTTTCTCAGGTGGCTGAGCTTGGCCAACTTGGTAGGCCTGTCTTCCATGGCTTCTTTCTTGGTACTGGAGCTTGGTGGCATGATTTGAAAAGGAAAAGAGTTTGTTGCAACACACAAACTGACCATATGCAAAACACAAACAAGGAGCAAATTTGTAGTTTCCATCCTCACATGTCATTGGCTTGTCTTGTATCTTGAAGCTTGCCTTGAAATATAGCAGTGGTATGGCAAAAATCCAAGGTTGAAAGCACTGGGTGCTGGGAAATATGCATAGCATGCTGTGGAAGCACTGGGTGCTGCAAAAGAACAAAAGAAGCATCACTCACCCCATGCAATTGGCAATGCGCATGCCATTGATTTTGTGCAAACTAAAGCCATGCCAAGCTGCTAACATCATTTTTGTCATCTTGGCTGGTAGTGCACCAGATGCTGCCAAGACTGGCACATGTATGGGAACATGTGGTACCCAGCTAGCAAAGGTGTTGCCCCTGGTTGCAGCAGAAAATACTTGAGCTGGACAATTTGCTGTTGGTGTTGGAACTGGGCAACACCTTTGCGCTTGACCCTTGGGTCCAGGCTTTTGCTCTGGCCCAAACTGTGGCTAGCTGCCTGGCCTTTGGTGGCCACTCACTGGCTCCTTGCTCACTCCTTTTTGGTGGCTACTTGTTCTTCTTGGTTGGCTTCATGGTTTTGGCTCTCTTCTGGGCATGGTACCATTGGAGCCAGGCTTCCCTTCCTGGTAGCCTTAACCCTCTGAAAGTGGCCTTCCTGCAGTCTTCACACCCTTTGGCTGCTCCTCTGCACCTGCTGCACCCAAGCACATTGGGCAAGGTTGGTGGCTGGCTTGCCTGGGCCCTGTGGGCAGCTGGCCTTTTCATGGCCTTGGCCTTCACTGTTGCTGCTGGCTTGGCCTTTGGTCCAGGCTTGGTCTTTGCCTTGGCCTTGGCCTTGCTTGCTGGAGCAACATGGTCACCTACCAGCTTCTGGTAAGCTTCCTTTTCAAAGTCTTCCAGGGACTTGGCCTGCTGCTGCTCTGGCTGGCTTGGTGGCTGCTCTGTGGAGCTGGCAGGGGCACTGATGGGAACAAGCTGTGCTTCACTGGGATTGGCCACAGCCATCACACTTGGAGGTGTGGCAACAAGTGGCAAAGAATTGGTCACAGCAGGTGTGCTCAAGCTTGGCCTCTGATTTGCAAGTGTGGCAGCCACAGGCAAAGGACTGGCCACAGCAGGTGTGCTCAAGCTTTGACTCTGGCTTCTCATCATTTGCTGCATGTCAGCCATGCAAGCCTTCATAGTCTGGCACACAGCACTGGCCTCTTGTGTCAAGCTTTGCCCTTGGGTTGGGGTAGGTGGCTGTGCAACCTTGAGCAAGTTGGAAGTGCTTCTGACTGGCACATGGTGCTGAGTCAAGGAAGCCAGGTCTTCCAAAAACCTGGGTTCAGGTGGGCCTTGCTGGTAGCAAGCTTTCAACTGGTCACTGCTCAAGCTGTCTGGGTGGCTGGGGTACACATTCATGGAAGGGGCTCCTGCTGGAGGCGGAACCTTGTAGGATGCAAACATTTGTGCAAAGTGTTGGCTCCACTGGTAGATGCACTGGTACAGTGGCATCTTCCCTCCTTTCTTCAAATGAAAGTGTAGCAGTATGGCAACACAAACCTTTTTGGTGGATTCTTTCAAAGCCTGGACACCCAAAGTTCGCAGCCTTGCAACCAGCACATGGCTGGCCTCCCAGCTGGTCTTGGTTTCCAAACTTTGCCAATCACTTGCTGTCAGAAAATTGGACAAATTGTCCAACTGTTGTGGAGCCACTTGGGTCTTCAAGTTGGAATCATCTTGGCTGGCCCACTTGTCAACCACTTTCTGCAAGTTCTGGACCAAAGGCTGTGGCAAAGTGGAATTGTCCAAGGCTTGGTACAAGTCCACCATTTGTTTGGCTTGTGGCTTGGTGCCCAAACCCAGAAGCTTTTGCTCCAGCAAGGTGGCCAACTGGGCCCCCAGCTGTGGCCTAGCTATCACCAACACTTGTGTATGGCTGAGTTCTTCTATCCAAGCTTGCACACTCATGGCACAGTGAAACAGCAGTGGTCACACAGAGCACTAGGAGCTGAAAGCCAATGCTGCCAACATGGTTCCTGCATTTTGGGAAGCAAGTCATCTTGGCCAAAGATAGTTCATTGGAGGATAGATCATGGAAATAGGAAAGCTGATGTTAAGAAACCACTGTGTGGTTGTACCAGCAGCAATAAAGGAAAAGAATGACTGGAAGGTAATGAAAAATAGAAAGAACAATTGCCAATAAGTGTGTGTGAACAAGTATTTCACCAGGATTGTCTGACAGGATTCTGGAATAAGTATTTAATGCAAAGAAAGCACTGGGTGCTTGGCAATGAGAAATTGGGAGCACATGGGTGCTAACCTATGTGTAGAAAGCACTGGGTGCTAGCCTAATGATCCCTGGTGTATATACAAGTGAAAGCACTGGGTGCTGTTACAGTAAGAAGTATTTTTTGCCATTTATGGACCAATGGCTATAGAGCACTGGGTGCTGTTATATCAAGAAAGCAGCAGGCATGGAATGAAGATGGGTTGAGCAAACCTGGTACATGTTGACATGGGTGCAGGGGATGCAATACTCTTTTTCCCTTTGGCTTCAGCTCTGTGGCTGGTCTGGTCTTGGCTCCTTGGCCTACCACCTCCAAGTGATGCAGCCATTCTTCTGGATGCTTTTGCTCCATGGCTCACCACAGTGGCTGCAGTGGGTTCTGGTCTGGAGGCGGTTCAGCCACACCCTGGAGGTGTGGCACTTCTGGCAAGCCACACTCAGGTGGTAGAGCATGGACTGGAAGCCCATGGTGGTCGCCTGCAACAGTAAGCCAAGAAGATATGCTTGGATCAATGTTCTCAATGCAGTGGTGCCTTGGTCTTCTTGTTGGTTTTCATGGCCTGGTGCTTCTTCATGGCCTTCTTGGCAGCAGCTGGCCTTTGCATGGCCTTGGGCCCTTTGGATCCTTTGGTGTTCCCTTTCATGGCCTTGGTGGCCTTCATGGCTGCCATGGCTTTCATGGTCTTTCCCATGGTCAGGTTCTGGTAGGCTTGGAGCAGTGGGCTGGTGTCTCTGCTTGGCTGGAGCCAGTGCCTTGCAGAAAAGCACTGGGCTGAACAAGAGAGGAAACACATGGTGGCTAAATTAAGCACTGGGTGCTGGATTAAGAGCACTGGGTGCTGGGTTACAGACATGGATAGTAGCACTGGGTGCTGACCTAGTATGATGTTAAAAGCACTGGGTGCTGTGAAAAACAAGTTTCAAACAATTTGAAGACCAACTTGAGATATAAGGATGCACTAGGGGCTTTAATATATAAAAACCATTTCTGATAAACTTATATGGATTGAAATCACAAGTGTCCAAAATCATGTGATGAACCCACATTGTGCGAAACCAATGCTTATTGTTTTGCATTGGTGAGGTTTCATATGCTGTCACAGCTGGTGGCTTTTCTTTTTCCACAGGAATTGGCTTTGGTCAGTCACTCCACTCAGCCCTCAGCTGGGCATGGTTCTCCCTGAGTTGCCCTTAGCTGAGAAAATGTACATTCAATCATGTTCTGTTATGTTGTGGATTTTCCATGGTAATGCAGACTGGGTTCTTGGCTCTCTGGCAAACCATCTGTCCACCAACCATTGGTGCATGGAATATGGCTCCCTGCCATAGAGTGCTGTGGACAAAGCCCTTCTGGAGATCCTGGCAGGTTATGAGAAATATAAAGCAAAAACACATATAACAACAGTGGAAGTGACAGTCCTGACATTGTTGGCTCTATCTGGGTACAGGACCACCCTGCGATCATATTCCCACATGGTTCCATAGGTTTCTGGGTCTTCTCTTGGTGGCTCATACCTTAGTTAGTGTTGGCAAATGATTGCAATATGTAGCATGTTCTATTGGTGTCTTCAATTAACATCCAAGATACCATTGTTTCCATCCATTGTCAAAGTAGATCACAAAGTACTGGTGGCTGTCATAGATGGTGTAAGTGTAGTCCACAATCAATGGTACTTCTCCTCTTGCTCTTCTTCTAGGTGGCATGGATGCAGTGGATACCTAAATGTCACTGTGGAGCCAAACCTGCAAAAAAATGAATTAGAAACAAAAACATTAAGAAAAATATTTAGTTTTCAAAACATGACAATGTAATATGCCAATTGTTTACATACACAAGTTTGATATCTCAAGTGAAAATATTGTTTTGAATATTTCCATTTGATAGTTTCAATCTGAACATTCTCCAATCTAAACTGTTTCTGTTGGTTTTGAAAAAACAGTTTAGAGATCTAAACTGTTTTTGTTGATTTTGAAAAAATAGTTTAGAGCTCTAAACTGTTTTTGTTGATTTTGAGAAAAACAGTTTAGAGCTCTAAACTGTTTTTGTTGGTTTTGAGAAAAACAGTTTAGAGCTCTAAACTGTTTTTGTTGATTTTGAGAAAAACAGTTTAGAGCTCTAAACTGTTTTGTTGATTTTGGGAAAAACAGTTTAGAGCTCTAAACTGTTTTGTTGATTTTGGGAAAAACAGTTTAGAGCTCTAAACTGTTTTTGTTGATTTTGAGAAAAACAGTTTAGAATTCTAAAGTGTTTTTCAAATATATTTTATTTCACATTATGTATGTTAAGTTTGTAAATTGCACGAAGAAATATTTATGAACACACTTCTTTTTGAAAGACTTGTGTTAGAAGACATGATATAATAATGTATCATGAAATCTCATCATCAATGATGTAGTATAATAATTCATCATTGCTCTTTCCCTCATGAAATCATTCCTGATTTTATCAGGTTGAATGTTTGATACCTAATACTTGTTGTTTGTCTTTCGGTCATCACTGGTGCCCAGGACTAGCTGGCAAGTGTTTATGCTAATTTAGATCCACCTTCCAAACATGTCATTGATGTGTTTTTTACTTATCAAAGAAACCAATTGGTAGTATGAGCATGAATGACAAGGCTGAAATCCCAAAGGGTAATTTTGTTAGGGAAGCTGAAACTGCTTACAGTTTTGGAGCTAAGACAGTACTCATGGTGTTTGAGCCCCCTTCAAAGACAGTTTGTCTTTAGATTATCAATAGACATATGGTGCAAAGATTGTTTTGTTTAAATGTTTACAAGTAAGAAGCCATAAAAAAAGTCTGGTGATGCTAATCAAAAGAAAACTGAAGTCAAGTGACAATTTTGCAAACAACTCTGTGGCTCCAATGTGTGTGGTTATTAGACTTTACATGTAAGCATTTTGCCTATGGTGGCTTCAAGTTGGTTCTTGTGTTAACTTACTTACATAAGGTTCCCCAATGTATTTGGTTCCACCCAAAAGAAAATGGTGAATGCATATAGAATCACTGGATGCTGCTCAGGTACCACATAAGCACAGGGTGCTACCCAAATTCATACAAAGCACTGGGTGCTCTCACCATGGCATTATAAAGCACTGGGTGCTGCTTATTATTGTATATCTATAGGAATTTGGGTATGGGGTCCCATGAAAAAGCCATGACATATATAATCAATAAGCTATGATTAAAAGATCATATATTACCTTGGTCAAAAGCACTGGGTGCTACAAGATGCAAACAGCATGGAATCCTGCATGTGTGCAATGCAATCAATGAGACTTTGAGTGCTGGTATCTTTTTTCCTCCTGGAAGCTTGTGCTGGTGGTCACATTTCTGGGTCTATGCCATTGTTGACTGCTGCCCTGGCCAAATGGTTTTCATATTGGCCATTGGTCCTGGGAGACCACTTGGCAACATGTGCCCTGGCACTGGCCATGTCACCCCTGTGGAGATGGCCTGCCAGATGGATCCATTTGTTCATCCATCCTTGGCTTTCTCTGCCTGGTGGTGGTGCCCTTCTGGGACCTGCCTTCTCCCTTGGAGTTGGCTCACTGGCTCTGTCCCTTGGAGGGATCACTTGGGGCACATTTGGCTTGGGTTCCATGGCCTTGGCTGGCATGGCTTCCATAGACTGGGCTGCCTTGAGGTTGGCTGGCATGGCTTCCATGGCCTGGGCTGCCTTGGGCTCCATGGCCTTGGCTTTCATGGCCTTGGCTGGCATGCCCTTGCTGGTTGCCACCATGGGTTTAAGTGGTGGTGGTGCAAGGGCCATGGCCTTGCCTGCAGGTGGTGGCTTGCTGGTCTTGCCTTCAGGTGGTGGCTGGGTGGCCTTGCCTGCAGGTGCTGCCATGCTGGCCTTGGCTGCAGGTGCTGCCACTGTGGCATTGGGTGGAGGTGCTGGTTTGGTGGTGAAGCCACCCAGTGGCTCCAAAACCTTTTGGAGTGCTTTGAGCAAAGCCTCATTGTCCTCTGCTGGCCTGGAAGGCCTGCTGGCACTGGAAGTGGAGGCAGCTGGCTCTGCAACTGGCTCCTGGTAACATGGAAAAACTGTGCCAAACCAAAATTTACATGTGATTGGTCAAATGGGCCACAGTCTGGCCTCCACGAACTCCACTTCATCCTTTGGTTTTTTCAACCTGGGATCCTGTTCAGTGTCAAGAATGAAAGTGGAAAGACACACTGGGTAATTATGTGCCATTAGCTGGGCTGAGATGTCTCTCTCTGACCCTGTCCTCACCAGCTTGGGCCACCATGGCTTGCTTCCTTTTGGCACTCCTGAGTTCCTGCAAATTTGCTTGGATGGCATGGATTCAATTTTCTTTTGTACTTGACCTTGATAAATGGCATCAGAAGTCCTTGTCTGGCTTGTGTTGTCTTGGTCCCACACCAATGGCCTGAGAACACACATAAATGAGATATGCGACACTTGGCTGCTGCATCAATTTGAAAAATAATGAAACCCTCATATGCCTTGGAGCGTCCAAAACTGTCAGGATGCTTGGACTTGGCAATGGTGACCTGCATCCAAGACAAAGAAGCAAAAAACAGTGATGTAAAGTGGCTGTGGTGCCTCTGTCATGCCCTCATCATCCACTGGTGGTGGACTGGGTGGCTCAGTCTGGGTCTCAGCCATGGCCAAGGCATGCTGCCTGGCCAATTGCTCATCCAAACTGATGGCATTGACCAGAATCTCGTCCAAGCCTGTCTCCTGCTCAGCAGCAATGAATTTGCATGCATTGGTGGGATAAAACATATTGGTATCCAATGGCTGTATACTATTGGCTCCTCTTCTGTGTTGGGCATGGTTGTGGTTGGCTACCAAGTGGCAAAAGCTACTTTGAGCCCATGGCCTCGAGAATGTTACATGTGGTGTTGATGGATTATAAGGTAATAGGTGAAGAAATTCTTTGGAATAGCAAGCACTGGGTGCTTTTTATCAATAATATGAAGCACTGGGTACTCATTATGTGAACAAAGAAATTATATCAAGCATTGGGTACCCCTAGCATGAACAAAGCCATGATGATGGAAAGCGCTGGGTGCTGGTGATTATCTATGTCCTTATTTGGTGATGGTATTGAAACACATCTGAAGCAAGGTTTCCAAACACATGCAGCTGCTGAGATGCAAACATGGTCCTTGATGGTTGGCCATTGCAAATCTGCATGCCATGAACAGCACAAACTTTCCTTTTTGGTCAGCTGTGGCAAAACAGTCTATGGTCCCAGCACCTTGGCCCAACTCAGTCCTGACCAGTGGGCAACAATGCCACAGAAACACATGGGCATACTTTGCTCCATTGTCTTATGAAATAAACATTGTAGCTCAATATGTGTGAGTGTCTTTGTCTTTTCTTTTTTGGTACATGTCTCATGTTTCCCATAATCATTGGTTGCACCTTGCCTTCTTCTCCTTGGTGGTGGCTTCTCCCTGGAGGCCCTCTTGCAGCACAGTGAAAATGGGACCAAGTGCCTCTGGTGCCATTTCTGGTTGGAGGTCTGCCTGAATAGATCCACCAGAGCAAAAAATGGGTACACTGTGGCCCTCTACATCAATGTGGACAACTTTGTCTTTCACATTGGCTCTCATCTTCTTCTTTGGCTGTTCCAAGCCCATGCTATCTCCTTCTGTTTGGGTTTCTTCCAATTCTTTGGCCAATGCTTCCTGTCTTTTGGCTTTCAAAGAAGCCAACTGTGTGCTGTCTCTGAGGCTGGCATTTTTTTTTGGGTGCTGCCACACCACATACAATTTGGATGATCTTGTAATAGCTTGGTCTGATCTTCAAATAGTCTTTCCCTCCATGCTGTGCCACCAACTCTGGTGGGATCATGACCTTTTTGGATTGCTGGAAAGCCAGGCAATATTGCTTGCTGATTGTCACCATGGCTAGGTGCTTGTGGCACAAGCAGGAAAAGGCACTGCTGACTAAGCCTTGAACATGAAAAGCACACAGTGCTCTATGGTTGGCCTTCCACATATGTAAAGAAAGCACTGGGTGCTGAAAACATTGCCCACCCCATGTAGCCACATGAATCATTTGGCTGCAGCATATGCTTGTATTGTAGTCCTTTCATGCATGGTCCACAATGATGCAACACAGCCACTATGTCAAGCACACCTTTTGCCAAGCACCAAAACCTACTCCTGGTGTGTGGCAGCCATTTGATTGGCAAAAACAAAGCCCAACACCTCCAGTGGAGCTACTTTGGGTGAAACCACACTAAGTCCTTCCTGCTTTTGCCCTCTTGGCTGGTGGTGACACTGTGGCTTCCTCTTCCTTCTTATCCTTTTCCTTGTCTTTGTCTTTGTAAAACAGCAGCTGGTCCCCAATGTCAATCTTGGTGGAATTCTTGTAGCCAGGGATTTGCCAATTGGAGGATTTGGCAACAAAAGGCTCCATGTTGGCCAAAGACTGCTCAGGGGTTGGCCTCACATGGAAGTATGGAACCAGGCAACCTGTGCCTTCCTTGAGGTCCAACTTGGGTGCCAAAATTTGCAACTCTTGGCCCAAGGGGCTGGTCATGGTGAGCATGGAGGCCTTCACCTCCTTCACCACAGCCACAGGGCCAACTGGAAACAGCACAAGCTTGCCCTTGCCAAAGCTCTTGTTGGCCAGGATGCCATTGAAGTTCTGGGCCACCAGCAAAGAATCTGCGTCCAGCTTCACTTTCCTGCAAACACAGCTGGTTTAAGTGTAGGTGGCAAATTTGCAAATCTTGTGTGAATTTGTTGCACATAGCACAATGAGTTGCAACCAAGATACTCCTGGTAGTGTTGGCACAGGATTTGCTGGGCCTCTGCCTTCATGGCTTCCTTCAGCAGCTGCTCACTTTGGCTTGGGTGTAGCTTCTCCAGTGTTGCAGTTGGAACCAACACTGGGAGGTCCCTGTCAAACTTTCTAAATCTCTTCAGGTCTTCATTCTCCACTTCCAAGCCAACTGCTGGCCCAATCAATGGCTGGTGCTCAAAATTGGATTTGTCTGGGCCAACATGCTGGAGCTTTCAAACTCTTGGGTCAGCAATTTTGGAATCTTTGGCTTTGTAAGTGTAATGGCAACCTGGCTCCACTCTGTAAGTCTTCATGGCCAGCTTGGCTGGGTCTGCAGCATCCTGGCAATGGGTAGCAATGGAGGACAATTAAACCACAATTAAAAATCCAAGCCACACACAAACATATGTTGTGGGCACATGCATACAGATTCCCAGGCCTGGAGTGTATCTGGCTGGGGCAGAGGCTGTTGGTGGCTGGAAGAAGCTGGCTCCACAGATGGGGCCCCAGGTGCTGCTTCCACTTCCAACAGCTCTTCAGAAAACAAAGTGGAAATTTCAGCTAAAGACTCGTAGTTTTTGGTGTCTCTCCCTTTGGTTTCCTTCTTGGCAATATGCAATGCCATCCTGACCATGCACCTGCCCATCAAGTTGTAAGCCTTGGGTGTGTCTTTCCATGGCTTGCCTTGCAAAGTGGCCTAGTTCATGGCCAACATGGATTCACATTGAATGACCAGAGCCTTTTGGTGCTTGGACTTCAATTTTTCACAGTTTGCCTTGGTCAAACATTTGGCAATGCCATCAATTGACCTTGGTGCAGACAAATTGGCTGCCAAGAGTGCAGCCCACACCCAGGGCATGCTGGAGCTTTTCTCCTTGAAGTCCAGGTAGGCCACTGTGGAGAAATACTCTTCCCCCAGCTTCAAAGTGGTGCTGAACTGCTTGCCTGAGTACAGGGTGTCATGGGGCAACAAACACAACAATGTCAGAAACCCAAACAGATGTTGGCAGCTAATGAAGCCCAGCTGCTGATGTGCTGGAGCAGGTGGAGCAATGGCCAGCCAACACCACCACTGAAGTTTTGGACATAGTAGCCCATGGTCTGCATGTAGTTGCTTCCCTCTGGCTGGCTGCTGGCTGCCAGTTGAATGGCTTGGGCCATGTCTCCTGAGCCATTGCTGTCTTGGCCATGCTGGTAGTGGGTGGCAATGGTGAGCATGGTCTCACATTCGCCTTGGCCTTGGCTGACTGCCTGAGTGGTGTTCAAGGCCTGTTGGACCAAAGTTGGCAGGTCTGGGAAGGCCTCTTCAACCAGACTGGACACCACCAACCATGTCCACCCTTGCTCACACATGGTCACCAAACCATCTTGGCTGTTGGCCAAAGCAGCCAAACTCAACTGGCCATTGGTTTTGGCCTTGAGACTTGGCTCCTGGGTTTGGCACCCATGGAGAACTGCTCTGCAGAAGGCGACTAAATGGCTGCTGGAGCAGCTGAGCAATCTCTCTTGGCCAGTTACTGGTGCCAGTTGGTTGTGGGAGGACTCCACTAGTTGAATGTTGGCCTGGAGCTGTTGCTGCTTGGTGCTGCCTTTGGTCGACACCTCAAAGGCAACACTTTCTTGGATCTTGTTCATGGCAATACCCAATTCAAGCATCTTGGCACCCTTGGCATGCACATCCCATGCATTGAGCATGATGCCTGCTCTATTCTTTGGGTGGCACAACACTTGGCTGGGGACCTCTGTCCTTGGCCATGCCAAACCTGCTTGGACCATGGTTTCCTTCAACTTGGCCCATTTGGTGTTGATGGGCAGTTGCTTGTCATCCTTCAGCTTGGTAAGCTCAGCCACCACATGGGGGTCCATGGCTATATAACAGGTGGCTGCACAGGGAAGCTGCTGTTCTTGGACTCATGTTGTCCAACATTGGTCTTCGTGGAATTTGTGTTCACTTGTTCTTTCCATTTCTGTTTTTTTTGTTTCTTGCCTTTGACATTCACATTGTACAGGCTTCTGGAAGCTGGGCACACTTGTCTGCAGGAATTCACAGATCCACACATGCTCTTTTTCCAAACAATTCAAGCTGTGGCAAGCAAATTCAACTTAATGCTGGATAGCACTGGGTGCTGGGTATATAGCACTGGGTGCTGGGTATAGCACTGGGTGCTGGATATATAGCACTGGCTGCTGGGTAGCACTGGATGCTGGGTTGCACCGGGTGCCTATATATAGGTAGCGCTGGGTGCTGTCAATAAACCAATGCAGCTATATGGCATTGGGTGATTGGTGGATGGAAAAGTTGCCTGTAGCACTGGATGCTACAGGTATTGCATGGCAAGTGCCACACTGGTGCTGGCAGCTGTGGAGATCTGATGCATTGCAAATGTGCTTGCAGCAGGCTTGAAAAATATGGAAAAGTTGTCTGCAAATTTCAATCAAGAGATATCAATGTGCCAGAAAACATACAAACCTGGGCTGTGGAACTTTTCAAAATTTTGTTTTAAAAACAACATTGGACAAAGAAAAAGTTCGTGAGAATATTGATCATGTCCATGTTGTGAAATTAGCTAATTCTTAGCTAAGCCATGTCTAATGTTTAGCAAAATTATGTTGCTTTATCATAATTAGCGAAAGATTACTTAATCATCTTATAAGCTTTTGTTGATTTTGAGAAAAACAGTTTAGAGCTCTAAACTGTTTTGTTGATTTTGGGAAAAACAGTTTAGAGCTCTAAACTGTTTTGTTGATTTTGGGAAAAACAGTTTAGAGCTCTAAACTGTTTTTGTTGATTTTGAGAAAAAACAGTTTAGAATTCTAAAGTGTTTTTCAAATATATTTTATTTCACATTATGTATGTTAAGTTTGTAAATTGCACGAAGAAATATTTATGAACACACTTCTTTTTGAAAGACTTGTGTTAGAAGACATGATATAATAATGTATCATGAAATCTCATCATCAATGATGTAGTATAATAATTCATCATTGCTCTTTCCCTCATGAAATCATTCCTGATTTCATCAGGTTGAATGTTTGATGCCTAATACTTGTTGTTTGTCTTTCGGTCATCACTGGTGCCCAGGACTAGCTGGCAAGTGTTTATGCTAATTTAGATCCACCTTCCAAACATGTCATTGATGTGTTTTTTACTTATCAAAGAAACCAATTGGTAGTATGAGCATGAATGACAAGGCTGAAATCCCAAAGGGTAATTTTGTTAGGGAAGCTGAAACTGCTTACAGTTTTGGAGCTAAGACAGTACTCATGGTGTTTGAGCCCCCTTCAAAGACAGTTTGTCTTTAGATTATCAATAGACATATGGTGCAAAGATTGTTTTGTTTAAATGTTTACAAGTAAGAAGCCATAAAAAAAGTCTGGTGATGCTAATCAAAAGAAAACTGAAGTCAAGTGACAATTTTGCAAACAACTCTGTGGCTCCAATGTGTGTGGTTATTAGACTTTACATGTAAGCATTTTGCCTATGGTGGCTTCAAGTTGGTTCTTGTGTTAACTTACTTACATAAGGTTCCCCAATGTATTTGGTTCCACCCAAAAGAAAATGGTGAATGCATATAGAATCACTGGATGCTGCTCAGGTACCACATAAGCACAGGGTGCTACCCAAATTCATACAAAGCACTGGGTGCTCTCACCATGGCATTATAAAGCACTGGGTGCTGCTTATTATTGTATATCTATAGGAATTTGGGTATGGGGTCCCATGAAAAAGCCATGACATATATAATCAATAAGCTATGATTAAAAGATCATATATTACCTTGGTCAAAAGCACTGGGTGCTACAAGATGCAAACAGCATGGAATCCTGCATGTGTGCAATGCAATCAATGAGACTTTGAGTGTATTGCAGGGCCTGGCATCTTTTTTCCTCCTGGAAGCTTGTGCTGGTGGTCACATTTCTGGGTCTATGCCATTGTTGGCTGCTGCCCTGGCCAAATGGTTTTCATATTGGCCATTGGTCCTGGGAGACCACTTGGCAACATGTGCCCTGGCACTGGCCATGTCACCCCTGTGGAGATGGCCTGCCAGATGGATCCATTTGTTCATCCATCCTTGGCTTTCTCTGCCTGGTGGTGGTGCCCTTCTGGGACCTGCCTTCTCCCTTGGAGTTGGCTCACTGGCTCTGTCCCTTGGAGGGATCACTTGGGGCACATTTGGCTTGGGTTCCATGGCCTTGGCTGGCATGGCTTCCATAGACTGGGCTGCCTTGAGGTTGGCTGGCATGGCTTCCATGGCCTGGGCTGCCTTGGGCTCCATGGCCTTGGCTTTCATGGCCTTGGCTGGCATGCCCTTGCTGGTTGCCACCATGGGTTTAAGTGGTGGTGGTGCAAGGGCCATGGCCTTGCCTGCAGGTGGTGGCTTGCTGGTCTTGCCTTCAGGTGGTGGCTGGGTGGCCTTGCCTGCAGGTGCTGCCATGCTGGCCTTGGCTGCAGGTGCTGCCACTGTGGCATTGGGTGGAGGTGCTGGTTTGGTGGTGAAGCCACCCAGTGGCTCCAAAACCTTTTGGAGTGCTTTGAGCAAAGCCTCATTGTCCTCTGCTGGCCTGGAAGGCCTGCTGGCACTGGAAGTGGAGGCAGCTGGCTCTGCAACTGGCTCCTGGTAACATGGAAAAACTGTGCCAAACCAAAATTTACATGTGATTGGTCAAATGGGCCACAGTCTGGCCTCCACGAACTCCACTTCATCCTTTGGTTTTTTCAACCTGGGATCCTGTTCAGTGTCAAGAATGAAAGTGGAAAGACACACTGGGTAATTATGTGCCATTAGCTGGGCTGAGATGTCTCTCTCTGACCCTGTCCTCACCAGCTTGGGCCACCATGGCTTGCTTCCTTTTGGCACTCCTGAGTTCCTGCAAATTTGCTTGGATGGCATGGATTCAATTTTCTTTTGTACTTGACCTTGATAAATGGCATCAGAAGTCCTTGTCTGGCTTGTGTTGTCTTGGTCCCACACCAATGGCCTGAGAACACACATAAATGAGATATGCGACACTTGGCTGCTGCATCAATTTGAAAAATAATGAAACCCTCATATGCCTTGGAGCGTCCAAAACTGTCAGGATGCTTGGACTTGGCAATGGTGACCTGCATCCAAGACAAAGAAGCAAAAAAAGTGATGTAAAGTGGCTGTGGTGCCTCTGTCATGCCCTCATCATCCACTGGTGGTGGACTGGGTGGCTCAGTCTGGGTCTCAGCCATGGCCAAGGCATGCTGCCTGGCCAATTGCTCATCCAAACTGATGGCATTGACCAGAATCTCGTCCAAGCCTGTCTCCTGCTCAGCAGCAATGAATTTGCATGCATTGGTGGGATAAAACATATTGGTATCCAATGGCTGTATACTATTGGCTCCTCTTCTGTGTTGGGCATGGTTGTGGTTGGCTACCAAGTGGCAAAAGCTACTTTGAGCCCATGGCCTCGAGAATGTTACATGTGGTGTTGATGGATTATAAGGTAATAGGTGAAGAAATTCTTTGGAATAGCAAACATTGGGTGCTTTTTATCAATAATATGAAGCACTGGGTGCTCATTATGTGAACAAAGAAATTATATCAAGCATTGGGTACCCCTAGCATGAACAAAGCCATGATGATGGAAAGCACTGGGTGCTGGTGATTATCTATGTCCTTATTTGGTGATGGTATTGAAACACATCTGAAGCAAGGTTTCCAAACACATGCAGCTGCTGAGATGCAAACATGGTCCTTGATGGTTGGCCATTGCAAATCTGCATGCCATGAACAGCACAAACTTTCCTTTTTGGTCAGCTGTGGCAAAACAGTCTATGGTCCCAGCACCTTGGCCCAACTCAGTCCTGACCAGTGGGCAACAATGCCACAGAAACACATGGGCATACTTTGCTCCATTGTCTTATGAAATAAACATTGTAGCTCAATATGTGTGAGTGTCTTTGTCTTTTTCTTTTTTGGTACATGTCTCATGTTTCCCATAATCATTGGTTGCACCTTGCCTTCTTCTCCTTGGTGGTGGCTTCTCCCTGGAGGCCCTCTTGCAGCACAGTGAAAATGGGACCAAGTGCCTCTGGTGTCATTTCTGGTTGGAGGTCTGCCTGAATAGATCCACCAGGGCAAAAAATGGGTACACTGTGGCCCTCTACATCAATGTGGACAACTTGGTCTTTCACATTGGCTCTCATCTTCTTCTTTGGCTGTTCCAAGCCCATGCTATCTCCTTCTGTTTGGGTTTCTTCCAATTCTTTGGCCAATGCTTCCTGTCTTTTGGCTTTCAAAGAAGCCAACTGTGTGCTGTCTGTGAGGCTGGCTTTTTTTTTGGGTGCTGCCACACCACATACAATTTGGATGATCTTGTAATAGCTTGGCCTGATCTTCAAATAGTCTTTCCCTTCATGCTGTGCCACCAACTCTGGTGGGATCATGACCTTTTTGGATTGCTGGAAAGCCAAGCAATATTGCTTGCTGATTGTCACCATGGCTAGGTGCTTGTGGCACAAGCAGGAAAAGGCACTGCTGACTAAGCCTTGAACATGAAAAGCACACAGTGCTCTATGGTTGGCCTTCCACATATGTAAAGAAAGCACTGGGTGCTGAAAACATTGCCCACCCCATGTAGCCACATGAATCATTTGGCTGCAGCATATGCTTGTATTGTAGTCCTTTCATGCATGGTCCACAATGATGCAACACAGCCACTATGTCAAGCACACCTTTTGCCAAGCACCAAAACCTACTCCTGGTGTGTGGCAGCCATTTGATTGGCAAAAACAAAGCCCAACACCTCCAGTGGAGCTACTTTGGGTGAAACCACACTAAGTCCTTCCTGCTTTTGCCCTCTTGGCTGGTGGTGACACTGTGGCTTCCTCTTCCTTCTTATCCTTTTCCTTGTCTTTGTCTTTGTAAAACAGCAGCTGGTCCCCAATGTCAATCTTGGTGGAATTCTTGTAGCCAGGGATTTGCCAATTGGAGGATTTGGCAACAAAAGGCTCCATGTTGGCCAAAGACTGCTCAGGGGTTGGCCTCACATGGAAGTATGGAACCAGGCAACCTGTGCCTTCCTTGAGGTCCAACTTGGGTGCCAAAATTTGCAACTCTTGGCCCAAGGGGCTGGTCATGGTGAGCATGGAGGCCTTCACCTCCTTCACCACAGCCACAGGGCCAACTGGAAACAGCACAAGCTTGCCCTTGCCAAAGCTCTTGTTGGCCAGGATGCCATTGAAGTTCTGGGCCACCAGCAAAGAATCTGCGTCCAGCTTCACTTTCCTGCAAACACAGCTGGTTTAAGTGTGGGTGGCAAATTTGCAAATCTTGTGTGAATTTGTTGCACATAGCACAATGAGTTGCAACCAAGATACTCCTGGTAGTGTTGGCACAGGATTTGCTGGGCCTCTGCCTTCATGGCTTCCTTCAGCAGCTGCTCACTTTGGCTTGGGTGTAGCTTCTCCAGTGTTGCAGTTGGAACCAACACTGGGAGGTCCCTGTCAAACTTTCTAAATCTCTTCAGGTCTCCATTCTCCACTTCCAAGCCAACTGCTGGCCCAATCAATGGCTGGTGCTCAAAATTGGATTTGTCTGGGCCAACATGCTGGAGCTTCCAAACTCTTGGGTCAGCAATTTTGGAATCTTTGGCTTTGTAAGTGTAATGGCAACCTGGCTCCACTCTGTAAGTCTTCATGGCCAGCTTGGCTGGGTCTGCAGCATCCTGGCAATGGGTAGCAATGGAGGACAATTAAACCACAATTAAAAATCCAAGCCACACACAAACATATGTTGTGGGCACATGCATACAGATTCCCAGGCCTGGAGTGTATCTGGCTGGGGCATAGGCTGTTGGTGGCTGGAAGAAGCTGGCTCCACAGATGGGGCCCCAGGTGCTGCTTCCACTTCCAACAGCTCTTCAGAAAACAAAGTGGAAATTTCAGCTAAAGACTCGTAGTTTTTGGTGTCTCTCCCTTTGGTTTCCTTCTTGGCAATATGCAATGCCATCCTGACCATGCACCTGCCCATCAAGTTGTAAGCCTTGGGTGTGTCTTTCCATGGCTTGCCTTGCAAAGTGGCCCAGTTCATGGCCAACATGGATTCACATTGAATGACCAGAGCCTTTTGGTGCTTGGACTTCAATTTTTCACAGTCTGCCTTGGTCAAACATTTGGCAATGCCATCAATTGACCTTGGTGCAGACAAATTGGCTGCCAAGAGTGCAGCCCGCACCCAGGGCATGCTGGAGCTTTTCTCCTTGAAGTCCAGGTAGGCCACTGTGGAGAAATACTCTTCCCCCAGCTTCAAAGTGGTGCTGAACTGCTTGCCTGAGTACAGGGTGTCATGGGGCAACAAACACAACAATGTCAGAAACCCAAACAGATGTTGGCAGCTAATGAAGCCCAGCTGCTGATGTGCTGGAGCAGGTGGAGCAATGGCCAGCCAACACCACCACTGAAGTTTTGGACATAGTAGCCCATGGTCTGCATGTAGTTGCTTCCCTCTGGCTGGCTGCTGGCTGCCAGTTGAATGGCTTGGGCCATGTCTCCTGAGCCATTGCTGTCTTGGCCATGCTGGTAGTGGGTGGCAATGGTGAGCATGGTCTCACATTCGCCTTGGCCTTGGCTGACTGCCTGAGTGGTGTTCAAGGCCTGTTGGACCAAAGTTGGCAGGTCTGGGAAGGCCTCTTCAACCAGACTGGACACCACCAACCATGTCCACCCTTGCTCACACATGGTCACCAAACCATCTTGGCTGTTGGCCAAAGCAGCCAAACTCAACTGGCCATTGGTTTTGGCCTTGAGACTTGGCTCCTGGGTTTGGCACCCATGGAGAACTGCTCTGCAGAAGGCGACTAAATGGCTGCTGGAGCAGCTGAGCAATCTCTCTTGGCCAGTTACTGGTGCCAGTTGGTTGTGGGAGGACTCCACTAGTTGAATGTTGGCCTGGAGCTGTTGCTGCTTGGTGCTGCCTTTGGTCGACACCTCAAAGGCAACACTTTCTTGGATCTTGTTCATGGCAATACCCAATTCAAGCATCTTGGCACCCTTGGCATGCACATCCCATGCATTGAGCATGATGCCTGCTCTATTCTTTGGGTGGCACAACACTTGGCTGGGGACCTCTGTCCTTGGCCATGCCAAACCTGCTTGGACCATGGTTTCCTTCAACTTGGCCCATTTGGTGTTGATGGGCAGTTGCTTGTCATCCTTCAGCTTGGTAAGCTCAGCCACCACATGGGGGTCCATGGCTATATAACAGGTGGCTGCACAGGGAAGCTGCTGTTCTTGGACTCATGTTGTCCAACATTGGTCTTCCTGGAATTTGTGTTCACTTGTTCTTTCCATTTCGGTTTTTTTGTTTCTTGCCTTTGACATTCACATTGTACAGGCTTCTGGAAGCTGGGCACACTTGTCTGCAGGAATTCACAGATCCACACATGCTCTTTTTCCAAACAATTCAAGCTGTGGCAAGCAAATTCAACTTAATGCTGGATAGCACTGGGTGCTGGGTATATAGCACTGGGTGCTGGGTATAGCACTGGGTGCTGGATATATAGCACTGGCTGCTGGGTAGCACTGGATGCTGGGTTGCACCGGGTGCCTATATATAGGTAGCGCTGGGTGCTGTCAATAAACCAATGCAGCTATATGGCATTGGGTGATTGGTGGATGGAAAAGTTGCCTGTAGCACTGGATGCTACAGGTATTGCATGGCAAGTGCCACACTGGTGCTGGCAGCTGTGGAGATCTGATGCATTGCAAATGTGCTTGCAGCAGGCTTGAAAAATATGAAAAAGTTGTCTGCAAATTTCAATCAAGAGATATAAATGTGCCAGAAAACATACAAACCTGGGCTGTGGAACTTTTCAGAATTTTGTTTTAAAAACAACATTGGACAAAGAAAAAGTTCGTGAGAATATTGATCATGTCCATGTTGTGAAATTAGCTAATTCTTAGCTAAGCCATGTCTAATGTTTAGCAAAATTATGTTGCTTTATCATAATTAGCGAAAGATTACTTAATCATCTTACTTGCTTATAAGCTTTAAGGAACTTTAGTAGATACTTAGCAATGCTTTAACAGGCATTTAACAGACTCTTAGCATGGGTTTAGATAATGTGAATAAACTTCTTAAGCCCTTAGCAAAAAAACAGATCATCTAAGTACCCCACCCCACCCCACAGGAATTGTATATGTATATGTGGTGTGTAATACATGATAATCATATATGTATGTTTATATGTATGTATGCACTGTATATATGATATAGACAATTATAGACATAGTATCTTGCACACGTAAAATTACAATGGGACTTGTCATGGGTCATGAATCATAAATGTCATCAAATAGGTGCGGATATATACCTGAGTCATATCATTTGAATGAAATACTCTTCCGATTGGGAATTGGAAATCGCAACTGCCAAACAGCCAGAGTTCCCAACACGGAAGTCATGTTCTCGTTAGTGACATCCCCAACATATCCACAGCAGCAACCCGCAGCATCCAGCATCTTTGTTGAACCCATGCGAAACTGTTCTATCGTCGCAATTTGGCTCAAATGCATCAAGGATCTCTACGGACAGCTCCTGTGCTTGGGTTGGGTGTCCGAACAAAAAGTCCAAGGATGTCAAAGGCCTTTGTTACCTGCCACTGGTGAATAACATCAACTCCCACCAAAACAAACATGAAACAAATGGGCCAATTATAGCCCATTTTCAAAAACACGCACACAAAGATAGAATATGTATGAGCACCTTATGTTTGCAATGTGCCAAGCATGGAACACCTATGAGTCTGGTGTCTGAAGCTGAATTAATGATTGATCCAAGGCTGGGTCTTCAGTTTCACCTCCGGAAAATCTACAAGTAGGAAGCGATTGCCCTTCAATTCAGTGTCCTTAAAATCGGCCGTGAAATCCCCCACTCCATTTGTGGAGCAATGGGAAAGTCATCCAAAATGGTTCGCCATGGCCCTTCCTTCCGTCAGGTGGTCGCAAATTTTTTGGCCTCCGCGACTTGAAAAACATGTTATGGGGGATCCCCAAGTCACCATGGTTGTTTCAATACCACAATGGTTTTTAACATAATTTTGGATGGTTTGGGGATTCACCATTTTAGGAAACCTCCATTATATGTTCTATTCCATTGGAATTGGAGGTGTGTCCTATTTTCAGCGAACCCATCTGGCAAAATGAGGCAATAACAACAAATCACCAATATTTCAACACATTCCAGCAATAAGGATCCAAGAAAGGGAAATGGCCACGTGTCAGTGAGCCTCAGAGTCATCTGATGGAGTCAGAGCCCAGGGTTGCTCCCAACCCCACCAAATAGAAGGGGCACCCTGGAGCAAGGGGGTCTAACTTGTTATAACATACTTTAACCGTTGTTACAGAGGTTATATCCTCCAAGTTTTTGAGGGTTATTAATTACTATATATAGATACATAAATATAACTATAGTTATTGGTTCGCCCCAACTGTACCCCAAGTAGCACGAAGCCACTGGCTCCCTGATGAAACCAGCCTCTTTGACTTTAGCCGTGCCAACAGCCTGGCCATCTGCGGTTGGCCCTTTCGTTGAAGGCGCCACTGGAGCACTGGCATAGGCATCGCTTCGGGATACGTCGGGTGCATCGCTTCGGGCTACGCCTCATGCATCGCTTCGGGATACCTGAAGATCAGCATCATCATCCTCATCCTCATCCCCATCCTCATCCTCATCCTCATCATCATCATCATAATCATCATCATCACCATCATCATCATCATCATCACCATCACCATCACCATCACCGTCGTCGTCCAGAATAGACATATTCCATCATCATCATCATTATCATCCTCATGTTAACCATCATGAGGGGTCGGAGGGCGGGTACCCCATCATCATGTTGTCCACTCAGGGTTGACCATCATGTTGACCACCAAGTGAGCATCATGATCATCATGATGATCATCATCATGATCATCATCATCTTCATGATTATCATTGTTATAAGCATTTTCTTCTTCCGAGTATTATTCATCTTCATCTTCCTCATGTTCATGGTGATGATAGTGTCAGGAGAAGATGTGATAGCGTGAGATCATGTTGGTGTGCAGGTGCAAGAGGAGATCGGCTCATGGTGTAGCATATATTCTTTGTGCCAAGAGCAAAAAAGAACGTTTCACACACACACACACCACACCCCGCCCCCACGCCCATCCCCCATCCTCCATCCCGCAACAGGTGATGTGAGCAAACAGTCGCATGCTACAAGTTAGCGGTTTGCGCGCTGCGAGGGAGACATGCGGGACGCAAATGAGACAGAGTTACAAGTGAAAGCTTTTCCGAGTTGCAAGTGAGACGTTTGCCTGGCGCTCTCCCGAACAAGCCAGAGAGTACTGAGTCAGTTCGGTCGGATACACTTATGTTCAAGGTGCAGTGCTTCAGATGACAGGCGATGAAGGAGCAGTGCTTTTGTGTGCAGAGGAACATGAAAACTTTTGTCCCCTCCCCCACCCCCCAACCAAACCCTAAATGGCTGAGTCAAGTGATGATTTAAGTCCATGGATCCCACCCTTGTTCCCAGCATCAATGACGCTTTTGTCCCTCCCCACCCCCCCAACCAAACCCTAAATGGCTGAGCCAAGTGATGATTTAAGTCCATGGATCCCACCCTTGTTCCCAGCATTAATGACGCTTTTGGTCCCCCCCCCCAACCAAACCAAACCCCTAAATGGCTGAGTCAAGTGATGATTTAAGTCCATGGATCCCACCCTTGTTCCCAGCATCAATGACGCTTTTGTCCCTCCACCCCCCCAACCAAAACCCTAAATAGCTGAGTCAAGTGATGATTTAAGTCCATGGATCCCACCCTTGTTCCCCCAATGACGCTTTTGTCCCCCCCACCCCCCCCACCAAACCTCCATGTGCTGAGTCAAGTGATGATTTAAGTCCATGGATCCCACCCTTGTTCCCAGCCAATGACGCCCCACCCCCCCCCCAACCAAACCCTAAATGGCTGAGTCAAGTGATGATTTAAGTCCATGGATCCCACCCTTGTTCCCAGCATCAACGACGCCCCCCCCCCCCCCCAACCAAACCTAAATGGCTGAGTCAAGTAGTGATGAATGATCCCTCCCCACCCCCAACCCACCCCACCCAACCCCTAAATGGCTGAGTCAAGTAATTAGATGATAAGAACGATGTTGTCCGTGTTGCCCAAAGTGATGAAATCCGTGTTGCCCAAAGTGAGCGTCCAAAGTGTGAGGAGTGTGTGATTTCTGGATGTTGCCTGAAGTGATGCGTTTGGTGTTGCCCTAAGTGATGCGGGTGCCCTGGACCAGGATTTGTCATTCTTGTGTTGCCTTGTGTTGCATTGTGCGTCAAATGGCTGATAATATTTGACCAATTGCGCGGGTTGTGTGGATTTGTGAAGTCCCAAGTTTTTGTTGGTGAACCATGTGAAGCCATATCAAAAGTTACTGTTAAACCACGAAGTTGGTTGCCTATGGGACCATAGGCATGACACATCCCCCTCTATATCATGGAAAGCATCCCAACATGACCAGTTTTGTGGGTCCCTTCCGGGGCCTCGACGCTTTTTGCCCGTCGCCGTGACACGACCTGCAGGGTGGCAAATGATCTGTCTGTGGCCATCTCAAACAGCATCACGGTCGCCATCACCATCATCACCATCACCAGGACCATCATCACCATCACCAGGACCATCATCATCATCATCATCATCATCATCATCATCATCATCATCATCATCATCATCATCATCATCATCCGTCATCATCACCGTCATCGTCATCGTCACAATCACCATGACCATGATCATCGTCACAATGACCATGACCATGACCATCACCATCACCATCATCATCATCATCATCATCATCATCATCATCATCAGTCGTCATCATCATCATCATGATCAAAATCATCCTCATTGTCAAAAACACCATCAAAATCATCATGATCACCATTATGGTCATGTTCATCTTCATCACTATCGTCATCATTATAATCATCATCACCATCACCATTCTCATCATCATCATCATCATCATCAACATCATGCTCATCATCATCATCATCATCATCATCATCATCATCATCATCACCATCACCATCATCATGATCATGATCATCATCATCATCCTCATCCTCATTGTAAATCCTCATCATCATCATCATCATGATTGTCGTCATCGTCATCGTCATCATCGTCATCGTCGTCTTCGTCGTCGTGGTCGTCGTCGTCGATGTCGTCGTCGTGGTCGTCGTGGTCGTCGTCATCGTCATAGTCAGTGTCATCGCCATCGTCATCGTAATTGTCATCATCATCATCATCATCATCATGATCATCATCATCAACCATCATCATCATCATCATCATCATCATCAACCATCACGAACACAAACTCAAATCAATATGAACAAGAACAAAACTCATGACTTAACATTTAGTACTCCCTTCCTAATATTAAACAACCCCCAGAAACCATGGTTTAGTAAGTTTAGTAGGTGACCTCCACATAATTGGGACCATTCAGGTGATCTTTTATGATCCTGATCCTGATCATGTACCTCTTCACCACGGTCCTCTGATCTCCTCTGATCCCCTTTGATCCTCCTGGGTCTCGACACCTTCGGTTTTGCTTTCGGGGAACCGCTGGGTGCCTGCGATGCCAGAGGCCCATCAACACCACGGGTCTGTTCAATTGGGGAGCACCATTTTAGTACCCTAGTAAATCACTATTTTGGGGAGGGTCCCTCCTAACTGATCAACTAAGGTCTATTCCGGGGTAAGCATTATTCAATGGATTGGTTTTAGCGACATATTTCATGGGAGAACCCCTCCATCTTTCCCATCTTTCCTGTACATTTTCCATGGAAAACCAATCCAATTTTCCATGGAAGACAAAACGAAAAATGAATCACTTGAGCACGTGCGCCTTTTTCTTGGTGGCAATGTTCAAGATCCTGGTCAAGACTTGGCGTAACCTGCGGGCAAGTGCGACCAAGATCGTAACGTTTATTCAAGTATACGTGGCAAACCAATTAGACCCAATCAGTATAATGCTATTCAACATTATTCAACTATATAGTTCTCAATAAACCATCGAATTTGAGAATAGAATGGTTATGACTATGACATATAACTACAACTAGAACTATATATCAATGAATAGACCCCATTGCGCACCACTGCCATGGCCATGGCCCTAGCCATGACCTGGTTGCTTCCTCGACCATGGGGCTGGGAGGCAACGCCGCAATGGCACCTGAGCAATCACAGCACCAGCCGATCGATGGCTAACCGCCATAACTATGGCAAGGTGGTTTCACATGGTTTAGCCATCAATAATGGAGGCTTTATGTGTATGTGTAATTATGTGTATATATATATAAATATATATATAAATATATATATATATTATATATATATATGCCTGGTTCCCCCATTGATACCTAAATTTCATTAAATTTCTCCACGGGAGGAACGTACGCAAAATAGGTGCGAATTTGGGGTATGTGCTGATGCCAGCAAAATCAGGACGTGTCTAAAAAACATTTTCGTGGCAAATCAGGTTGTCTTGTACTTGAGAATTCATTAGGTAAATCCGGGAACCTCCATTCCAACACCTTATCACCAGTAAGACAGTAAGATGAACGAGGATAGAATTCAAAAAAAGGACGGTTTTCGGAATTATGTTCAGACTCCATTTCGTAAACTTACCTTTTTAAAATTTGCGTTCGTTTGTGCATCTTGGCTCCGAGGAATCCCAACACAAACAACACATGCAGTTGATCCAAGGGGCACCCCAGGAGAAAGGCAGGGGATGATGTGCAAACCACATCACTCCCAGAGCTCAAAAGGCTCTAATCTGGGTCAAATGCAAAAAACGCTCCAATGTCCAGAAAACTCTCGAATCAACATCCAAGCCACTGATCTTCAATTTAAGTACCTTTCTTGCAAAAATGATCGAATTACTATTATACTTAAATTTAAGTGACAAAAGGGGATACAGGTGTGTGTATGTATATATATATTATAATGGGGATATACTGGAATTTACCCTACTCGGGGCTGCAGTAGAGGCTATATATTGTCTCGCTATGGTTATATTGCAGTCACTATGAGGGTTAATAATCCACCATGTTTATTTTGTTGAATGTTCTGATAACTAGGGTTTACGGTGTATATATATCTATATATAAACCAACTTAGAACTGATGGGGAACCACCTCAGCATCTTCAAAATTCCCAGGAGCTTGACTAATCGATTGAATATCTATTTTTGGCATTGCAGAACACAACGAAACAACGAAATCAGGATATGCACGCCAAAAAAAAACACGAACATGTTTCTTTGCTTGAATCCAAGTAACGGCGAAATCTGCTAGTCCCGAAGCCCACGGTGTGGAAGTAACATGACAACGATGGTCATATCATACGTTGAAACACATTATGCCAACTACATCATACCACCTTCATCCTTACTTGAAAGGGCATTGACAACATACCCTCTGCCAAAGAAAGCCCATGAACACACCAACAGCAAAAGGAAAAACAGTTCCAAAACATATGAAGAAATACTATGCAAATAAAATACAACCACAAGTGCCGCAAATGACAAACACTGAATACAGAAGGGAAACTCAACCCCCTTTAGGGCCACACCGGGGTCCTGAATTCAAAATCAGCACGCATGTAATGCACTGCGGCATTCAGCGTTACAAGTCAACACACTGTGTAAATATTGGATAAATACATCATGCACCATCGTGTACAATGGAGACCCGACTGAGCTTGCCCACACCAGGCAGGCTCTGTGAGGCCCTCAGCAAGGCAGTTCTGACCATAGCAGGCTACTGCTTAGGAATTTGAATTGCTATTACCAGTTATAGGATTTGAAGGGTTATGACTTCCACATGGGCCGTGCCCGTGTGGGTCTAAAAATTCCAAAGTTCACTCAAATTCCAATGTCAACTTTGGAATTTTACGGATTTTGAATGGAACCAATCCCAAAAATTGAGTCTTTTCACAGTCACCCAATCCTTGAGCTAAGATGGCCCCTATCCAAACAGCTGAGCCCAAACCAATTCCTGGTGCCCCTTGAAGGTTGATGGGTGGTTAATTATGCAACTAACCGTTAGAACCCATTCTTATTAGGTTTCTCTCCATTGTTTCCAGCAATTATAGCAATTATCTATGGGAGAACCATCTCACTCTTGATAGAGATCCAGTATCTTCACAGTGTTTGGCTCTGAAAGGCTCAAGATCTAAGGGGTGAAAGACTTGGTTGCCGCCATCTCAAAAAGTTGCCAAAAAAGATTGGTCAACAGGGCCCCAGCAATCCTAGAGAGATGAAGATTCAAAAGTATTTGGCACCGCCATCATGAGTATTGTTGGCAATAATCATGCGTGCCCCCGTGGTTGGTGGTTGCAATCCCATTGTGCTGGTGATTTCTGATTGGAAACAATAAACCGTCCAATATTGAATTTACACCATCTTACACCCATTATTGAATCCGTGTTCCATTTCTCCAACAACCAACTAAGAAACATGTGGCTATGAATCAAACACCCTGGTACCCTAAGTACCCTACAATAGCTGGCTATTGGATGCTTATTCCCCCCGTCATATGGTAAATCCATGGGTAACTTGGGCCATCCCCTAATTTCACATGCGTGGCACTGCAATCACAATGCCTCCAAACACTGGCCATATTGAGGTTGTCAAGATTTGGAATCCCCAAAAATCCCAAAATAAGTTCAACCATGCATCATGTTCCGAGATGTTGTTCCATTGAATACTTCAGGTTCAACAGTGTTTGTGGGCATACCCTCTGGCAATGGAAAACGACCCGTGTAAATCATGTAAGTAGCTGAACTATGGCATATAGAAATTGTCCATGGCAAATTGTAAACAAATCCCAAAGATTATCCAACTAATTGTTAGTTCTGACAGCCATAGCTATCATCAATTTTGATCAGCCTCCCTCTTTTTGAACAATAGTGATTAGGCAATGATGAAATTCAAACTATGCTAAGCCATGCTATTCTGTGTAGTTAATCATAGTTGAAACCAACCATCATTTATCAACTCATCGCATCCCGCCAGGTCCGCCAGGGGACGAAGAGGGTCAAGGCAGCTTCCGTTTTGGAGGCCCAGGTGGCGAAACTTTCCAGCAACTGGTGGGCTTCTTTCACCTTGGCCGCCAGATCTGATTTTTTTGGGGATTTCATGGGATTTTCCAAGGATGTGATGGGGATTTTATAGGAAGTTTATAAGGATTCAATGGGGTCTCATGGCATACAACATGGGATTTATTGGCATGTAGTGGGATTTCAAAGGATTTTAAGGGGATCTAATGGTGATACGATGAGATAATTATCGGGATATGATGGGACAACAGTGATGATCATGTATCACGGTAATGGACTCCTAATGGACATGATGGTATATAATGGAAATGACACTTGAAACATGAATGATGGCGTACCCTCTGGCAATCAAACGCTGCAAGCTGGGCAATCCCCGAACTAAATGGAGGTTCACAGCTAGGAAAATCATTGAACGATTGCTGGGAGATCCCCACTTGCAACGTTTAATTGCCAAAGGGTATTGATAGTTATCCTACATGATGATAGTCATTGCTGGTTGAAAGGTTAAGTCGAATAAGTTAAATCAAGTTAAATGATGGTTGGTTTATGGTTATCATTCGAATCCATTTAAATTCATTTACAAAAACGACACGGAAAAGTGAATTCCTTTCTTCGAGTCATCCCTACCATGACATTCTATCTGACATATATATTCTGACATTCTTTCTGGCATTCTATCTGGCATCTATTCCGAAATTCTTTCTATATTTTATCTGGCTTTCTATCTGGCAGCTATTCTGACATTCTATCTGGCATCTTGCGCTCGCGGTTGGGGTCCGGCAATGCCCACTGAGATCTGGCGCTCGCCGTTCGGGTCCGGCACCGCCCACTGACATCTTGCGCTCGTGGTTGAGGTCCAGCAGTGCCCACTGAGATCTGGCGCTCGCGGTTGAGGACGAGGAGGAGAAGAGGAGAAGAGGCGGGAAAGTTTGTGATAAAATCTAGAGACCCTCACCTGGCAGGTGGGGAATTTGGGGATACCCAATGTACAAACAAATTCATAGAAGAAGCACACCCAGGCTGTTTTTGTTTCATGGCTTTGGTCTGACCATCAGCTAACCAGCATTGTGGTTTCCTGAATAATTATAGACCCATCAACAGTACTGGTTGGTAGTTTCACCCCCTGCAAAATGGAGCTGGGATCATCATCCCAGTCAGCCAAACATAAAACAACAAATTAAAATCACCAACTGCTCATACTACTTACTACCCATTCTTGTTGTAGGTTTGATATAAATATATATATATATACATACATAATTTATTCTGTATAATATACATATATATATACAGCAATAAACATACATAACTATGATTATGGTACTATATTGGTACTATAATTCATGTATATTCTCATAGTCTACCTGCTTCCCACATTGCATCCCAGTACCTGTTCCTTGACCTCCTTCAAGATCGCCTTGCAACTGAGCTATCTGAGCTGTGGGCACCCATCGGGGGCACTGGGTTGAGCATCCATAGTATTTCCCATAGTTTTTCTCAAAGACTTCGAAGATTTTCCCAGTTCACCCAAGAGTTCCTAACAAATCTAACAATTTCAAATATTCCCCACAGATTTTTGAAGACATTCATAGTTCCATGGCGCCATATTAGCTTCAATGTTGGGTTTATTTCCCATAGACCCATAGATGTGACATGTTCTTCAAACATGGATCCAGAAAAGGTGGATGCAGGTCAATTTCGATGAAACCACCACCAGCCAAAAATGGCATTTTAGCTGGGGAAACCCTTCCTTGCAAAACTCACGCGCAGACTTTCACAGGTCAGGCCTTTGGCGCATGTGAACACGCAACACGTATTCCTTTAGGCTCCATAGTGCGAATGAAATATTCACATCAATGCTTACGTACTATTCATTCTTGATGCATGCAAGTGAATCAATGAAATACTATGGGGTTCCTGAACATATAGTATCATATAATATGGTGAATAATATAAATAAGTTATGGATAGTCATTTATACTATATATATATGTTGGTAAATGCTATATAAATTTCTATTTATAAATTTGTATATATATATATTATATATATATTATATATATTATATATATTATATATATATATAACTCATTCCCTTAAAGTCTTTTTAACCTCGCCCCATCTCAGCAAGTGGCCCTGGTCTCGTTCTCCACCACTGCCTCAGTGGTCGAAAAGCGGCTCAGATCACTGACGTGGGAATCAAGTTTTCTACCGATTTTAGTTTCAAATAGATGAGCAGATCGAATCAGACTATGAGGATGGCCGGAAAACTGTTGGGTGATGGGCTACGGGTTTTACCATCTGGTTATGACTAACATAGCCATGGAAAATCACCATTTTTAATAGGTAAACCATCTATAACTGGGCCATCTATACCATGGCTATGTAACAACTAACCAGAGGGTACATGGTTTTACTATGGTAATTTTACCAACATGCATAGTCGGGGCTGGCCTGGAACGACTCAACAAAATCTGCCAGTCTCCATGATTTCCATGATTATCAATGGCTGACCATTAAGACCATTACTAACATCAGCAATCATTAGTCATGGAAACGACTATTTAGGTGACCATTACATAATAAACATTAATAAACCATCCTGATGTCGATGACTAACTATTATTTCTCTATAAAATTAGCATCAGCTGCATCGCTGATCTGCCGCCTCTGAGAGACCCTGCCAACTTGGGATGTGTTGCACGGTGCAACGAGATCTCGGCGGCCGAGACCTTCTGCCGGTGTTGCTCCACCTCTCGGCCTGCGGATCATCGGAAGAAATTTGAAATCAGCGAGTTGCTAAGTGAACATGCTATGTGTATGTATAGTGTATGTATATATATCTATGTGTGTGTGAGTATGACATATATATATTATACATATACATCCCGGCGGATGCGAAACCGCGCGAGCGTTTTGATGGTTTGCTGAATAGGACCGTCAGAATCACCTATAATTTTCAATGTAAAATGCTGTTCCGAACTCTTTTGATAACTTAATTTTGGTGAAAAAAAGTGGCTTCAAAATCTATTGAATTTTGACAAATCCTTGCAAATACCATGTGCATCAGACGTAGATTCGACGAGTTTTTTTAACACCCATCGTCGGCTCAGCGATCCATCAGTTTGGAAGCTGTCTTCGACAGCAAGTTGCCATTATGGCACTCATAACGCCGTTGCCAGCAACGCAGGTACAACATGACATCTTTGTTCTGCCCTGCTTTTGTCTGCAAATTGCAAGGCACAATTTTGTTAGCCAAATTCCACAGAGCGTGTTAGAAGTCAAGTGGAAACAGTGCAGAGCGTAACATCCAGAGCGTGTTAGAAGTCACATGGAAACAGTGCAGAGCGTGACATGCAGAGCGTGACATGCAGAGCGTGTTAGAAGTCACATGGAAACAGTGCAGAGCGTAACATGCAGAGCGTGTTAGAAATGAAGTGGAAACAGTGCAGAGCGTAACATACAGAGCGTGTTAGAAGTCACATGGAAACAGTGCAGAGCGTGACATGCAGAGCGTGACATGCAGAGCGTGACATGCAGAGCGTGACATGCAGAGCGTGACGTGCAGAGCGTGTTAGAAGTTGCTAGGCAAAAGACAGAGCGTAACATCCAGAGCGTGCTACGCAGGTGATGTTAGGCAAGAGCGTGTTCCACGCACTCTGCACATGACGTTAATACCCCATCCCACCCCAACCCCAAGACAAAGAGCAATCCTCAAAAAAGTAGCAAAACGCACGTACGGTTTTGCAGCCGTAGGCATATACATGGATAAACCAATGAAAGGACTAACTATAGATATTATTCTATTCATACAAGCCATTACAAGCCACTAAAACCTGGGAAGCGTACAATTCACTTGGGTGATCCATTAACTTGGAACTGCATGATTGATGGATTTTGGATGGTTGGTGTGTGTTGGTACGTACAATCTTGACCAAAATGACCAAACAAAACCTTTGCCACTACATGGCCTAAAATTTCTGGAATGGCACTTCCAACCATTTTGGCTAACTGGATCAGGCTGGATCTACCCTCCAGTAAGCTATCTAACCACTTCAAACCCAGGAACCGCAATTTCACCATCTTTGCCACGTTACCACAAGGCATTTAATTTAGAGCATGATTCCAGTGATTTAGCGCTGGAATAACCCCTTCCAAATTGGTTAACCTGCTCATCGAAGATGGATGAAAATCCACCATTTAGATCCATCTATTGTTCTTTTTTACATGATTTGCCCACATAAATCTCGGGCAGTTGGGGACTTTCCCAGCTAAATAGCCATCTTGACCCTGGGAATCCCCCAGGGGGCACCGGGGATAAACCCATCGTGTCGTCCCCGACTACTGGGCATCCCAACGCGCTGTAACGACCTGAAAGAGCTCCCGACTGTGGAGGCTGTGCCATTTGCCGTCCTCCTGCGAGTCCTGCGAGGACGAAAAGCAAGAGAGGACCTGGAAAAAACCATCATAAAACTGATGGAAATTAACATGTTGAACCAAATGTCTAGACAAATTACTAGCAATCATGAACCAGAAGTAGGATCAATGGTAGATGAATTGTGATATATCAAAATCCATTTTTGCGATGACTTCCACAATCAATATGATATCGTGAAAACCAGCACAGTTCAACACGGGACCATTGGCTGCCATCAACAAGGGCAATGAGTTGTTCATCACAACACAAAACAAAATCTGGTTAGTTGGTGGTGACAATTGGCAATGTTAATGGCAATGGCAGGGGATCATTCAACATGATATGATTAGCATTGGGATACAATGAACTTACAATGACTTTGAAATTTTGAACTAAAAAGTCTTATCCTCCCGCAATTATTTTTAGATCCTGGCTTATTTAAAGGGTCCAAGAAGATTACCTTCCACTAAAAGCATGCTATTTCCAGGGTCTACGATGTCTATGTTGGAGAATGGTAAGCCCCCCTTACCCGGAAAAGAGCATCCTGGCCCGACTTCTCTTCCTTCCGCTCTCCGCGTTTTAAATCACCTGGGCCCAGGCAGCCAGGCACAAGTTGGCGGCAATGGCACCGACCTGCTGCTAGATGTAGTGGGGCAATCATGGTCAATCATCTTAGAAAACGAAGGAAAACATCCGAAGAAATGGATACCTTTACGTAAGCGGTTTCCATCGGTTTCCTGTTTTGGCTTCACAAAGAGGCCAAAAAACCCATTTGCATCATTCATGGGTGCAACTTGGATATATGATCGTCACAGCTAGTCAGCGGTGTTTTTTTTTCCACTTTTTTCCTAATGGTAAACTAGTATCATTCTTGCTTAATATTTTTGAGGTTCCAGGTTCCACGTTACCGTCTGGTTATTTGTGGCAAATGGTCCATTCATAGATGATCAGATGATTTTTGGTGATTAATTACCTATGAAAAATTGTGATTTTCCAGTCTGCAAACCATTACAACCAGAGGCTAACTACCTTTGAACTCATAGTAAATCCCATAAAACACCAAAATCCATGAAAAATCAGTCTTATTGGTGGGTAAAATTCAGCCCCCGGGTGGTTTTCCCGTCCCTGGCACATGCTTCCTCTAGGAAGGTCTTCAATCGGATGGTTTCACTTCTCAACTGTCGGGCCCTGGTGCACCAATGCAGCGAAAACGTTGGATCCACCTACTGTGGAAGAGACAACATTTTGGGTATGGATCACCTACTGTAGTTTTTTTGACATTGACACCCTGCGTTGTAACGGCGTAGGACTACGAATGACATGAAATTACATCTGTGGGGTATTTTGGCGCATACAAACATTTCAACAAATATCAAGGGGCACTGAACCTCACTGTCAATTCTTGGGAGCAATTTCGCTGCTCAGCTCCAAACCAGTGAGAAGAAGCCTCCGTTCTCCCCATCCAAGCAATTACCCCGGCCAAATGTCTCGTGCCTGTTTTCTTTTCCTTGACTCATCAATTGCGCCTTTACCCTTGGAAGCAATCACTTTCAAGGGGTGGCGGACCAGCCAGGAGCAAATATACTGATGAGCCGACAACATACAAAAGTGAAATCCGAGTGATCTTGCCCCTTATTCTGATGTGCATGTATCTCGAGCTGGGTGCGCCGCACAAACATATGCACCCTGCCGCCGTTAATAATCTCCACTAGGGTCACAGGAGGGATCTTGAGTGCGCCCTTCAAGACCCCAAATGTACCACCACTCTAGGTTTGGATCCATGTGCAAGGAAATCTATGAAGGGAAACACAGTTGATATCCATTTGATGTGTTGAGACACAACAAATAAAAATCATCCCAGACCGTCGTAGACCATGACAGGCCGTGGCATACCTTGACTACATGCAGGTGTCCTTCTTAAAACCAGCATTTATCTGAAAATGACCGAGACAAACTGTGAGAGACCCTGACTTGCCTACTGTGAAGCATCTTTGAGCAACTATTTTCGTGTAACTGTATATATATATACACATACAAACACTATGTGTATATGTATAGCACCAACTTGTGAGCAGAACGAACAAGTCAACAGAGAAAAATAGTCATTGTGTAGAAAATCACTGCCTTTAAGCAGGTTGTCTTTTTGCCCGGATCTGTCCTAAATTGGAGGGCGCCTATGGTTGGACAATCCCCGATGGGTTCAGTTTCCGATTTGCTGTTGGTACATCAATAAAAATCAAAACTGGGGTGCCCTGGTGAACATGAAAACAGCTGGTACATGGATGTTCATACTCATACCTTCCAAATATGGTAGCATAACATAACGTAGAAAAGGTGTTCAATGGTTTTAACATGTTTTAACAAACACATGCCATACCCCTTCCATTGTGCTCAACCCAGGGCGCTCCAGGTACCAATTGGCTTCCTCTTCTGACAGAGTCACCAAGCGCCGGTACAACCTGCCAGGTCAGCTACCAACTGCTTATGCCGCTGAAGAAGCTCATCCCCTCATGTGAAATACCCATTAAAAAAAAAAACATAAATACCCTAAGTTTGCCCTCAAACATAAACATGAAGAACAGTAATACTAATCCTGGGGTTCGTTTGGCATTTTTTAATATTGGACATTCCCCTGTCAGAATTGTATAGAATTGTTATTTAATGCTCTGCGACCTCCCTTACCAACAAATTACCTTCTTCGAGTGACCCCCACGAGCTGACCTATATTCTGACATGCATTTTTATTTTCACATTCTCTCTGGCATTCTATCTAACATGTTGTCTGGCATTCTTTCTGGCGTATGTTCTGACATCCTATCTGGCATTCTTTTGGGCATGTGTTCAGGTCCGTGGGTGCCCAGTGATCTGGAGCAGCCAGATCTGGAGCTCGCGATAGGCCGATAGGCTCCGTGGTGCCAGGTCATCCCCTTGAAGGATGGAGGTGCTGTGCTAGCCATGTTGGGAAAGGAGCAACTTGCTAGCCATGCTTGCTCACCTGCAAGCTTAGATACAAAGACACCTCCAAAATCCTCAAAGATCTCACTGTTCTTAGTCCATCTGATTCCACCATTCACCCAGTCAGCTTTCTGTTTTACCTAGTCACCAAATACATTCGATCCCTCGGATAATAACACCAAAAATGCCAACGCCCTCGACCAAGTGACAGCACAACCATCTCGAGGTGTTTCAATTCCTGGATACCTTAGTGTAGATGTTGATGATGGCGTGACCCTGTGTGGTCAAATACACATTGTACTAGTGTATATAAATAATTATGATATATAATTACATATTTTATCTACTCATTTATTTACAGGATATACATACATACATATATATATATATAATTGATCTATTTATTAATAACATGCATTTACAATAATAGATATGTGCATATATATATATATATTTAAATTCATCTATGTATTTATCTATTTTTCTTATTTATATTGAAAACATGTACAGTACATACATACACACATATATTTGTTTTTTACATAGTTTGTACGCACACTATTTGCGTATGTACATGCATATATGCACATTGTTGTGCCAAAGGCATTATAATATGTGTATATATAATATACACACAGCCTGTATCTATCTATACGGTGCGTCTACCCATATACCATACATATAGTCATCCAAGCAAGCCGGCGTGGCAAAGTGCCAGCTACATCACTGGTTTCACGATGTCACGATGATGGAGGATTCATCATGTTGGTATTGGGAATCTCACTGTGTGCAAATCATATCTTATGTATCTCCCTAATTTGAAGCTGAAACGGTAGTTTGCTACCTCATATCTATCTTTCTAAATATACAATATATATATATATGAAATATATATATATAATATTAATATATACAATATATATATATATATATTATATATACAATATATATATATATGTAAATGCTTTCCGTAGCTTGCCGGGCTGGTTTGCAGCTTGAACGTGTGATCCTGACCCTGCCTCTGAAACCACCAAGTGTTCTCGGGCACTTGAAAACAGAACCAATATACATGTGTTTGAAAATGTGGTAAACTCCAAGTATCAAATTAAACAAGGAACATGATGATTGCAGGTTGTTTCCTTAATATTGCTGCTGCAGCTCAAACCATTCGTTGACTTTCATATTAAAAAAAAACATGACAGTTGTCGATACACATGATCTTCCTGCACAGATTCTGGATGTTCCACACAACTAAGCTCCTTTATTATACTCAGTTCATTTTCGTTGGGAAACTCCAATTATTTTTACTTGTTGCACCTAAGAATCAATATCACCTGCGGCCAAAATGATGAACTGGCTACCCGTACAAAAACAATTTACCTATACGATTACTGTAAGAAATACTGGCTACTGCTACAACCCATCCCAAAAAACATGAGTCAATTGGAATTGGGATGGAAAGCAAAAGTACAGTATCAATTTAGGGGTCAGTCACACTTTTGACACATCCCAAAACAACTCCCAGAATTGTCACAGACTTGCCCAAGATACTCCAACAATCAGCTGGAAACAATCACAGAATTCCATCCGGATATGTTTGTCCACAGCCTTACCCCGAAAAAACCTCGAAAGGGCTTGAACAATCCGATGGTACACCTAAACAAGAGAGGCTCCCCAGGTTTTTTTGTAAACAAAATTTTCCAAGTTGGTTCTACCCTCTGGTAAACTAACATAGCTATGGAAAATCACCATTTTTAATGGGAAAATCCACTATTTCTATGGCCATTTTCAATAGCAAACTGTTGAATTACCAGAGGGTAACCCCTAGTCCCAAATCGCTTCATCTGCCATCCCGGCGGCACAGGGCGCGATGCATCGGGCCCTGGGAGTCGATGACCTGCAGGCCATGGGAGTTGGCGAATCATGGGGGACTAGCCTTCTGGTCGTTTAACATACTGAAAATGGCCATAGAAATAGTGAGTTTTCCCAGTTTTCCCATGAAAACTGGTGGATCTTTCCATGATTTTCCATAGTTATTAGTAAACGTTTACCATAGAGGGTAGGTTAGTTAATCATGGAAAATGGTCCATTTCTAGTTGATTTACCTGATTTACCTATTAATAGCATGGTAAAATGGTGATGTTCCAGTTCGCTATTTTTTAGTTTACCAGAGGTTTTTTTTGGGATGATCTATGGGAAATAAATGACGAAACATGGGGATTCATGGTATTTGATGGTGATTGAATGGGCATTTAAGGGCGTTTTCATGAACAAACATGGGACTCATATGATGATATAGTGATATATCGGGATTATATGGGAAAATAAGATAGTAATATATCATGGTGATATCATGGTGATTTCATAATGATATCAATTATGAAGCCCCTATCATTGGGATTATGTGATGATCTACGGGAACAAGGTGACATATGGAAACGGTATGGGATATTAATGATTGGTGACTTAATGGTGACATCAGGGTGATATCATGGTGGTCATGGTTGTGGGGGGGGGCCATTATTGACGCTTGGATGCGTTTGGCATATGTGGAAATCTACAGCTTTAAACTACAAAATCCTCAGTGGTTTTCAATGTCGTTGAACTGTTGTTGTCAGCACATAAAATTGGGGATTAGACTCAAAAAAGAAAACATTGTGGAATTCTGTGGTAATCTACATGGCCGGGCTCAAAGACTAGGGTTTGCCATAACGACAGTTTGAAAGGAACAGCCGAACTTTTGGGGCTTGAAAATGGCTGAAGCCTTGGCAAAACTGAGAAACCACCTGCCCTCTGCTAAACTAACATAGCTGTGGAAAATCGCCATTTTTTAATGGGTAAATCAACTATATATACAATATAAATTAATATAATATATATATATAAACTGCAATTTTCAATAGCTATTGTTAAATTACCAGAGGCTACACCTTGGGAACTCAGAAATCAAAATGCCCACTGGGCGCAGCACAGCCCGGAGGCGTATTTCGTAGGCCCTGCGGCTCGGAAACAGTCACTTTCAGTCACTGAACCCAAAAGATGAGTCCGCACATGACAGTTTTGGGACAATCTCCGCACAGAATCATGTTACGTTTCTGGTATCTGGTTTATTATCATGATTATAGCGAGTTGAGGGATGAACCAACAGTCAAAACTGCCATATCCACAGCTCTGATCATGAGATCGCCATGATCATTATCCCATTTACATGGATGCAAGCAAACTTATGGTCGAAATCACCAACCTTGTGTTTATTCCACTTCAATCCATTTGACCTTAATATGGCTTAGTATCCTATATAAATCAACAAGCAAAAAACACAAGCTGGAACACATTTTTCTTTGCCAGGGCTTCCGAAGGGTCTGCCATCACATCATCACATCCCAAAAAATCTGGCTCAAACTCATAACACTTCACTTTGGGGTGTCATTTTACAAAATTCTACATAATCCCATTTCTAGGCTGTCATACTCAATATCCCTCATAATCCCATTTCTAGATATTTCATGGATATTTCTAAGGTATCGTATCATCCTCGATATATCTCGATCTCATAGTCAATGCCGTTCATTAATACGCCATAAACCGACATCCAACGCAGAAAAACTCCCGCGACTCGCGCCTGGTGTCCACATCCAAATCGCCCCAGAGCTTCTGATGATCCCCTGGATCTACTGGGTTGATGTTTTTTTCGCCATGTTTTTTAGTCACCACCAAGCAGTTATAAATGTTATTGTAGTCATCAATGGTTGTTAATATAAAATATTCATATTATATATTAAATTATATTTTAATATATTAATATATATATATATATTATATTGTGTCTTATATATTTGATGATCATGTTTAAGCCGATTGAGCCATTTATTTCAGATCGTGTTAGAGGTTGATTTTGGCATTGATGCATCCCCATCTCGTCCCTTGAAACGGTTTCGTCCATCCAGGAATGAAAAATCCGGGCAGTGGAACAGCCCCTGCCGTAATGGAAACACATGTCAAATATATTCAAATATTCTCTAAACAAGGACTTAATACGTTTTTTTGTAGGGAAACAATGAGAGTGCAAATTGATCATCTCAAAGGCATCCCCTATGATCTTTATGATGTAATATAAACTGATACCAAGATATACCAAGTGATTTTGCCACCCTTGAACGTGCCAATTGCTGGTGAGAACCCCTTTATCAGATAAATCCCCCAGCTTTCGACCTAGCTTCATTTCGATCTCAAACGATGGCCCGGGGGGGGGCCATCATATTAGCCAACATCATCAACATCCAGACATATTCCTATGGAGTTTGAAACCACCAGCCGCTGATAGCCGCTGCGTCCAAGTCACTCTTCACTTCGCGGAGCCGTTCGTGTGAGAAGCGGTCGGCCAACTGTTCGGCGGTGTCCAAGGCTTTCTGGAGCCTCAGGGCACTGGAAACACGGCATGCGCAGGGCGCATGGGCAATGCTTCTGGGATGGTACTGGACAACTCCAGTTGGAAACTGATAGAACTTAATGATAGAACTATACTTAACTCAACATAGAATTCTATTTCACTTGTAAAGTTATAAAACATGATACAGTATGAAATTTGATGATATACCCCAGTTCCAAACCATTTACAAAAGTTCAAGGGTCCTCCCCAGTGAGACCCCGTGCCCGCTTTCAGGATTATCTACTCCCAGCAGAATGGACGGTATGGGATAAAGCGGGACACATTTCACATCAAGAGTTTTGTGAAATGATGGCGAATCCACTGGGTTCCACCTCCTATTGTAGGCATTTTGGGAGTGCATCATAGGTTTAAAATTAGGTTGAAATGGTCATTGCTATAACTTTACCTTTCGAGGGGTGCCTTCTTTCACAACGACTTTCACAACGACCTGGGGGTTGGACATCTTGCCCTTTGGGATGAGCACCTTTTAAGGAGGACATGGTGACCCTATGGGACCCTGGGACGATGGAAATCCCCAGGAGGCCATCGACTCCTTTTTTCTCCCAGCTCAAAGTGTAGGGAAGCCGCCGTGGCAACGCCTTGGAAGTTGCAGCTGGCAGCACCCCCCATGTCAACCAGTCACGAGCCGGGGTACACCCATTCAAGACCAACATGAACCGATCTTTCTTTGGAAGATGAATTCCTATTAGAAACAGAAGCATCTTTGGGGGTCCAAGTTGCACAGTGCCCCAGTGGTTTGGTTGCATAAGCCCACTGAATCCCACAATCATACTATGTATGATGCCAGTTTGGGTCCAATCATCCAAGAATACACCTGGAGCCCAAACAGGTTCAAGCTATGAGACTGAAACACTAAGATATGATATGCAAACCTATGCAGAGATAATGCAAAGGTATTTGAGGCTACCAGATCCTGCTTTAAACGTGTAACTTCTGTTACCCTCTGCTCCTTTGAGGAAAGGAAACCATCCATGGATGGGCACAAATTGCAGTGGCCACACATGGCAAACTTCGGCGAAAGCACGTTGGGCCAGTATTAGAATAGCGAGAATAGCAAGAAATCTGAGTCTATGCTGCAAGGCCGAGGGCTCGCAGATCAAACAACTGCCATCTGCAAACTTTGTGGCGCTTTATCTGTGTCTAAAGAAAGATTGAGCACCCCTTGACAACTCGACCTTCACCTATCGGACCTATCAAGTTGCAGGATTCCCAGAGACCAGAGACGAGCCAGAAACTTGTGCCCCAGAAAAAGTGAAACATGATCATTAACGTTGCATATATATATATATACATGTATGCGTATAAAATATATGACAAATATATGTACATACGTAATACATTATACATCACCCAGCCTTCCTTTTGCCCCAGGGCCGACCTCGCTCTTCGGTAGCTTGGGCATCACTTTCTTCCATTCGCGCTGCAAGAATCTCCACATCCGCCCCCCTGGTGACGGCGTCCAAATGCGTCCAAATCGCCCACCAGTCACCCACCAGTCAGTTATGGCCCGAAATACCTAAGTTATAAGTCAGTGAAAACCCCATTTAAAAAAAAAACATAAACATGGAATAATAACAAACCATAACAAATCCATTTATAACCATCCTATAATCATTTAAAATCATTTTATAGCTGGTAAAGGGCTTGAACTGCAGCTTCCGGCCGACACTCCCTGTGCAGTCCTTTCTGCTTCAGGGATAGCGAAGGATCCATCCATGCGCGGAAGTCATACTCTGCCAGAGTTTCGCGCATGGAGAGAATTCCACGCAGGGGATGACAAAAATAACCGGCCACATACAAATCCTGAGCCAAATGAATCTCACAGTGGGTCGGAATTCAGAAGGTCTTTGAAAACTAAAACTTGGGATATCTTGAGAGGTTCGATTTTTTCACATGTGTCATCCTAGTTTCCTCCAGATTTTTTCCTACGGCCCGGAACGAGAAAAAAACCTGTCTTCTTCACATGCTGGGCTAGGGCTCCACCTCATCAGAAGCTAGCCTTGATTCGTAGCACCAGGACTGGTTTTTGGCCCTCAGAATTCAGCCCCAGAGTTGCTATGAAAAACATCGTTTTTTGGCAGGAAAATCATGGAAAATCATGTCCCAAACTCCAAAACACCAACTTTTTGCAATATATTTCCCTGGGGGGGCCCAAAAATAATAATAAAACATGTTCCACATCTATTCCCCAGATTCCCCCCAGAAATGGTGGAGCCGGTCGCCAACTCAGCTGGAATTCCAGGATCTCAGCATCACTTTGAGATGGCGGAGATTGCTGGAACTGTGGCAGCACACCTGCAGCTTCAGCGTCAGCGTCAGCGTCTGTTTCTTAAGTTCCTTAACACGAAGTAAATATGTATACATGATATACATGATATATATATATATATCGACAAAAGCATATACAATTGATATCTATCTATCTGTCTGTCTACCTATGTGATCTACCTATCTGATCTATCTGTTTGATCGACCTATCTATCTATCTATCTATTTATCTATCTATCTATCTATGTATCTATCTATCTATCTATCCATCCATCTATCTATCGATCTATCTATCGATCTATCTATCTATTTATCTACCTATCTATCTATCTATCTATCTCTTTCTCTATCTATGTATTTCTCTATTTATTTATTTCTCTATCTATTTATTTCTCTATCTATTTATTTATATATCTATTTATTTATCTATCTATCTATATATCCTATCTATCAATCAGTCTATCTATCTATCTATCTATTTATCTATCTATCTATTTCTTTCTCTATCTATACCTTTATCTATCTATATCATTATCTGTCTATTTCTTTCTCTATCTATTTATTTCTCTATATATTTCTTTCTCTATCTATTTCTTTCTCTATTTATTTGTTTATCTATCTATTTCTTTCTCTATCTATTTCTTTCTCTATCTATAGTTTTCCCTATCTATGTCTTTCTCTATCTATCTATCTATCGATCGATCGATCTATCTATCTATCTATCAATAGTTCTATATATCTATATATCTACCTATATATCTATATATCTATCTATCTATCTATCGATCTATCTATCTATCTATCTATCTAGTTATCTATCTATCTATCTATCTATCTTTATATATCTCTCTCTATCTATTTATCTATCTATCTATCTGTCTATCTATATATCTATCTCTCTCTCTCTATCTATCTATCTGCCTATTTATCTATCTATCTATCTATCTATCTATCTATCTGTCTATATCTCTCTCTATCTATATCTCTCTCTATCTAGTTATCCATCTATCTGTCTATCTATATATCTATCTAGCTCTCTCTCTCTCTATCTATCTATCTATCTGTCTATCTGTCTATCTATCTCTCTATCTATCTACCTATCTATCTATCTATCTATCTATATATTCTATCTATGTCTATCTATTCCTGTCTATATCTATTTACATCTATCTAATCTAGTCTAGTCTAGTCTAATCTAATCTAGTCTAATCTAATCTAATCTATCTATCTACCTACCTACCTAGCTATCTATCTATATATTTATCTATCTATCTATCACTATCTATCATTATCTATCATTATCTATCTATCTATTTATCTATCGATCGATCTATCTATCTATCTTTCTATACTTGCATATATTCCGATGAGGTATATATATAAATAGATACACATTTTCGATATATTATATATATATACATATATTTATTTATGTATATACATGTATATGCATGTTATTCTTATTTTGGCTATCCCTAAGACTCTATAATGTGTGCTTCTCGCTTGCCTGGATAAGCCCATAATATGTGTAGCTTGCAGGATCCTGAGCCATGACGAAAAATGGGCCCTGGCACTGACGGCATCTGGATGGACCAGCACCGCGTTTTCAAACTCCACATGGTGAAGCCAATAAGCTTCCTGGGAAGCTCTGGATCCGTGGGATTGGGAAATCCAAATGCTAAATTTGATGCCCTAGCCCTTGGAGAATGTATATATAATTGTATATTATTAGTAATATTATTATTATATCATTATTATTATTAAACTATGTATATATAATTGTGTGCATATATAAATACATAAATGTATATGTATACACATCTATCTATATATATATATATGTATATAGTATCATTATCCACCCGTGCTGCAAATTGAACATCGGGTGTTGGGTGTTCTGAAGAATTTGCTTCTGCCAGGCTGGGCGGCTGGCTCTCAAAAACGATTGAAAAGTGACGTAGAATTGGGGCCTTTTGAGAGGGCTTGGAGTGGAAGTGTGCGATTGCCAGCACTTCTACGCCTAAAAAAATGTTTTGTTCAAAATTGAAACAGCCCTGATCCAAACTTCTATAGTGTTCATATAACTCAGGTGATGCCTGGAGAAATGCGACAATGTAAGATAAGGAGTAGCCTTGAGAGAATAAAACAGATCTGAGGGGTGCTTCCGTGATCAAGCCAATGGTTAGAGAATCGCCCTGGGTGATTGGTCATTGTCAAGGGGGAATTTATAGGAATATCATCCCAGGGCATGAACCTTGTAGGTCACAATGTCAGTACTTTCATCACTTTCATCTTTCAATCTCTTTGATGTTTATCTGAATTGGTCAGCCAACCCGAGATACCAAGAACAGAGCAACAAAAACTAGCTGGGCATGAGTTCATGTCATATACGGCACAGCAATGAACCCTGAAAACCTATCATGCATCTCAGCTTTCCAGTCTGTGTTGAGCCCCCCGTAATCAAACATTGCAATGGATTTTTCCATATGGTCTCCCTGTTTATAGATGGTTCTCCCATTTCAATGCTCTTATAAGGGCGGTTCCCAGCCGTCCATGTTTGATTAACAAGGGGTACAACCAGTTAAATCCATTTATATCCATTTAGAGAAATCATTTTTAATCCCACTTGTTGATAGTTCATATCACTATGATATTCCCTAATAGTCCCAGAGATATATCCCCAGAAATGATCATGTATCATCATATATCCCCATTCAACATCATTCAACCATGTTTGTTGGTTAAATCTCCATTTTTGTTGGTAAACAATGTAAACAAAATCCAATTCAATCGTATTAAACCCCAAAAATCCCCAACGATAACCTTCCGCCATCTCTCTTTCGAAAACATCGCCATCGCCAGCTAGTCTCTGGCTCCGCTCGAGCACCCCAACGTCTGCGGGTACACCTCACTCACAGATTGGGACAGGTTGGGGATCTTGGGGTCAGCTTATCTCATCTCCCAAACCCCAAATCGTAGATGATCGTAGCTTATCTCATCTCCCAAACCCCAAATCGTAGATGATCGTAGATGATTCGCAGGTTGGGGTTTTACCTCCCAATTTATGAAAGAATGTTGCAACTTATAGTCCGAGTTCAATCGTGTCCCCGTCAAAACAAACCACTTTCAAATGATAACCCAAAATGATCCAAAATGACAAGAATCAGGTACAATTAATAAAATATACATTGGGTTTTCTGGTGGTGTGTTTGGTATTAGAGGGAAGGGACTAGTTGATGATTAGTTGATGGCAGTTGATGGGGCTAAGTACGAGTGGTTGCGATCTGGACTAGTACTAGTATTCCAATACTGGTTATATACATTTCTGGTTGGTGGCTTCAACCCCTCAGAACAAATGAAAGTCAGCTGGGATGGTGACTCGTGACATTCCCAACATATGGAAAGTCATAAGAGCCATGTTCCAAACCACCAACCAGATTTATATACAGTATAATGGTTTAATGACCCACAGCCTTGATGAATAATGGCACATCCATCTTTCATCCTCCCTTCACCAAGGTGCCCCAGGTGCTCCGCTCCGGCTTGGTTGATTTCATGGGGGTTCAACCAGCCACCCATGGTGCTACGATGATGAGGGTTCATGTTACGGGCTTATTCACCACGAAGAACCATTAACATAAGTTTATCGTGGGTTATTGACAATCTAATATTCTGGGGTCATCCCATGATGATTAGGAACAACTTGTAATGAGATGCAATGAGCACTGAAAAAACCTCGATGTGTTGACCATCATGACCATCATGACCATCCCAAAATATGGGTACCCTCTGGTAATTTGTTACATAACTATTGAAAATCACCATTTTTAATGGGAAAATCCACTATTTCTATGGTCATTTTCCATAGCTATTTTGACATAACCAGAGGGTCGTTACACAATCCAACCTTTTGACCAGTTCCAAAAATCCCCTTGGTATCAACCATATCACCCCTGCCCACTGTGTTCCCCCGACTCGATCATGGCTTGCAACGAGCAGCCGATCAAGTGGTGAGACGTCTCCTGCAACGTCTCAGGTCGCTCTGGCTGGTTTCAACCCCAACACGTTAGTCATTGGATCTACGAAAAAAAGCGGTCTTTCACACCCCAATAATCCCCATATTACATATTTATACATATTTCACAATGGCATTCGGACGGAATTCGTTAAATTTGTTGCCTTCAAAATGGTGGCAATTTTCCCATACACCATGCGAGCCCGAGCGTCCAATGGCAGCGTGGAATTCCTTCCACGCCAATGTTCTCGGTAGACCTGATCAAGGTTAACGTGCAGCGCTGCCAGCAGTGCCCCCACAAGTCAAGCCCCTCCAGTCAAACATGGCTGGAAAATAGTACATCAATGGAGGTTTATAGCCGTATAGCGGTATGGCCATGGCTTTGCATGGAGAAACAGCGCAACTTAAAGCACCAAAATATGCTATGACATTCCGTCCCCTTGACAACCCCAACTGGACAGAGCTGATCACACATCAAATGTCAAACATCATCAAACTCATCAATCAAATGATCGATATGGTGTAGAAAGATGCATTGTATGGCTAAGGCATGCTAAGGCCAAGAATTTGAAGGGCAGCCAGCAAACCAGTGTTGCCTCAGGGAGGACAATACAGAACTGTAAAGGTTGCTTGGCAACTTGGGGTTCCCGGCATGTGAACAAGCACCGTTTCATGAATATGAACCAAACTCCCAGATAGTTACATATTCACCAAATTCCATGGTTTGCGGCTGGAAACACACAGAATACATGGCCACATTTCCGGACCCCCCATGACCCATGGATTTCTTTGGCAACCTTTGAGGTTGAGATGAGCCAAGCAACAACAGGTGGCGGAAACAAAGGATTGATCTCAAGATGTAGCACTAGCGGCTCGAAAATTTCCAGCAAAGGACATAAGACTTCGCAATCGGCCTCGACCAAGACCCGGTGATGCGATGACTGAACCATAATTCAAGACATGTGACAATGCTTCCTCTCATGTAAAGCTGCGGCCACATGGTCACATGATTTCTGTCGTCCAAGACTTGCATCAGCTGGATGCAACGAGATATATACCCTCTGGTAATTTAACATAGCTATTGAAAATGGCCATTTATAGTGGATTTTCCCATTAAAAATTGTGATTTTCCATAGTCATGTTAGTTTACCAGAGGGTAATATGAAATAACATACATGACCATCAACTATTACCACCAGCTGCCTCCATCCACCAACACATAGCCACGACATGCCACGACCAAGTGGGTCTGGATCTCAATTTAGGAACATATCCAAACACCATTTCACTTAGACCTACTTGCCCAGGCTACAATTAGATGTGTTTCACACAAAATTGACCTACCAGAGTTGGAGAAAACACCATTAAAAAAATGAATAGAATATGATAGCCCCTCTGAAAAATAGTCATTTGATGTCATTTGGGATGATTCATTCCCAACATATGGAGAGTCATAATCCAGCCATGTTCCAAACCACCAACCAGCGCATCTGTACATGATAAAAATCAGATGAAATCCATGTGGTGTCCCCCCAGTCTCGCCACGCGTCCTGATCGATATCCACCTTGAGAAGATCTGGCCTTCCTCGCCCCGATGTTCCGATGCTTGGCTGTTGGGCACCGTGATGGCTTTTTTGAAACCGCACTAAATGGAAAATCCATGGAACATCAATGGAAACTATCAATGAACATGGAGGTTTATAGCTGGGAAAAACCTGAAATATAGATATAGGGATTTACGATGGTATTGACAGCCGATTGTCCCATCACTTCTGGGAACATTGTGTCGAATCCAATGAAACATGCCATTGAAATGGCGACATCATATATAGAAGCAACTCAACTACTGTATGCCAAACATTCGCATGTTTGTGCAAACAGTCATCTCCGGTCATTCCTGTGTGCCATTGATCAAAGAGACTACAATCTGCATGATGGCCGTTTCAAATATTCCTCAAAAGAGTTGTCAGCTTAGCTGGGTATGATCTTTACCCATTCATAGCTGAAACCTTAAGCCACTCACCTACCCTTCACCAGGGCATACTCAAACCACTGACAATAAACCTGCCTCAGCAGGAATCATCCCAAGCAATGCAGAAAAACACAACAAACCAGCTGGCAATGACTTGCCAGAAATGGGTTCAATCTACCCCCAATTGAAGGCATACTGCAATGTAGATAAAATTGTCCCATGAAAATCCAACCTATGAAAATCCAATTGATTGAAAAATGGAAGTCCCTAGTCACCAATTAATTTCTTGGATTCCCCGAACCTGGACTTACCTCATAGAGACTCACCTCATGGATTTTATGGATTCTTATAACTCCTCATGACAGTCTAACCATGTCTAACCTCTCCAAATGTGACTTCCATCACTTGGGGTTCTCTTCTCCCCACCCCGTCGCCCAAGTGACTCGCAAACTCAGCGGCTGCCAAGGGCTGCTTCCAGTGTGGGAACTGCTTCGCGAGCGTCAGGGCTGCGTCCGCCAACTGGTGACCTGTGCCACAACAGTTTTCAGATGTAGGTGTTTAAATGGATCAAAGTAAATCGATATGACCATGATGAAAAAGTCAACCTCAACTCTACATTACATCCTCTCTTTGGCTACCTGGTTTTTATTGTTTTTCCCTCCATATTTTGTTCATCATTTCCACCATGATCCACCGAGCACGTGGCGCCTGCATCTGGCGTTACCTCCATCCGCAGCACCGTGGCGCCCTCCGCAACCGCGGAGGCCGCTTTCGCCAACCCTTCGTCGGCCTCCAGCAGCAGCCCGCGCCAGCCGTTGGAGACCAGGCAGTTGGCTGGGTCGTACTCATCACCTGGAGAAAACTCAGGGGGTTGCTGCGTTGCTTTGATGTTTTTTGATGGGGCCCCAGTTGGCGAAGGTGAAAAACGAACATGACTAACTCGTGTTGGTGATGATTTTCTTGAGCCCCTGGCGATGGTGGAAGAATGTAAAGTAAATGATTTGATTTCAGGGTGAGATGAATATTACTACTATTCATTGCCATCTCAAAGGGGTAAGATGCTCTGAGATATGTCTGAATCCGTGTGATGTTCTATTCTATAGTTTCCTACCTGATCTAACCTAATCTTTTCTAATCCTAGTCTATCCTATCTAAATATGGAGTTAATCGTGCAGGTGATGGGTACGTCATCCGGATACTCATACTTGAAGTACGCCCGTATATTCACAGTAATTTGGACCCATGGGTTGCAAAGAAACAGGGAAATAGAACGGAGACACGCTACCCGTGCTGTCCCCGATCGCCCCCTGGCCTCCTTGACATGTACCATCGCCAGCACCAAGATTTAGCACCTCACAAGAACGTTTGGACATGAGTCGTTTTCTCCCGGGTTTGGAACATATTATATGTTGCTACCATCTTTGTCATTTCTTTGTCTAACACATCGGGGTTTCTTAAAATATCTTAAAATGTGGAACCCCGAAGTCACCATGGGATTCAATACAAAGATAGCCCAATGACTTGGATGATTTGGGCTACCCCCATTCTAGGAAACCTCCATATTTTCTCAGATATACCCTTTGGTAAACTAACATAACTATGGAAAATCACAATGTTTAATGGGAAAACTCACTATAAATGTTCATTTTCAATAGCTATGTTAAATTTCCAGTGGGTAACTCACATGTTTGGTTGGATTGAACATATGCTATCCCGAAAATTCATGGTTGATTACCATTTTCTCCACCTGAAGGGCCATGTGTTGGGGGTATACCGGTATAACTCCCCTTGCTCACGGGAAAGGATAAGTGGACCTGAGACGATATCGCTTGGATCCTACTGGATCTATATCAAATGATATCAACTGGATATACTTAACAATTAAATATTTAAGATAATATATATATATATATACATATATCAATAGATATATCATATAACGCATACATTGTAAATACCAAAACTGGTTGGTGGTTTCAACACATCTGAAAATTTTAGTCAATGGGAAGGATTATCCCATATATGGAAAAATAAAAACCATGTTCCAAACCACCAACCAGTTGCAAATACCCAAAATATGCAAATAGCAATGGTGGTAGTAGTTAAATACAATCATAGATATACTATCATAGATATACTACATTGTAAATACTATCATAGATATATCATATAATAACTAGATTGTAATCATAGATATACTACATAGATATATTACAATACTATCATAGATATTAATCATATAGTAATAACAATGTAGCATACTATCATATACCCCCTGGTAAACTAACATAGCTATTGAAAACCACCATTTTCAATCAGTAAATCCACTATAAATGGCCATTTTCCATAGCTATGTTAGTTTACCAGAGGGTAGTAATAACAATGTAGTATATACCATATAACCAGTGGATAGTGCTATATCTATCATATATATATATATTACAATCTATATATACTAATACTATCATATAAGTGGATCTAAGTGGATAGTGATAACCAGTCTCCTATCGGGTCCTATCGCCGTCATGGCACCCAGTGGTTCAACTGCCCACCATGGAGTGACCAGCGCTCCAGCAGGTCTTCCACCGTGGGCCAGGGGCCGTAATAGCCTCGGTGCGGTGCTTCCACGTGGAACGAGGCTATAACCATGGGTTTTTCATGGGGAAATCCATGGGAGAATTCATGGGGAAATCTTGGGACTAAGTCCAAGGATGAAAAATGGGAGAAATCATGGGGATTTCATGCTCGCTGATAATGGCGAATCAATGCTGATCATGGATTTTTTAATGGTATATTTGATAGGCGATATCCTCTGGTAATCGAGTGTGGCTAGCTGGGGAACCCCCTACAAATGTTTATAAATGTCATTAATTGACTATAATTAAATGGAAGGGGTTCATGGAAGGATCATCTAGAATATGTTCCATTGCCATGTTTGATTATGGGAGAGTACACAATCCGCAAAGTTGTATGAAGGTGGAAACATGTGAAGAACATGACCAGAAATACACGCGGAGAGCATAGAGACACAGAATAAACACATTGCAGTCCAAGAATTGCTCAATTGAGTTGCCTTCCTTTACCACACAACTACCCTCTGGTAAACTAACGTAACTATGGAAAATCACCATTATTAATGAGTAAGTCCACTATAACCTATAAATGGCAATTTTCAATAGCTATGTTAAATTACCACACAACTCATCTTGACAGAGCAATGGCCCCTTGTCGCACCCCAGCGCTGCCATGCCACGTGTGCCATCCACACGGCTCCGGAACCAGCGTTGCTCAGGAGGCAGGAGCTTGTCCTCGACCATTGGGTACCCATAGGGTAGACAGTGGGATTTACCGGGGATTTTAAGCAACACAATATGGTGCTTGATGGATATCTTAGATCTATGTTTATCTAACAATCTAAACCGTTAAACTAAATATTAATCAATCTAAAATAGACATGAAAAACCAACCATTGTTTCCACACAAACAATTACAATGATCTATAAATTGAGGATGTTCCATGTGCCTGGTTACTAGGCTAGACTCGACCCGCCAAACATTGATTCGCTTAGATGGCATGTCAGGATGTGCCCCTCCGAAATGTTGGGGTATTTCAAACATGTTCAATTTTTGTTCACATTTCCAATGCGGTGATTCTCATGAATGAGGCTTGCCACACTCACGCACAGACAGACACACACACAAACAACAAATATCCCCGAGATTTATGAGTTGCCTTCGCCACGGTCATGCTGACCCCTGTTAACAACATGTTTTCACAAAGGCAGGACCAGTGTTTGGCCAAAGCACCGGTCAGGATAGAGCAGTTGAAAGGGCATAGAGCCGATCTCTGCCGGAAAGCTATGGGCAAGACGATCCAGACTTTCCTCGGAGCTGGGGACATAGCCTGATCTGGTCACCTGATGAGACCGGGTATAATTCAAAGCTGTCAAAACATCTTTCATCTCAAGCAGCCAACCTACTTCCCACATAGGTTTCTAGGCAGCCAACCACAGCATTCCTGATTTTTTGAAAAATCTGAAACCTTCATGTGTCCGAACATGGGGTATATCATGGTATTTCCTCCAAATGGATCCAAATGGCAATATCATTTACCAGGAAAAGCAGTGGATTTAGGGATCCCACAGAGACATGGAGGTTTCCTAAAATGGGGTACCCCCATATCATCCAAGTCATGGATGACCATGACTTCGTAGGGTTTACCCTTGGTGAAGACTGGGGATCACCAAGTTTCCAAGAGTTCCACGGTACGGCCCAGGAGCTGACCAAGAATCCCCTGGCCGCGGCTGGTGAATGGCTGGGATCTTGTGATCTATTCATGAATTTGGGTTCAACCCCAAAATTATGAGGCTACTATGATAGTTATAGCCAGCAAAATATCGAAGCTGTAGTAGATGATCATGCGGCAAACCCAAAGCCATAAACCTATTCTTGAGAAAAGTCTTTAGTCTATACCACCAGTTTATGGTCATGTTGGGGATGGTTTATAGTTGGGTTAACCATGGTTAACCCCATTGTTCATGAATTTGGCGCGCGGGGAGGGAATATATGTTTTGTTTGTTTTTTTTTTCAATGGCCATTGGGCATGGGTTTGCCGCAATTTTGGCACACCCGCTAGGGTCTTAGGATAATGCGGCCAGGGCAAAAAGCACAAGGACGAGGCCATGGGCCATGATATAATATATAACCTAGTGAGCAGTAAGTAGCCAATTCCTTGTTGTCAAACCTCCGCTCCAAGTGGAAAACTTAGTGCAGTCCAAGCACATGAGCAAAGGTCCCATTGGTCACTGAGGTCACTGTTCAACCAAAATCTGATTGGAAACCATAGGAAGCCATAGGAAACCATAGGAAACCATAGGAAACCATAGGAAACCATAGGAAACCCGCCATCGGGTCTTGCACTTGGAAGGTGGTCGCCAGCCTGCGCTTTGATGTTCCAAGTGCTGTGTGATGTCACTGTCCTCAGCATCCAGCAGGGTACTCATCAGGGCCGTCTGTTCCGTGCCAGGGGCAGCCTTGAAAAATGACCAACAAAATTCAACAAACATCCGGGTTGTCTAAATCGTCTCTTGATTTTGTCAAGTTGTGAGTTCAGGATTTTTCTGACATTGTCAGTGCAAAGGTTGCTTGGGTCCCTGAATGGCAAAACTTCCATCCATCATGATCCTAGCAAGTGTCGCCACATCCATCTGCAGAGAATTAAGTGCCACCCTGCTCTGTGCTGCACGTTGCACCTGGATACGCCGAAAATCATCCCTCAGTTGGCTCAAGATCGTTTCTCAAAGCTCCGCAGCAGCACCAGCTTGAATCGAAGTGATCAAACGATCCATTGATGAACATCAAATCACCTGTCATTTTTTTGATCTGCACCGCATCTGGGTTATGTTGGAGTATATCCATGATGCCATATCCTTCCATAAACCGTGTGTTTCAGAATGCATGCACATACACGCAACCAGCTGCATTCTCCACTCAAAAAGGTAAGCTTCGTTGGAACATCGTGCTCCAAAGATGTGTTCAGCACGGCTGCAGCCAACCCTGCGGCCAAAAAAAAAACGGTTGGTGGAGGTGGAGCTCATCAAATGCTGTCGAATAGAGACTCTTCATATATAAAATCATATAGTTAACTAACATCAGTTATGTTCATTATATGCCCCTGGTATATATCATATAAAACTAACATTTTCAGCATATATCGATCCAAGGTTATTTTCCCGTTGATTATATCGAGGTGGACCAATGGACCAGCACCGCCTTGGATAGGTTGAATCATCTGCAGCACCACATCCAGATCTGGTCGTGGAGCCGCCTCCAGGGACGGTTTTGGATCTTCGGCAGGGGCTGATCTCCCAGAATTGGTGGATTTTTTGGGATCGAATTGAAAAAATGGGTGCACTTTTCCTTGCTATTTTAGCTACATTTTGGAGGAAAAACATGTACTTTGCTGAATTTTAGAGCCAACATTTGCCATTTGCACTGTTCATCGATTTTTCCATGGTGTTCGCTGATTTACCCAAAGTGTTCACCGATTTTTCCACAGTTTTCATTGAGTTTGCCATGGGTTCAATTGATTTTTGCATGGTTTCAATCAATTTTTCCATGCATAACATGCACCTGGTGAACATGTAGAATATAGGTTGAAACACAACGGTGTTGGGTCTAAATAGTGCAATTGGATGCTATCATAGTGTTGGTTGGTTTAGGGTTTATTTAGGGTTGGTTTATGGTTGGTTCAGGGTCGTTTAGGTTTGGTTTAGGTTTGGTTTAGGGTTTATTTAGGGTTGGTTTAGGGTTTATTTAGGGTTGGTTTAGGGTTTATTTAGGGTTGGTTTAGGGTTTATTTAGGGTTTGTTTATGGTTGGTTCAGGGTCGTTTAGGTTTGGTTTAGGGTTGGTTTAGGGTTTATTTAGTGTTTGTTTAGGGTTTATTTAAGGTTTATTTAGCGTTGGTTTAGGTTTAGGGTTTAGTCAGTGTTATTTAGGATTGGTTTAGGGTTTATTTAGGGTTATTTAGGGCTATTTAGGTTGGTTGAGGGCTGAGGGTCTATTTAAAGTCTGTTGGGTTGGATTAGGGTACATGTAGGGATACAAGGTGTGCATAGATAGATAGATAGATAGATAGATTAGGTAGATAGATAGATAGATAGATTAGATAGATTAGATAGATTAGATTAGATTAGATTAGATTTGATTAGATTAGATTTAGATTAGATTAGATTAGATTAGATAGATAAGATAAGATAAGGTAAGGTAAGACAAGATAAGATAAGATACGATACGGTACGGTACGATACGACAAGATAAGATAAGATAAGATAGGATAAGATAAGATAGAAAATATAGATAAGATATGATAGATAGATATGATAGATAGATAGATAGATAGATAGATAGATAAGATTAGATTAGATTAGATTAGATTAGACTAGATTAGATAGATAGATTAGATAGATAGATAGATTAGATAGATAGATATATTAGATAGATAGATAGATAGATAGATTAGATTAGATAGATAGATTAGATTAGATAGATAGATAGATAGATTAGATAGATTAGATAGATTAGATAGATTAGATAGACTAGGTAGATTAGATAGACTAGATAGATTAGATAGATTAGATAGATTAGATAGATAGGTAGATAAGATAGAAAGAAAGATAGATAGATAGATTAGATCAGATCAGATTAGATTAGATTAGATTAGATAGATAGATTCGATAGATAGATAGATAGATGGGCCGATGGATAAATAGATCGATGGATCGATGGATAAATAGATCGATAAATCGATAGATGGATAGATAGATGGATAGATGGATAGATAGATAGATCGATAGATAGATAGATAGATAGGATAGATAGGATAGGTAGGATAGATAGGATAGATAGGATAGATAGGATAGATAGCATAGACAGGATAAACAGGATAGACAGGATAGACAGGAAAGACAGGATAGACAGGATAGACAGGATAGACAGGATAGACAGGATAGATAGGATAGATAGGACAGATAGGATAGATAGGATAGATAGGATAGATAGGATAGATAGGATAGATAGGATAGATAGGATAGATAGGATTATTTATAGATAGGATTATAGATAGGATTATATATAGATAGATAGATCGATAGATCGATAGATCGAAAGATCGATCGATCGATAGATAGATGGATGGATGGATCGATGGATCGATAGATAGATTAGATTAGATTAGATTAGATTAGATTAGATTAGATAGAGTAGATTAGATTAGATTAGACTAGACTAGAGTAGATTAGATTAGATTAAGATAAGATTAGACTAAATTAGATTAGATAAAAGATTAATTAGATAAGATTAGGTAAGATCAGATAAGATTAGATAGATTAGCTAGACTAGATAGACTAGATAGATTAGATAGATAGTTTAGATAAGATTAGATAGGATAATAATAGAATAGATTACAAAGATAGATTAGGTTAGATAGATGAGATTAGATCAATTAGATAGATTAGATAGATAGTTTAGATTAGATAGATAGATAGATAGATAGATGTTAGATTACATAGATAGATAGATAGATAGATAGATGGATGGATGGATAGATAGACAGATAGATAGATAGATTCGATAGATAGATAGATTAGATTAGATTAGATTAGATTCGATTCGATTAGATTAGATTAGATTAGATAGATAGATAGATTCATTAGATAGATAGATAGATAGATAGATAGATAGATAGATAAATAGATCGATAGATCGATAGATCGATAGATCGATAGATCGATAGATCGATAGATAGATGGATCGATAGATCGTTAGATGGATAGATGAATAGATGGATAGATAGATAAATAGATAGATAGCTAGATAGATAGGTAAAACATGGTAAAGCATGGTAAAGCCACAAAAGCCACACACCCACAAAAGCCACAAATGCCGCAAAGCCAGGCTGGAAAACCAAAAAAAGACAAACAAATAGCCCTCCATTGACCAATAAGAAGGACTCAATGAGATCTAATGGCATTTAAGATTACAGGGGTTCAAGGGAGTGTATTATCATGGTTCATCATCTTTAATGGGATTACCATCTGGTAATTTAACAGTTCGCCATGGAAAGATCCACCATTTTTAAGAACGGTAAACCATCTATTTCGATTAGGGCCATCTATATCATGGCTAGCCCTGTTAGGAAAATAACCAGAGGGTAATCAACCAAACCTTCAAGCTGGCCCTGCAGCCTGCCTGCACCCTGCGGATCCTTCGTGCGCAGCGTGCGCAGCCCGGATCCGCCTTCGCGCGGCAAAGACTGTGGATGCCGCGCAGCCACGCGCGCCAACGGCCCTGGTTCGCATGGCGTCGGGTCTTCATGGTAGGAGGGATGGTATCCTCTGGTTGTGACATTCACAGTTCGCCATGGTTTTTCGATGGCCCTAATCGAAATAGATGGTTTACCGTTCTTAAAAATGGTGGATCTTTCCATAGCTATGTTAAATAACCAGACGGTATCATGTTTGGGTTTTGCAAACTGATGATATGAAATGTATTGGAATTGGAATTGGTTGTTGTAAGGTGAGGTCCTTGACTTTGCTGGGGAAATGCTAATCCCAACGGATCCCTGACCAGGAAGAATCGGAATCCCACGGTCCACTGTAATACTGCATGCATGGGGTTTGAATTACAGAACTAGCCAACGAACACTTGGCACTGATTCATTTGGGCAAGATTTACTGCATATCCAACAATTGCCAACCCATGAAGAGTAATGAAAGCTAGCAGCTAGCAAGTGCTCGTCATTCGGGATCATCATTCCATTTCTATGATTCTGTGGTAGGTAACAACAAATGTTTGAAAGCACCATCCCCCCAAAGAAAACAGCCACAAAATGAGAAAATCTGTCACAAACCCATCTGCGGTTCACCTTCGAAGTCCAACAGTTCTTCCTGGGTTGGATTGGTGGCCAGGGATTTGCGAAACTGGCACCATTTTCATGGGGTTCGATTGAATATTGAAGCATCAGAAAGATGCATTCAAATTTTAAACTAAAAATAATCATGATTCATGATGGTTCAGCGATCAGAGAATTGAGGTTTAACATAAACAAATTCCAGGACATTACACACATACACGCACAAAGATGCAGGCTTAATTCAAACCAACAACAAAATGACTAATATGACTAATGGTAACTGAGCCCTAAAACAATGCGAGCACTGTAGCTGAAGATCCAAATGTTTTGAAAGAGGATGTTTTCAAACGTGCCCATGGGTTTCACACATGAAATGCCAACTCTACATACTTTTTTTGGGCTCAAAGCCTGAGCCTTCTGGCCTTGGGCCATCATGTTGATGGTGCCTACTGCCCCTGCGTGTTGCTAGCGTATTTCTCTCTAGATTCACGTCCGACTACACATCATGGACATCATGCCAATGATGGACAACATGGGCATCATGGACAGATTGAGCACCCCAAATTGGTAGCATCAGGAACTGGCCACTGCGACACTGCGCCAAAAACCACCTTCAGCGGATCTTCCGTGCCAAGCTTCAGGACAAGGAGGCAACTCATCTGCCGCGTTACTTCCAAGTCTTCTGATGCACCTTTGGCCACATGAAAAAAACCAGCAGGGTTCGCTCCAATGTCGTTCGGTTTTCAATGGACAATTTACAGGAACCCCTGGTTTGATCATGCAGAAGAGGTAAACGCTGAACCTGTTTCCTTCATCCGATTGGACGATGAAGCGTGAGAAAAGGTGGACATGGGCGCCAATTTCAAAGCCTAACCTCCTCAGGAGCCCGCGCCACTAAGCCTCTTAATTGGATGCCGGGTCTTGCCAGAAAATAACATTGCTCAACTTGACGCTTGTGCAGTGGTGCATATGAGATGAGAGCCAACCCACCGAGCTAGGATCCACGGAGAGACCTGTGAGCCTGGGAATCAAAAAATCAACAAAAAGCAATACGCAACTCAGTCTTGGGGGCACCATCCCAAATATCAACGCATGCGTGCACGCATATCAATATCAATATATTATCTAAAAATAAATATCATTAACGTATATTAACGTACACATATCCATGTAACATAACACAATGCATTTGTGTTTAAATATATGCATATATTATCATATATTTGCATGTGTGCGTGTGTGTGATTCTATTTGTTATTTGCATAAATATATAATACATATATAATATATAATGCACACATATATATATACCTGGGCCAGCAAACGAGCAGAAAAAAAAGGTTGTTTTGGTCAGTGACCCTGTTTTTAGCCAATTGACCTATTTTGGGTCAGATAGGGTAATTCAACCCAAACGACCCCAAAATGGCAGAAATCTGGCTGAAATCTAATTTTCTATGTATTTCCATGGTGTCCCATCCCATAACTTCACTTTCTTTCACCATAGCTACACTTGTGGCACTGATTGACCCCTGACGTGTTTGACTGGATCCATGGGGCCTGCGCTTTCAGGCCTGAGCCCCCGCTATGCTTTGTCTTTTATTCTTTGCAGGGGTGGTGCATTGTTCAGGGATTGGATGCCAATTGGCAGAAATTTCAATGCTGTATGACACGTGTTGTTCAGATTCTGGCTCGCAAAGATTCAAAGATGTACCATCTGAGACAGGTGTGTGTTTGTTTGCGTGTGGGACTTCACGCATACAACTATTTATTTGGAGTTATTCACCAGACCTAAGGCAGTCATGCAAAACACGTATGATTCACACGTATTCTCGCCGCAGATTTGGGACGGCAACTCCCCGCAAAACAGCAAATCGTCAATTTTCAAGTTTTTCCGGACCAAAACTGCCCCGCAAATCGGGCGCAAAAACCCGCAATCCGCACACAAAAACCCGCAAACGGGCGCAAATCAGGATTTCTGCCCTGATGTGTTTTGACAAAATGTATTTTATCGCAGCAAAGCTAGGTTTAAATGGCAAATTCTTTTGATTTAGCAAAGCGGGTCAGCCACCCGCAGACACACCAAGCGGGTTGATTGCTGGCTGCATAGCTGTAGCCATTCTTGGGATGCTTTTCAACACACCTGGTGGATCAGATTCTTCTTCATGAGGCCCTGTTCTACGTTTGAGCAGGGGGTATAGAAGTGCTTTTCAGTTAGGGATATCTTTTGATGATTTTCTTTGGTATGGCCCATTGACTGAGGCTGGGGGTGTTAGCAAGACGAAGATCACATCGGAAGATGTTCACGGTTGTCACGTTCATGTCACCACCTGCTTTTTATATAGCAACACAGAAGTGTTTGTACCTTTACCGGCAGGAATTGCTGAAGGTTGGATGATTTGATGTGATGTGGCAAGAGACTCCACGTGTGGAAAAAACACATGGCAGAAAAGTTGGGATCGGGCAGAAATGGCCCAAACCGGGCAGAATTACCATTATTTTCTGAAACGGGCAGAAAACCAAAACGACCAAAATTTAATGGTTGTTTGATGATACAGGTATATAGTATAATATATATATATGTGTATAGACATAGATAGACAGAGAGAGAGAGAGAGAGTTATATTTAGATTATTTAGGCATAGTATTGTAAAGCAACCATGAGTCCATTCATTCATGAAGGAGAGTCACTAGTTCACCTTACTTGCAACCTATTTGCTCCGTAGTCAAGCCCCTCACCCCCTCGAACCTCGAAGGGCTTCTGCCATGTCAGGTGCCTCGAAACCTAAGGGGCAGGGATGAATCCGGATTTGCTTAAGGGGGCCATGAAAAACATACACATATAAAGTTTAAAACCATGGGTTCCTCAAATAGTGGGTTAACAAAAACGCATCTTCGGCAAATCCAAGTGAACTGTCCGCTGTTGAGGGCCATTTATGGGTGAAGAGATTTCTGATGCCACGGGCATGGCTGGGGCGACTGGCAGAACCCCTTTCCTCGAATGTATTGTGACCGAAACGCACATGGATTTTGTTGCTCCATTGCTCATGCTGCCTATCAGCAAGAACATCATTGAAGGGGCAAACAAGGTATAGCAGTAATTATAGAATGAACGAACACGACCTAGTGAACAAGGTATGTAATTATTCAGAATTCCCACAAGTGGCTGGTAGTGACAGATCGCAAATGCCTGGTAGGAAAACCCTGAGACAACCACCATCATTGCAAAGTCTTGGCCATTGCTCAAATGCGAGCAAGAACATGAACCTCGACATCAACCAACGACATCAAGCAACGACATCAAGCAACCAGAATCCTCTAGAAGTCCGACTTCCGCCAGCTTTAGAAAGCCGCATGTTTGGTAGTGCACCAGCTCAGCCATCAACGTTTGCTGCTCAATCTCCTATGTTGCTCAATCTCCTATGTTGCTTCATGTTGGCTATACTAACCCACTGAAAAATAAAACCTATTTCCAGAATGGTGGTTGATGTTTTCCCCATGTCATTTCATATATTTTCCATTAAGTTCCAGGCTTTTAACTATCCTCAATGTCCATCCCATATTTCTGGTTCCAATTCCTCGCGTGCGAGACACGAAAGATGGACCTGAGGCACCGGGGAAATGGAAATATACGGAAAGATCATTGGCCTTGCCCTCCAAGACAACTATCATGAGTAATTTAACATATAGCTATGTAAAATCAATGACATGTTTTTTTGTAAATCATCCATAAATGGGCCGTTTTTTTTAATGGCTATGTTAAATTGCAACACTGTAATAAGCCCTGATTTGTGGTTGTTGGTTTAGAAAACCCTTAATACCTTAATAAACCACAATAAAAAGGCATGCCCTTGAGGTGGTTGAATCCCCAACCACAAAAATAAAATGTACAGTGCATTGCCCCATGTTGACGCTACCAACTTGGGGAGTTGCACTGTGGATGGCATGTGGGACCGAAACAGTGGACTGTGGGCTTTTTTTGACTATCTGCATGTCATCAAAAAACATTTGAAAAAAAAACGTGTTAAACCTGTTAAAACAACCTGTGAACATCCCTGGTCGCTGGCTGTTGCACCTTCAACCCCCCAATTAAAATGTGGACAACTCATAGGCCAAGAGACTGATAGAGCCTCAACGTCACCTGAGCATGGCGACGGGCCAAAAGGTGGGCCATTTTGGAAGCAAGTCTTGCTAGTTTTGTTTCTACTTATTTCATCAACTATGCATTTCTATGTGTATATATATATATATACATGATTTCATCATTTATTTCGTGGTGTGTGTATTGTGTATATATATCTATGTCTATATCTATATCCCTATCTATTTCTATTTCTATCTCTATCTCTATCTCTATCTGTCCATCTATCTATCTCTATCTATCCCTACATATGTGCATATGTAAATATATATATATATTTCGAATGGGATCTTGTGATGGCGTCAACTTTCTCCGAGTCGCCATAAGGCTATGCGGGAAAACATGCTGTCTGAAGATGTCCTGAAGGCACGGAGAGGTCAGCGATTCCCACGGAGGATTTTTTGTTGGGAAAATGATCTGCAAATATTTGGTGATTGGTAGTGATTGGTAGTGATGACTATAGTACTACAGTGATTGGTAAAGCCAAATATTCTTATAGTACTGGTACTGGTAAATAAGTACTATAGTGATTGGTATGTTACTGCAGGGTTTTTCATATTTGGGTTTACTATAGTACTATTACTATCTATTACTGGGAAGTGTTTGAAGATTTCCTAAGTCATGGGAGTACCCCAAATCATCCAAGTCATGGATGACCATGACTTAGTGTTGAAACCCATATGGTGACTTGGCGTCCCCGTATTTTAGGAAACCTCTAAAAACCTCCACTTGAGGGTGAATTATATTGAATTAAAAGAGATCACGAATCACCAAACTGGAAGATTTGGCAATTTTGGGATAGTCACCCATACTTTCACCATTATTCCAATGACGTCGCAGCGAGGTCGTGAAACTTCAGAAACAGAATCATCGGTTCAACATGAATGCACATAAACTTCAACTAAAACAGTTGTCCCAGAAATTTAATAATGTGGTAAACCCAATGCCATAAACCATCCCCAAGTCATCACATTTCTTTTCGCTGCTAACAGTGTACCATCCGCAACTACGATAGTTTTATGGCCTTGGGTTTCCAACATTAGATCGTATAAGGCACATATTTACCACATTAGATGTGTCTCATATCATATTACAACAAAAGCTACAAAAAACTCAGCCCATTAAAAGTATTCCCATTCATATCACATATCACATCATATCACCAATCTTCCATGAATGCGAGAATAAGCACACTTCTTATTCCAATATATCATCCGTGTACATATTATTGCATTACGATCATTATGATACCCTCTGGTAAACTAACATAACTATGGAAAATCACCATTTTTAATGGGTAAATCCACTATAAATGGCCATTTTCCATAGTTATGTTAGTTTACCAGAGGGTAATTCCCATTTATATGACTATGCCATTACTACATGCGAGACATTCCCTGCACAGTCGAGACGCAAGCACGCCGGGTGGCACCGGCAAAGCGCAGGAACGTTCCAGCGGGCAGAGGTTCCAGCGCCACATGGCATCATCAGAGTCCGGACGATGGGCTTATCAAGGGTCACCCTATGGCAAAGATGGATGTTGAATGTCCAAAAATTCAATGGATTGTTGTTTTTTTCGGGAAACCAATAAACTTTAATAAACCGGAAACATACCCGGAAACCATCGATTTTCTGATCATGGGGCGTGAAAAATATGGTTCATACAGTTGATACAGGTTGATTAACCCTGAACTATGTACCTAACATAGCCAAGTATAGAAACATAAAATAGCTTATGGTATCATATGGTCACAAAAATGAATGTAGATATATGCTGACAATGTCCCAAAAATCTGATATCCCAAAAATCTGATATGATGGGTTGGTTACTCATCCTCATATTCTCTATGTATGATATATGATAGATTTGTCATTATTTACCTGGATATGTGTTTATTTATTTATTGGAGAATTGGATGCTGAGAAATATTCCAAAAAGTGCGTGGAGCAAGAAGGGTTGAACATGCCCAGATTGAGTTCTGCTGAGACATAATGTCATAAATCGTATTCTATACCGCGCCTATAAATGATAACCCCAAATGATTTCCAATATGCAATACCAAAACATCCGCAGTCCGCAACTCTGGGAAATTGCTGTGGTTCTCGACATGATTCCTGAGGATTTCTGAGGATGTTGGGTCAAAAGCACACGCACCAAATTCCAAAGCCGGTGGTCACAGTCACATCATTTGTCGGTGCACATCCCGGATGATCAGGTTTGTATCGTTTCCCCATGACATGCACAACTTAGGCCAAAGGAATGCGAAAACTCACTGTAAGGACTGATGCTGTTAGGTGGGCCAAGTTTTTGCCACAGGCTTTTTAAGCAAAGACGCAAACAAGTGCCCACAGCTAGAACTGTAAGTAATAGTATCATACAATACCTCCCGGTAGTCAAACGTGGCACAATCCACTACAAATGAAGGTTTTGATGGGAAAATAAGTGTACATGTTACATGGATGATTCTCGACTGCCATGTTTGATTGCCAGAGGGTAACTCATAACATTGTTGATAGTTTAACTCGCAACATTGAAGTACCACATAGAGATCAGTTGCGATTCTCCGTGCAATTGCTCCTGCCTTCCATGGGTCCAATTTCTGCCAAACAAACAGTTTACATCAGTTCCTTAACTTTCGAAATATATTTCACGTCGTTGAAATTTCGCAAAGTCTTTGATAGTCCTTGGCTTTTACGCAAAGGTCTATCTGGTTGGTGTATACCTACCCCTCTGGAAAAATGAGAGTTCGTCAGCTGGAATTACTATTCCCAATAATTATATGGAAAACAAATAAAATTCCATGGTTCCAAACCACCAACCAGTCCATCTTTCTGCAACTGTCTATCAGCCAGGACATCTCAGGACACATCGCCGCATCGCCGCGCACTGAGGTTACTCACAGCCCAGGGCTTTTGGCGTTCACGTCCAGTCCAAGGCCTCCGCGTGCGGCATGTCAGGTGGATTTCATCACTTGAAATGACTACGGCCATGAGGAAAAAACAAAAAAACAGAACACATCATCACAAAACTACGGCCAAAATGATCCAAAATGGTTTGTTCATTTATGTTGGCTTAAAATACATTTAATTGTATCTAAATCATTCGCTGGATTGAATTCTAGATTAAGATGGTTGTGCACCCCGTGGCAACAATCAATTGCCTTCCCCCTCCGCTATTATTTTGTCATGGCGGGTATGAATTTTGGCCCTCAAACCCGGCTGCGGGGACATACCATTCGGAAAAATCATCCCAAGGAAAATATGGCTCAAAAACATGCAATTGTGCATCAAGGGACTCCTTCAAAGTCAGCAAAAACAATCAACCTCCCCAATCAAAGTAATCCTCTCCCGTTCGCAGACAGCTGCCGCCTTCCCAAGTGACCTTTTCGTTGGGGGAGGAACCCAGAAAGCCGCTGATGGCATCCAATTCAGCGCACCTGAGAGTTGTAACGATGGTACAATGGATGCCGAAGCTGCAGACCATGCAGACCAGGCCCATGGATGCCCATACCTCCTACATCCTCCTACGTTTGCTGATTTTACTCTACCTCCTGTTGGTGAATATCAACAGAAATCTCATGATTTCATGATTTTCCGCATTTTTCAATAACCAGTTGGGGCTATATCACCTTTCTGGGCAAGCCTATGCAATTTGTAAAAACAATGGTGGCCCTGAGCATGGCCAATCATCTCCATATCCCAATCTCTATATCCCAATCATATGCATGCTGTTTTGGTGGTTCAACCACTACTATTTTTGATACATACCCTCCGGTGAATCAAACATGGCAACCCCACATTTACTTTGATGATTTTCCCATTGAAGCCTCGATTCTACACAGATTTCCAAGCTAGATTTTGTTTGATTTCCGGAGGGTACATCATTTATGGTTCTAGTTTGTTTCATCATTATTGTCCATCATGATTATCCCATTACAGTATATCCCTATGATCATCTCATGATCCCCATTAAATCCCATGAAATCCTTCTCAATTCCCCGTAAAGTCACCATCAAACCCCCATGAAATCCCTATTAATCCCTATATTATATAGATCCCTAATAAATTCCGTTAAATAATTACGTCTTAAATCCCATATTAAGTCCCTATTAAATCTCATTAGATCAGCATTAAATTCCGCTTAATCCCTAATAAATCCCATTACATAAATCATTGTTAAATCCCACAAAATCACTGTTAAATCCCATTATCATTATATCACTGTTAAATCCCATTAAACCCCTATATAATCCGACTAAACCCCTAGAAAAGCCCTGTCAAAATCCCAGCGACGCAAGCCAGAGATCGGCCATGGCCAAGGGAGACGGCCACGCCGCCGGGCGAGCAAGGCTCAGGACGTCCGCCTTGCCCCACGATTTTCGAGGGATTTGATGGGACCTGATGGTCAATGGAGTGGTTAAAGGGAAAATCTTAACCGGAAACCATGGTTTTTACCATCAAATATAGGGTTTTCCTGTAAATTTTCCCATCATCCAATTCTATGAGATGGGATTTGATCGGGATTGGGGGATGAGATGCTATGATTTTCGAGGGATTTAATGGGATGTCATAAGGATTTAATGGGTATTTAACCATCAACAATAGGGATTTGTATAACGGGATTTCATGGGGATATGTAATGGGAGAAATCACCACCATTAATCAACCAAACGTAATTTCTTCGGGTGTGTCTGAAAATCAGGTATACCCCCAAATGGCTGTTTAGTAGGGAAATGATGGTAAAGCACTGGATTTCGGGGTGACCTATTTTCAGACAACCCCATATAGATAGTAAGTAGCGTCAATCTACTGTAGATGATAGTGTGAGTCATTGAGTGCATTGTGAAAAATATGGAACACTGGAAGAAAAGGATAATAAAAAAAAAATGGTTTTCCAACAAACAGGGGACGGGTCGAAATTTAAGCCCCAGAAAGGGACCACACATTGAAATGTATATACGTTTAGTATTGATCAATGATTGGGCTACTCAATTTTGACCTGTACACAGAAAAACTGAGCCAACTATCAGGAACTTGTATTGGAAAAGGGAACTCTTCAACAGTTGCAGCGAGCCCTCCTGTTCACATTCCCAGCTATGACCAGTGCCATTGCCAGCCTCCTTTTTAGTAGCCTGCACTTCCTTGATGTCCTTCTCATTGGTGGGGCAAAATGGAAGATGCACTCAGGAGGAAAACGAAGAGACTGTTGATTCCCTTCATCATCACATAAACAAAGTTGAAATGACGGTTCATTATATTTTTTTCATGACATGACTATCAACAGTCATACCAACAGGAAACATGTCAATGTCCATACGTAAACAAATTGTCCACCTGTATATACTACAATCCAAAATATTCCAAAATCACTGGTTTCAGCGAAGTCCCATCTTCTTTTTTCAACACATGTACTTTCCCTTCTCTCTAGTGTGAGTATCAATATATCCGCATAAACATTGCCGGAAATGAAGCCGGCCAAACCTCCCTAACAAAAGTGTGCCTAGGCAACCCCATTGTTGGTAGCTTAAACTACCATCGTTGGATGCTTTGGATGATTTTTCACTGCCCTTCACCAGTCACGTTGGTCGATTTTCCAAACATTACTCTACTTTGATGCACCTACCTGCCCCCAAAAGAGGCTTGACATGCGTACCGATACGTAAGCGACACATGGACTAATATTTATGTATATATATATATATTCATTAATACACCAAAAAAAACACGGTAAACTCACATTGTCCATTTCTTTTCATGAAGAAACCTCCCCAAACCAGGGTTTTTACCCAAAAAAGAAGTCCTCTTGATGCTATGGTTTACCCATACTCTTGATGGTTTAAATAATCCCAGTTTCAACCTTAAGAAAAACATATCTTTACGGTTTGGTCTAATCATGTTGTTTTTTTCCGGTGGTTAAACCTACCGTTGATTCATTAAACCACCAATGTTGGATGTTTTTTGAGTTTTTACCTCAGAAACAACGTCTACCCAGTTGAAGACCACCCCTTGTTTCAAGCCATGGATCATGTTTAGGTTAACCTATAGCATCAAACGTCCTCCTCCCCCAAAAAACATCCCAATTGAATCCCAAACTTGTTGCGCAAATCTCCATTGTTCCTGAACAAGAGTCTACCTTCATTGGTTTATAACCATTATAACCGTCCTTCCACTTGGTCCTTCATGGCCAAGGTTAAGGAGTCCCCCAGCGGCTCCGAGGTCAAAAGCGCGGGCCACACTCGCACGGAAGGATCCACCTGCCGAGGACGTCAGTGGTCACATGGCTTTCTATGTATATATATATATAACTATATATATATGTATATATATATGCATGTTATATAACTATATATTACATATATATAATGTATAATATGTATATGCACATGTGTTTGTATAAATAAATTTGAAACTATATATATATATATATTATCTATATATACAGTATAAATATAACGTTTACAAAGTATAATGCGTTAACTATATGTATAATATGTATATGTACATATATTTGTATATAACTATATATGTATTTGTACGTGTTATGTATGTGTGCAGCATGTATACCTATACACATGTATAGTAAATCCATATCTTTGTATTTTGCAATGTGCAAATATATATATATATATATATACACGTATAATATTAAATATATATATATATATAATATATCTATGTAGAGTATGTATACATACTATTGATCTGTTGATATGTATATATATATATATCTAATTAGATATCTACTGTATGGATGTACTCATTTCAAGGTTTTACATACACTGAAAGTCATGTGTGACTCATTTTACCGACCATAGAAGTGATAAGGCACAATTAAGCCAGGAGTGAAATGAGTCATTGGGAGTTTCTGGGATGTATATATATATATATATACATATGTATATATCCTATAATATGCACATGTATGCATACAATATTTATATATATACATACACACTTCATCAATTGGTGGATCCATGATGATCTATCTATTGTATTTTGGACAATGTATATATACATGAGTAGTAAGAACACTTTGAATGTGTGTGCAGGTATGTAAAAAGCACAAACATACCAATACACACAGGCAAGTTCAGCAACACATTCACAGTACCAGAAAAATATGCAGCATGTAATATGTATCACTATCATTAGTATATATATATATACAGTATATATATATATATATCTATCTATCTATCTATCTCTCTCTCTCTCTCTCTCCATCGCCCTTTCCAAGAGTTCAGTCACAGACTGAAGGACTATCTTTAGTATGATCTAGCAATTATAATTATTAGTGCTCCCATGCAAGTGCAGCATAGTGCAGCGATACCCATGCCATGAAGACCGCCACATGTGGACCTGGATAGCTTGATCCCCTGGCACTTCACTGCTTGTAATGTCAACCATATGGATAGATATGGCGAGATAAACCCCCACTAATGAGGGATACTGGGGTACCACATGTCATGGAAATTTATCATAATTTATCACTATATTGGGGGATAATCCAGTTTATTCATCCAGAGCTGACATTAATCGTCGACCCAAATGAAACTACTGTATTAGTAAAGCCAAGTATTTCGCTACATTTCACTGTTTGGGGAAAGGGGGTTGAAGAAACTTAAACCTGGGGGGTTACATCGGGTTTGGCACTTCCGGCTTCCGAAATGAAATGCTTTTGCACAGCATGCCATTGATATACGTATATTTGCGCACGAGACTGCAAACAAGTTATCACAGAATTTCATAGTTGAACTGGAAGCAAGCAACTTCTTGGGCAATCACCTAGGGACCTAGGCCGGCAGAGACCCCCCCACCTGCAGTGACTGGATGTAATCAATTTCATCGCGCACACGGAGAACCTCATCCTGCAGCAACGAAGTGCTTTCGGGATCATCACGACTCTGGTGATGGGATAAGCAGAGAATGGGAGTTTTGCCAGTAGCAAGCGCAGCCATGGTCAAACATGGTCAAACATAGCAAGCCCTAAGATCTCTCTCGCTTTCTCGTCCCCAAAGACGGTTTATCCCATTGCCATAACTGGGGCAACTAACCCGGATACAGCCGGATACCATGATGTGCAAAAATCCTTTAGGATCTTTAGGTGGGCCTCTTGGCCAATCTTCAAGAATAATTTGAATATCCTTATTGAATATAGATATATGCTGTGGAATCTGTGGATAGATACTAGCAATCTTTAAGCAACAGTTGCACTGTAACATATTTGAAAAATATGCATTAGTCTCCAAGAGGAACAACAACAACAACAACAACAAAGAAATAAATGGTATTGGTATTGGAATGGAATGGAATGTGAGGATGTCCTACTTATCTATGAAAAGCTGGAATGCTCCAAGAAGTCACAACGGACCTGACTGCAGTCCCCCCTGAGTTAGAACAGCACGTGGTGACCACAAACTAGCTTCAAGCGCTACTTGTCACGGAAAAAAACGGTAGTATAACATGGTAATAACATGGTAAAACATCTCACACTTGAACATATTTCAACATATTATTGAAGGGTTTTTTCAGGGTTGTAAAAACCCTTTTCCCATGGTTTTTCCGTTAGGAAAAATGACATTCGTACCTCATTTCGCTGAGCTTCGTGCCTCCCGTTCCTCGATCATCCTCACAAGGGCCTGTTCCCTCCGTGTGGTGCCCCTTCTCATCGCCTCCGTTGTGTGGGTCGTCTTTGAAAAATGAGACCATAGGGGTACCCAGGGTATCCATATAAAATGATCCTCTAGAAATAGGAACATGACGATCAAACATCAAATAAGGAATCATGATGAATCATGATTCTATCTTATTCTAATCATGTACATGTACGGTTTCAAGATCTATAACAAATGTCTTGGAGCGATCCAGAAAATGCCTTCCATTGAGATGGGCCGGCCTGCAAATGAAATAGAATGAAATAGACCAACAAAATCGAAGTATGGGCATATCTATATATTCTGATTGCATATATTCAACCTGGGTGTTCTTATTTATTATAGTAAGACATTGGCAACCACAACCCAGTTTGCAGTTTCGTTCCAAGTCCCCGTCTGCTGAACAACTCAGGGTTCATCCCAATGAATATATGATTTGGAGGTTGAAACCAAGGCTCCTGGGGTTGATCCATCCATAAACATCCATAAACCCATCCATTGATCTTCCACAGGAGAACTCCATTTCTTGATAGTCCAACTGATAAAGGTTCCCAGCCATAAAAGCTACCCCCAGTCATCATGCAGTCGTCATGGAACATGACTTACCGTCTGATTATTTAACATAGCCATGGAAAATCACAATTTTTAACAGGTAAACCATCTATAAATGGGTCATTTTCCATGGCTATGTTAAATAACCAGAGGGTAGTATAGGTTAACAACCCATGGTGACGACTCGTTACGACTGGTGATCCCCCATGACTCCAGGCATCGGCATCGGCAGTCATCGCCTCCAAACGACTGCGCATCAGTGGCAGCTCTCTCTGGAGCTGCATCATCTCTTCATATTGCCGTTCCAGCTCCTCATAAAAAAATGAAGCGCCGACTTCTGTGGTCTGAAAATGGTGGATTAAAGTTCAACACTGGGGATTTATAGGGTTGTTTCATGGGGTATATATATATATATATATTTTTTGGTCAGGGCTTCGCGAAGGATTTGCCCTACCAATTGGCTTGCATCCTTGTGCAGCAAAGTATTGTTCATGTTGAGTCACTGTGGAACACGTGAGAATTATGAATCAAAAGGGTGAACTACTGAAATTTGTGAGACATTGACGCATGCTACGATGCCAACAATCAGTTTCAGACAGGGGAAAGAGTTGATACCAGGATGCGTAGTCGGACTTCAAGAGCATATGCCGTAGCTTGTCCATATTGGAAGTGACAATGCGCCAGGTATTGTGATATGGCAGCACTATTTGGAGGACGAATGGCCGACTCAGCATGCACAGGTGGCAATACAGATTGGTCAGTCCACCTATCAGAAGCGAAGCGTCGTCATGTGGTTCACATTCTGACTTCCACTGACAAAAACCTTCTGAGCGGTCCAGCCATGTTGCCTCCAATTTATTTGCATGTATGTGTATAAAAATGACCTGGAGCCATGCAAGATGGAACCGTAGTAAATATTTTGGGTGTTCCCAAGGTTGGGCGTCGAGGAACTCCACATTGGTGCGGTCCAGCGGTATAGCGTTCCATGTCAAGAAACATTGTGTGAGTGATTTCCAAGCGTCTCGATCCAATGCCATGTGTCCGTAGTCACCGTCCAATGCGTTTTCAGTCCAAAATTTTGAAATTAAACTGTGAGGGGTGTTCCAGGGTCCCGGTCGGTTCAGCTTGCTTTGGTGTTGTTGTTTGACATGGTGTAGCATGATCCGTGCTGGATGCCTGCTGTAGAAGTCCTGTCTGCAAATGTGCCCAATGAAAGTCCAATATCGTCGAAGAAACTGGTTCTCCCAGCTTCCCGCTGGCGTCATGTGCAGAATCCAACGGTTCACTATGTGTCGTCGAAACCTCAAGATTTGGTGTGTTTCATCTTCAGTCATACTGGGAATGAACAGGTTGAGGGCCTCGATGAGTAGTGTAGCCTGGGTCACCCGCAATTTCCGCCGAAAAAGCTGATATGGATATAGTGTTGGGGACAGCCAGGGGAAAGCTGGGCCAACATACTGGTCAAGTAATTTGATGGTAGTGCTGGGGTATGTCCAGTGTGACTTCTTCAGTATTGGCTTCAACTTGCCCCATGCGCCAAAAATCAATTGTATGGCTTGTTGGTGCATTGCATCCGTATCCAAATTGTATCCAAAGGATTTGCGAAGGTACTGCGTGTGTTGCACCCAGGGGAACATTTTCAGGAGTTCCATGTCTTGCTGGGGTGTCCGGGAGAGCATAACATGGCTTGCTATCAAGCAGCTTTTTGAGAAGTTGACCTCCAGACCTTGTTTGGACAAGCATGCCAAGAATGTCGGCAATAGCCGGATAGCTTCTGCCCAATCACTGAAACACAACAGAATGTCATCCACAAACAAAAGTAGCCATAGAGGAGGGAATGCTGGCGTGTAGCCATCTGCTTCCCGAGAACTCAACAGGCCTCCAATTGCATGGTCGAGGGTTCGGGCGAAAAGACCTGCGGAATGGCTGCCTCCTTGTGGTGTGCCATTGGTGCAGTGGATGTCCCAGTGTTCGTTGAGAAAGGAAAACCGGAGTTTCTGCTCAAGGAGTAGTGTCATTAGCTGCATAGCTTCGTGACAGGCAGCAGCCGGCAATGTTGCGAGAAAGCTCGCCACGCTTGCATGACTTAGGTTGTCAAAGGCTCCCTTGATGTCAAGTTTGATGAAGATCGGTTCCTTGCCTGTGACCCGTGCGATGGCCATCATATGCTGAGCTGCAAAGAGTGCTTCAACAGGTTGGCCGCCAGGAACAGCTCCAAGTTGCGCTGTCAAGGGGGGCCAATGCGGGGCAAGGCGCTGCATGAGGATGCTAGCATACAGTTTTTGAGCAGCCTCAAGCAGGACAATAGGGCGAATTTGGGTTGCCAAAGTGGGGCTGGCGGACTTGGGAATTAAGCAGGCAATGCCGAGGAGGAGGTCTGGGTGGATGTCACCTTGTACGAGCATGGTGTTGAGCAGACGGCGGAGTAGCAGCCAGCAGAAACTCATTGGACATCCCAGTGGATCCGGAGGTTTTGGCCATCTTGAGCATCGATCGGTGAGAGAGGTCTTGGCGAAAAGTTGTTGGAAGTGATCTTTGACGGTCTGGATGGCGGAGGGCTGGCTGCCAGAATGCCCGATGAGGTGGTTCCAAGTGGTTTTGGGTTTGTGTTTGGCCTTCAGGAATGCAATGGCAGAGGCGTCGCCAGCTGAGGCTGCAGCATGGAGGTCATGTAGCCACCGGGCTCGCTCAGCACGACGGGTTGCGAGGATGTGTCTCGACATTGATGCTCGCTGGTGGGGGTCTGTGAGGGTGTTGCGGAGGCGGCAAAGTTGTTTGTATATATATATAAATATTTGTATATATATGTATATTTTATATATATATATATATGTGTATATGTATGTATATATATATATGTATGTATGTATGTATGTAATGTATGTATGTAATGTATGTAATGTAATGTAATCTAATGTAATGTAACGTAACGTAACGTAAGTAATGTAATGTTATATTATGTTATGTATGTATGTATGTATGTATGTTTGTATGTATGTATGTATGTATGTATGTATGTATGTATGTATGTATGTATGTATGTATGTGTGGGTACGGATATTTTATGGGATGCATACATACATATAATCATAAATAAATAAATAAATATATATATATATGTATGTATGTATGTATGTATACCCAACCATAACAACTTGGGGCCTGTCTGAAAATGCGGGATTAACTCACGGTTCATGGCAGTTTGAAGAGTTGAAGTGATGATTCGTCGATATTAATCGTCAAGATTTGGGATAATTAACTAGTACCCTCTGGTAATTCAACCATTTGCTATGGATTGAGAAACATGACTAGAATCGTAGATTAATCGTCGAACTAACTGGGCCATTTAGAATAGCTCTGTTAAATTACCGGAGGGTAAGCAAAACCAAGCCACCATCGAACCATCATCAACCAGTTCTAAAATAAAAAACATTTCCAATAGAGGGGGCAAAATTAACCCTTATGGAATCATCAGCTAACATATATTCTTATAATATTCTTATATATTCTTACATATTCTTACAATGTGGGCCACGCCCGCCAAAAAAAAAAACAGTAGGGTTAGTTTCCTCCCGTCTTACTGGAGATATATCTGCCATAGCTTCATAACCATAAACCATAGATGAACCCTGGATCATTGAGACCTTGAAACCAACCACAGAATCCACGTTCTTCACTACCGCCCAGTGTTGGAGAGGTGTGTGGACACGTTTTTCTCAATATCATTCAATAACTCCTATGAGAAACACATCGTATCTAGCACGTTTTTTAGTTTCCTTACCTACAGCAACCTTCACTATCTACTATCAGTGGCTGGGGGGATCTATGAAACATACTCCTATCCCATCCACTAAATTAAGTATCCCTGTGGGCTTGGGCTAGTTCATAAATGTGCATAACTACTTAACTACGTCCAATAAACCACTTACATTAGTATGTATAACATTGTATAACCCCCAACCGAGCCAATCAACCAAGCTGGATAAATGATAATAATTCAGTGACCTACTTTGGGATAGTTGCCCCTAATCATCATCTATAATCCCAACCAATCAACCGTTGTGGCTCGACACGACTCCTTGAGCTCCAGTTCGGCTGTCACCACATCACAGTACGTGGCCTTCTTTCTGGGTGCCTCAAATAGCAGCGGGAGCCAACAAATTGCTGTGGGCGTGTGGTATCGTATGACTGTGTAAAGTTCTGCTTGTGCGTTCACGTCTGTACATTTCTTGCATAATTTAGGCATATATTATATATATATGCACATGAATATCAGAGATGGAATCAGGTGGAACATAGCAAATGATTGAAATCACCGCTGTAAAGAAGTGAGCAACCAGTTAAACACCATGTTCGAAAAATATTCATATCTTCGGTCGCGGAGGGAAACAAACAGAGTCACAACCAAACAATCATTCACAAGGGCAAGTGGTTTTTAGCTAGAATCTGGGGGATTCAACCAACACAATCGTAGAATATCATTGGAGGCTATTTTATAATTCAATCACCTTTTCTGATAGAATCACAAGCCAACAACAACCACTCTATTTTAGGATATTTTAGGTTTGTTAAAAAAACAATCCAAGCAACAAAACATCGGAGGGATCTACCTTTGGGGGAGGCGAACTTGCAGGCCAGGTTTGATGATCCGAGGCTACAACATGCAGCCACTTGAAAATCTTGAAAAATCCCAGTATTTCATCTTATATTTCTCTCTTGGCACGAATGAAACATATATGTTGGTTTGTATGACGGTTACCGATTACGAGCACTCCCAGATCCCGTGCCATTCTTGAGAATGTCAAGTGGCCGGCGGGCGCGATGGGTGCGGCGCATGTGGCGGGTGCGGTCGCATGGGGTGAAACGCCGTTGTGGAGCAAGAGATGATGGTCATGAATCCTTACACATGTTGACACCGGTTAATGTTCTGAAGCCATCCCAAAAAACTCGGTTGAAACTGGGTCTGAGGAAGGTCAGTTGCATGATTGGGCTTGAGATGACAAGCTTAGCTCGTCTTTGAGTGATTTCACTGTGCTCTCAAGGAATCACGAATCATCTTGGAGGAGATGAGCAAACTAGTACAGAAAGAACCTAACAGAGAAAACAAATTACATCTTACCGCGCTCTTCAAATATCTTAAAATCAAGATATTTTGAAGTCAAATATTTGGGAGTTCCAAGCTGCGGGGAATGCGACAAGTGCCAGGGTGAAACATCAGTACTTGAGCAGCGGCGCGGGCCAGGTCAATGCGGTCAATGCGGTCAATGCGGTCAATGCTTGGCAGGTGAAAATGATCATGCCCAACAGAAACAGGACACAATGACAAACATCATATTGTTTGATGTGTCGTGAGTCCATTGGTCCATGCTTTGTTTCAGATGACAATGATGAGTCCTACAGGGACATTCGAAGAGGATCACTTTTGGCATTGGAATGCCCTTTGCATCACATCCTGCCTGCTACATCCTGCTAGGCCATACATATGAAGAGCATATCATTTTTGGTTGCCAACCCTTCCCCCGAAAAGAAAACAATGAAAACACACACATATATATATATATACATATTGAGATTTGGGATAGTGCGAAAAAACCGGGAAAGAAAACTAAACTCTCTGTATGGATCAACATCTGGCTAAATCACGATAAATCACAATATATCGCAACCCCAAAGTAGATAGACAAGCTTGATATCTGCAAATATGCACTATAGATATCATCCGTATCATACTGGAAACACATGCCTATCATTGTCTATCTTTTTGATAGTTACTATGATTCGATATAATTCACCAACCTGAAAAAATCGGCCTGGCCGCAAAACATTCCGACCTGGGCGGGTTGGCAGGGCCCAGCCCTCCATACATTGCACCAAGGTTTGGAATGTCGGTTGAGTTTTTTGTCGTTTTGGATGAATGGGACATGTGCTTGTTTAATGTTGAAATACTCCTAGTAAGGGACCCTAAATGAATAGATCTGGTACTAATGCAAACTAAACCAGGGTTTTTGAAGGGGATGTTGTATTGGGAAAAACAAATCAGTCTCAACGTGGGTATGTGTCAAAATTGAAGTATTTGTTGGGCATACAGTTGCTTATCTCTTGTCCAACTGCATCTGTTGAGGCACAGATTCAGGTCCCCAAGATCTCAGGGGCCATTGCAGCATGCGATTCGAGGGAACCAATCTCCATGGATTTCCCATGGATGGCGAGAATCCCCGATATAGGGGATAGTATATATCCTGTATACTCATCAATCAACAGGGATTTTGGTAGAGATACCTCCAATTTGGATCCTATCTTGTTTTGATCAGATCCCCAGCCACGGACTTTTACTCGAAACGAAGATGTGAGCGTCCCAAACGAGGTAGTTTTGATTCGACGGCTCAAGAGCTGCTGAAGTAGATCAGTGCTGAAATGATCTTAATGTGCTTAAACCAAGAATAAACTACCCATGTTTGATGGTTTATACCACCTATCTATGGTGATTTGGGGGATGGTTTATTATTGTTTTAACATGTTTTAACATGTTTTGACCACATGATATGTCTTGCAGTCTGGACTCAGTGCATTGGGTCATGTCAATTTTCTCAATCTGGTCAGCGTGGGATGGTCATGGGACCTGGGATGACAGAAATTTGTGCTGCTGGTTTCGCTGCTTCACACGGAAGGTGCTGCGACAGCCTGGAGTTTTCGATCACCGAAGACCCGGTACTGGGAACCTTCAAAATGGCGATATGCTTAAGCGTAAAATGATCTAATGTATCACTAGTATTAGATAGTTGGAACATCTATATTGCACCATGTAATATAGAAAATGATATATCTACAGTAATGCAGACTACAGACTATAGAGAACATCTAGTAACTAGTTGTGCAAACAATAGAGCACACCGACCCTCAATATCCTCATTTTTTGCTGGGATCCGTCTTCAATTTTGAACTACTGGTTGGTCTAATTTAGATTTAAATGGGTTGAAGTCTAACTGTGACTCTCTAATTTAGATATGCTATTCTAGCCACAATAGTTTCGCAAATCTGCAAATTTAATGTTCAATCCAACCAAGCAAGTAGTAGTACATTATAGTGCATTATAAATTTTCCTAGGTCATCAATCAACATCAACATACATCAAATACTGTAGTAACTGGTGTATATCTAATAATGTTGAAAAATCCACCCATTTCATAATCAATATCAACCAGTTGGTAGATGAGCATAATCCAATTCTAGTCCCAGGGGCTCTTAGGAATCCCAATGGGAATCCCAACTGGTGCAAAAAAAAATCCATCCACAGTACATCAACCACCACAATATTCCTATGCTACCATTCTTTTGTTAGATTCCATATGAGTTACTAAAATCACCATTAACCACTATTGATCACTATCAATTTCACTAGGATTCACACAAAAACCATCTATTAGATCACCATTGTTCACTGTTAACCATCGTTTCTTTTCCTCCCAGTTGGACTCGAATTCTGGGCCTCACTTGCTCATACCTCCAAGGAATTGCGCTGGCGCCGCACCCAGCTCTTCGAGCTTTGCTTTGATAAAGCCTGGGCCGGCCGCTTAAACAACGGCAAGGGCCAAAGGAACCCGTGAATTGATGGAATTTCATGGGAAATTCATTGGGAATGTACTAGGGGTTTTCACCATCAACAGGATGGTTCCTTGGAATTTCAGAGGGATTTCAGCATCAGCTATATGTATGTATACCAGTAGTACCGCACAAGGCGGTGGCGGAAGTTTCGAAAATATGAAACCTATAGGAGAGGTTGGTTGTTGTGAATCACGGATGACAGAGCAAATCCACTGATGAACCGACAGGTGGTTGGAGTTGTGTTTTTTGGAACTGTTGCAATGGTTGCAGCGGTCACCTTACAACAGCTGCTGGATGTAGCGTGGTGTAGTGCAGTTGTAGTTGCAGTTGCAATTGTAGCTGTAGTTGTGGTGTAGTGTAGTGGAGCTGTAGCTGTAATGTCGTATAATTAGTGTCTTGGCAAGCGCAGTTGCAGTTGTAGTCGTGGTGTGGTGTAATTAGTGTAGTGTAGTGTGGTGTAGTGTAGTGTAATGCAATTAAGTGGTATTTGCAGTTGTAGCTGCAGTTGTAGTGTAATGCAATGTAATCAGTGCAGTGTAGTGTTGTGTAATGTAGTGTGGTCGTAGTGGTAGCTGTATTTGTAGTTGTAGCATGCTGCTGTTTAATTAGTGTAGCGTAGTGTAGTTGTAATTGTAGTTGTAGTTGTGGCAGTGGCGTTAGTAGTAGTAGTAGTAGTAGTAGTAGTAGTAGTAGTAGTAGTCGTAGTAGTAGTAGTAGTCGTAGTTGTAGTCGTAGTCGTAGTCGTAGTCGTAGTCGTAGTCGTAGTAGTAGTAGTAGTCGTAGTCGTAGTCGTAGTCGTAGTCGTAGTCGTAGTCGTAGTCGTAGTCGTAGTCGTAGTCGTAGTCGTAGTCGTAGTCGTAGTCGTAGTCGTAGTAGTAGTAGTAGTAGTAGGAGTAGGAGTAGGAGTAGGAGTAGGAGTAGGAGTAGGAGTAGGAGTAGGAGTAGGAGTAGTAGTAGTAGTAGTTGTTGTTGTTGTTGTTGTTGTTGTTGTTATTGTTGTTGTTGTTGTTGATGTTGATGTTGATGTTGTTGTTGTTGTTGTTGTTGTTGTTGTTGTTGTTAGTGTTATTGGTGTAGTGTAGTGTAGTGTACTTGTAATTAGTGTAGTGTAGTGTACTTAGTGTAGTGTAATGTAGCGTAGTATATTTGTAGTTGTAGTTGTGGCAGTAGGTGTAGCGTAGTGGTAGCTGTAGTAGTTGTAACTGTATCTATTTATCCATTTATCTATCTATCTACCTATCTACCTATCTACCTATCCACCTATCCACCTATCCACCTATCCACCTATCTACCTATCTACCTATCTATCTATCTACCTATCTACCTATCTACCTATCTACCTATCTACCTATCTACCTATCTACCTATCTACCTATCTAACTACCTATCTACCTATCTACCTATCTACCTATCTACCTATCTATCTATCTCTCTATCTCTCTGTCTGTCTATCTGTCTATCTGCCAGCTTGAAAACGAAGCTATTCTGCGAGACTTCCTCAGGTTTTGAACTTGACAACATCAAAAACGCAGCAATTCAGCGAGACTTCCTCAATTTTTGAACTTGACAACGTCAAAAACGAAGCAAGTCTGCGAGACTTCCTCATTTTTTAAAGTTGACAACATAAAAAACGAAACAATTCTGCGAGACTTCCTTCAAAAATGGATAGTTGAGTGCAGAGCTGACGGCCTCGTGCCAATGCGTTTTGCGATTTTTCCACTCCATCTCTCTAAACTACAGCGCCTGCCACGAAAAAGTGATGCCAGGTCATACGAAGTGCTGTACCTGTCACGCAAAATCATCTCAGCAAACCTGAAGATCTGATGCTCCAAAATGCAATCCCTCTCAGGAAATCAGCGCCCGGACCTCCTAACAGCTCTCATGAACATGTCGCTTTTACTGCGCCTGCCACGCGAAATGCATCTTTGCAGATCCTCTTCAAATGTCCCACGCCTGTCATCGTTTTTGGACATGCTACAAAACCCTCACGTGTTGCTCACTTTTGACAAAGTGCACAATCCCCTGCGCCTGCCACGCGAAACGTCATCTGAACGTCAAAAAGTGGTCCGAACCCCGAGTGTTTTTTACATTTTGACTTCGAAATGTGCTTCGCGCCGCAAGGGCGTGCACTTTTTCGACATCGCAACTTCGAAAAGTGGTCCGGAGCATAGTGTGTCTTGTACAGTTTGGCTTCGAAATGTGCTTCGCGCCACAACGGCGTGCACTTTTTCGACATCTCAACGTCCAAGAGTG